AGTGGCCAAAGAACTAGACTTTGAGGTCTTCGAGATCAACTCGAGCAGCCGAAGGAGCGGCAAGGATGTGCTTGAAAAGATTGGCGACATGACCAGGAATCACCTCGTCCAGCAGCACCAGTCCTCCTCCGACAAAGCTGGCGATGATCAAGAAGATGCTACTGCAGAGGAGGTCAAATCTGGCAAGCAGGCAACCATGAATGCTTTTTTCCGGCCCAAGACCACTGCAGCAAAACTAAAGCAGCCCACTAAGCCACCACCCACCAGCGAACCAAAAGAGGTCAAAAAAGACAGCGGAAAGGTCCAAAGACAATCCCTCATTCTCCTCGAAGAAGTTGACATTCTCTACGAAGAAGACAAGCAATTCTGGACCACCATCGTCACCCTTATCGCGCAAGCCAAACGACCCTTCATCATGACATGCAACGACGAGACTCTACTCCCCCTCCATACCCTTAGACTACACGGCATCTTCCGGCTAAGTCCACCGCCTACAGATCTTGCGGTTGATCGCCTATTGCTGGTAGCAGCTAACGAAGGTCACGCTCTCACACGACAAGCCGTCGCATCTTTGTACGAGTCTCGCGGCCATGACCTCCGCGCCGCGACTACGGATCTGCAGTATTGGTGCCAGATAGGCGTCGGGGATAGGAAGGGAGGCTTTGATTGGTATTATCCGAGGTGGCCGAGAGGCTGTGATCTTGACGAGAACGGGGATGTGGTGAGGGTTGTTAGTCAGAGCACATATCTCAGGGGTATGAACTGGCTCGGACGAGACCCTGTGATCGGAAAGGCTACTGATGGACGGTTAGTGGAGGAAGAGTTACTGGAGCAAACTTGGGATTCGTGGGGCCTTGATATGGGGAGCTGGCAAGACTCTGTTGGGCTGGAACCATGGGCGGAAGGGATGCCTTCGTCTGGGGCTGGAAGGCTTGAGGCTCTTGAAGCGTTTGAGGAACTGGCTGATGCCCTGAGCGCAGCGAATCTCTGCTCTTCTCGGTCATTTGGGACACTGAACGAGGTAAGATATTCAATTCTCACATAATTGTGTTCGCTAACAGTAATATCACAGGAGCCACTAGACGCCACACTACCCGAGCCCCCAGCTAAAGCCCGCGACGACAACGTCCTCGGTCTAACGCCGCTCGATTCTCCTCCTCTTACTCTCCACGACTCCCTCAATACGGGTCTTCCAGCAACCATCAAATCGCTATCTCGCTCCGTTTTACGGTCGCGGACCTCATCACTCGTCCAACATCCTACATCCACTGATACCCTCCAGCCACTAAACGAATCCTCTGCCCTCAACATAATCACCAAATCCTTGACCAACCTCTCCCTCTCTTCTCCCGAGCATCCAGCTATCAACCGAATCGACCTTGCCTTTGCCTTTGACCCTATCGCCACTTCAGACTCCTCTGCATCCACGACATCCTACTTGGACCCCTCCGTCTTCGACCGCACCATGGGCCTCATAACACTGGACGTCGCCCCCTACGTGCGGAGCATAGTCGCTTATGAATCGAATCTGCAGAGGAGGAGGTTGAAGATGAGTAGTTTGCTTAGCGTAAGCGAAGGTGCTGGCACGAGTAACGCGGACGGAGGCGGCGTGGGGCCAAATGTGGCTTTGGGAACGGGGTTCAATAACCCGGGAGGGGGGACGGGAACGAAAAGGATGCGCACAACCCGAGCTGCACTATCAGCGCTGGAAGGCGGGGAGAGGAGTGTGAAAAGGAAGGAGAGGTGGTTCAGAGGAGAATTGAATCCGTTCCTGGTGGAGAAGACGGGCGGGAGGGGCTGGACTGATCTCACGCTCCAATACTTGGCTGACTTCCAACACTCTGGAAACGCTGTTGCTGGAGGGGAGGGAGAGATGAAGACGGCTGGTAGCGTTTCTGGCGCGTCGGAGGTGTCTGTTCCTTGGGAGGCTCAGCAGGTTATATCGGACGTTGCCCCCGTGCAATCGGACGTTGTACAGACAGCTAAGCCCAAGAGGGGTAGGCCGAGGAAGAATATGGCGAGGGTTGTCGAGGTCGACGAGGCTGCTCAACCCGATGAGCTAGCGGAGCCAATAGCAGGAGTAAAAGGTGGGGAGCAGGGAGTGGATGAGTTGGCGGGTGAGGCTACGGATGTGGCTACGGTTGTAGTTGCGGCTGACGACGGGGATGTTTCAATGACCCAGTAGGAAAGGGGACGTCGACGTCGTAACACGCGGCTGGCTGGAAACCGGTAATGGAGGTTGCTCCAACTAGGAATCAAGCAACATGACATAAGAGGCCTCGGTGTCCAAACCCGTCCTACCTGTATTCTCCAACCAGACTCGAAGAGTTTCCCGTTACAACCGTCATATAAAAGGAGAAGGTCCGCCTGTGATGCGATAGTAGTACAATTCAATTGGCTACCTACCTAGGTATACTGGATACAACGTGGAAAGCAAGAAAAGCGCCCTTCAAGTGCATTAACCGCGCGGTGCTTCACGCGGCGGAAGCATGTTAGGTATGTACCCTAGAGGTAGTTTGTGACACTCCACTGGTTCATCCGCTGGCATCAATATTTGGCGAGTAGCCGCAACCGCAAATGGAGATAAGACTAAAACAAGGCAACCGCCAAATGACCCAACATGTAACTGTTTGATTGCTGGTCTGAAAGAGAGTGAGGAGACTTCGTTGCCTCAAAATGAATATGTCGTGTCTAGGACTTTTATGTCTTGTGAGGCTGACGGCTGACGGCTCGCAGCGCTCACCCAAAGCAACACCGTTGGCTCGAAACTGTCAACCTGAAGGGGTGTGAATATGCCATTCGTTCGGTACATGTATCCCGAAACAGGCCCGGTACTAGAATGTAAGCATTTGACTGCCAGACCTTACTGACAAGTTGTAGAAGAAGGTGGTGACCTAGGTGGTGACTCAACCTTGAGCAGTGTAAATATATTGACTATTACGGTAAGCAGTGCGGTCTGGAGGTTATACAATACCGACCAATGAGCGGATATTCAGTAGTGTAGGTAGAGGTAGAGGTAGAGGTAGAGGTAGATAGTCAAAATGCACATTTTGATGCCAAGAGCTACCGAGTGTGTCACAGAAGAGGTTAAAGTTGCCTTTTTGATCTTCTGTGAGTTTGCCTGCGTTTCTGGGCGGCGGTAGAAGCGGTTCGCCTATCTGCTTCAGTTGCGTCGGTGTGTGTAGTGTACCACGGAGTTGTCCTGTACTGTATGTCGGATATGCAAGATGCAAGTCATTTCCCCCGGTTGGTAACTGAACAAAGTGGAGACGTACAAGCACAAGCACAGACTGCATTGTACAGAGTACACTATACACCTTTAGTCTGGAGCTATTCCCATTACAGCCATCGGTGACTCTTGTACACCATGTCTTGAATGGAAATGGAAATGGAATGGAAGGGATGAAGAAGCTTTGGTTAGCTCAGTTCACAGCCTCGTGAAGATGTGGGGAAACGGAAGACGTTGTGACGTGCACAGCCCGACCGGAATTATATACTAGACTAGGCCCTAAAGCGGTGCCGGAATAAGTCTATTTTGACCTTGAACACGGCTACTCTACATAGTTTTGGTGGAAAATGTAGACTTATCAAACGAAGCCTTGATGAAGATACGAGATTAAACAGGAAGGATGTCAAAAATTTATGTGTTTGTGGAAAGTGAATTGAACCCTGATTTTATCTGACGGTGATACCTACGTACCCGACAGCAAGTACTATCCGCCCGCTCCCTGTTCGAGGTACCAGTGGCGCAGCTAAAGTACAGCATGCTCCAGGGGCGTTTAACGGCGCTAAAGCCCAAAGACCCCTCCCTCGTTTCCTAACCCAGTAGATCCTCGATTTTGATTGGCCGGGGTTGCCCCTCACAAGGCACCTCGCTTAAAAAGGCCGGGTCCGTCTTGTCAAACGACGTCACCGTGCCAAGACAGGGCATCGAAACCCAAACAACGGAATGGACCCTCCAAGGTACGAATCGACACGGCATTCCAAGATCCGTTCGGAAGTCGCCATGTCCGCAAGTTGAAGTATCCTTCAGTACTAACTGAACGGTTCAAGACAACGGACGGGTGGACGGGTCGAAGCAGGAACGGTTAGTACTAGTCGTTAGCCCTGGTGGCCATGATGTTTGTCTGTCTGTTTCATTGCGCCGTGTCACCACCGAGTTCCTTTCGAGGGATTCATTTCATATCATACCCAGGATATGACACCCTTCCGACCCGTCTCCCCCTTTCAGGATTGCAGACGCCATGCCAGCAGCCCCCCTCGCGATATGTCGTTTGTTAATTCGCCTTCAAGTTGGCTGCCACCCACCCTCCATCACGGTGACCATCATCCAGTGGCATCAATTCCCACTCTCTGTACCTTCGTCATTGGTTGGCACCAGTCTCCCAGCCCAAGACTTTCGGATTCCCAACCTGGCTGATAGCAGACCTGACAAGCTCCGTTTTTTCTCTTTCACCTCCCCAAAGCTCGCTCCCCACTATCCATTTCCCTCTCCCTCTTTGACCTGACTTTCTCCATCAACAATCGCGGAATCTCCGGCGCTACCAAGGCAGGTGACGAAAAGGAAAAAAGCTTGGCCTGCTTACACCCTTGCTCCAAGATTTGCAACCACACTGCCCCAGTTTGGTCATCGGGCAGTCTTGGTCAACAAGGGTCCGAATTTTGACCTGTCCCGGTCCTTGGCACGACCACTAACTCTCCGATTCCATACAACCAACCTTGGCTTAGCTGGAGGCGATCACCAAACAACAACTTTGTCACAGTAGACCAGACCTGAACTTTCCCCCGAACATCCTTCTCTCAGACGTTCTCTCACTTCATCTGGCGAAGTTCTGCAAAAACACCATTGAATCGCTGTTACATAACGCACCAGCAGCTTCAATCCACCACCGCACTCCGCTGATAGCACGAGAGCTAACCCACATACCTATCCACTGATTGTCCCCACGTGGGACCTTTCATCATAACACCAGACCTTTCACACTCCCGATTTGATTCCGATGACGGTTCCTTCTGGCGATTACTCAACCCCGACTGTCGAGTCCGTCCACGCCTACGCTCGTCAGTTACTCCGCGACGTCAAACGGGTCAATCATGACGCCGCCGACGACGCGCCCCTCAAGTGGATGGAGGAGGACCTCAAAGGCCTGCACCAAGCCTTGAAATACCTGCACGTTGAATCCCAAGATCAGGACTCGGTCCTCAAGGACACTTCGCGCGATAACATCTACGCCAAACGATTAGCCTCCGCCGTCGAAGACAGCGATGAAGCCCTGCGCGAAGTGGACGACATCCTCCGCCAATATGGCGACGGGCGCGATGGGGTGAATGACCGCCTGCAGTTGAGGCTGAACCTCTTGGATCTGGAATCCCCGACTCGCAAGATCGCCAAGCTTCTCGATGCCGTGCAGGTTCATAACCCGGAGAACGCCCAGGAGGTGTTGAACCATACCGATGGCAAGCAGCTGGACATGATCAAGGATAAGCTGGAACGGGTTGCGACGAGGATGTTCCAAAACCGAGCGTCCCCTACCACCGAAATGAGGGAGGATACTTGGCAGACCTTCAAGGAGGAGCTCGAAAAGGAGGGGTTTTCGCCCGAGATCCTGAGGAAGAATAAGGTTAGTGATACCTATTGCGGTGAATGGACCTTTGTGAAACAGCATCATCTCACAATGGAAACAGGAGGTTCTACGAGCGTATATCCGCGAACTCGAGGCCAACCAATCCCCTCACGCCGGTTCACCGCCGTCCGTTCGTGGTTTGCTCGATCACCATGCCTCGTCCAACGGTCAACAAGATAGTTCAAGGTTTCCAGACTATGACCCCAAGGTACCACGAGCTTTGCAGCCGTTCCATCACCATAGGACCCCTGGTCTCAACAGCCAATACAGCTACGATGTTCAAACCCCAGACGCTTCAGACTCGGATTCCATCACTGGATCCCAAGCAGGTGCCTTGATCTCAACCCGCGACCTCATAGATCTCGACAACCACAACCCCGACATTCTTGCCGCCCGCATGGGTTCTATGCAATTGGCCCCCTATCCCACGGGAAATGACCACCACTTCGCCTCTCCCGGTACCTCGCCCAGCAAAGGACATTACCTCACCCCCGGTGGCCCTCCACCGCTCACCATCCCCGGCAACAAGTCCCAGTCCAGCAACGGCATGTTTTCTGCCTCTTCCTCCGCCGCCCAGTACGGCACTTCCCCTCGCTACGTCCCACCCCTGGCTATGCCGCCCTACCCAGATGCACCACCTTCCCAAGGGCCACCAACCACCGCAGCATCGTTCATGTCACCTGCACCCCCAGTAGGCAACGGCATACCCAGCCCTAAGCCCACAATTCCTCGACAATACACCCGTCTAGCACCAGACGGCAAGGGCAAAGAAATTCCCATAGATGCGAAATGGACCCGCATCAAGCGCAAGCTGGTGTCTCCCGAAGTGCTCGAAAGGGCCGGCGTGCGCTACGAAGCTCGTCCCGATTTTGTTGCTGTCCTAGGCGAGCTGACCAAAAAAGACATTCTCGAGTTTGCCAGACAAACGACCGAAGTCAGGAATGCCAGGAGGTATGCTGCTGCTGCTGCTCAGGGGAGACACAGTACCTGGCCTACACCCGACACGACCAGTGACGGCCGCCGCCGACGCAGCGCAGAGACCCGGCGGCACTCGGACAGCAGCAGCAGCGAGTCCTCAGACACGGACGACGTGAGCGACGATGCATCTGCTGCTAGAAGGAGGAGACACCGTCGGCGGCGGGCGAGTGATGCTTCAATCAATGCCTCTACCAACCAGGATGCCCAGAGGGCCGGTCAACCGGTGATTGTGTCGCCGCCGGCAAGTGTAAATGGAGACGATAACTCAAAGATCAGCAGTAGTATCACAAGCCCTAGCAGCACTACCACGGCCCCGAAACCGATTCTCAAGAACAAGAACACGAATCATGTCCGGTTTGGGAGGGATGGTCCGAAGGAGATTAGTCCTGGGGAGTATGCGGAGCGGAAGAGACGGGAGGAGGAGCGCGAAAACCGGCGCAGAACCAATAGGGATCCGAGCAGGGACGACCGTGACCGTGACCGTGACCGCAGCAGGCATCGGGATGATAAAGATAGGGACAGGGACAGGGACCGTGATCGAAGTCGAAGCCGTGTACGCCCACGAGATTTGGTTGGGGCGGATCTTGGAAGGGACCGTGACAGGGACCACCACCGCGACCCTTCTCGCTCGAGGAGAGATCGGGACAGAGAAAGGGACAGGGAGCGTGATCGTGACCTCCGGGATCCTAGAGACACCAGAGACCGGGAAAGGGAGAGAGAAAGGGACCGTGACCGCGACCGTGAAAGAGGAGATAGGGATCGCGACAGAGATTCTAGGTACCGAGATGGCGGTGGCGGCGAAAGGGACCGTGACAGGGACCGAGATCGAGACCGCGACAGGGAAAGGGAAAGGGATCGCGGCGATCGTCACCGCTCCTCCCGCCACCATGATCGGGACCGTGATCGGGACCGCGATAGGGAACGGGAGCGCAGAGAACGCAGCGAGAAGTCGAGTAAGAGCGCACTCATTGGAGGCGCGGCGGTTACGCTGCTGAGTATTCTGACCGAGGCCAGTCAGCATTTGTGATGAGGACTGAGAAAGAGAGAATTAGAAGGGTTCATGGGTTTTGATACGATACTTTGGCTGGTTTGGACATGATGGATATACCACGGGTTTTCTTTTTTGACGATGACGACTATGTACAGCTCAATTGAATGAATGACTGGGTTTGTTTGTTAGTTCAAGACCTCGATCTAACTTCCATAAATGTTTTGTGCTGTGGATATGCTTGTTCCAATATAAAATGCACCAAATTGGACCTTGCTAGGTCCTTTTGGATCCCTACGTAGGTACCTAACCATTTTGATAATGTAAATATGCTGCTTTTGAAGTAGAATCTACTAACTTTTAAATTAGGGACAATTTTGAAGCAATTACGTGCAGTGTGGTAGGAGCAGGTACTGAGCAGATGAATAGACCAGTACTAGACCAGGACGTGGAAGAGATAACGATGTATAATTACTATGAATAAACGAAGAGTACCTAGGAAAAAGATGTGGGTAATGCAATGAGAAAGACTGAAGAAGAATAATTCAAGTCATGATCAAAGTACGTTGGATGATTTGAACAAAGCAGAACCCACGAACAAGTCCTATGCATCGCCAAGTCTAAGAAATCCATCAAATATGAATATTTCCAAGGTTACCTAGGTAGTAGGTAGAGATATCAAACAAAACCTAAGGTAGGTAGCTAAACTGAAACTAGAATGCTTCGCTATATGTTAGAGGTACTGTTGCTCATGACATTAATGGGAATCTGGTGTGCCAGAAAACCGTGCTATAGAAAAAACCGTTACAGAACGGCGATATCCGTGATCCTTGAAATAACCGTGCTCCTCAAAGAAACCGTTCAACTCAGAGAAACCATTTTAATAGAATCTCTAAGCTCTGATTGGCTAAAATAAGAATAGAGGGCCATATGTTGGGCGGGAGCTAGTGAGAGTTGAAGAGACTCCCCTTTTAAGAAGGGACGATGGAAAAGAGAAGGTTTAGAAGGGAGCAAAGGAGAGAGAAGGAGAGAGAAGGAGACGGAGTTCAAAAAGCCAAAGTTCCATCGACTCCCCAACTCTCCCAACTTCAACTTTTCAACCACTAATAACGACAACAACAACGGCTATCATCCCTAGGTAGGTACGGCTGCATCCCATTTCATTTCGTCAACTAATTTCAATATAGGCAATTAACGCAATGGCGATAGCGATGACGATAACGATAGCGATAGCGATAACGATGGCGATAACGATGGCGATAACGATAACGATGGCGATGGCGATATAAGGTAGTGAACTTGGTAGATTGGATTTTAGGGAGGAGGGGGGGGGTAACGAGGTCTTGGGAAGGCACGAGATCTTGGGAAGCCACGAGGTTTCAATTACCTTACCCAGCCTTAGTAGAGTAACTTCGTAGTATAGAGTAGAAAGAAGGCAAGAAGTACCTATTCCCAAACTAATCCAGCCAATCAAATCCCTTAGATCTCCCTAGAACGGTTTTTCTGAGCTGAACGGTTATTCTGAGCTCAACGGTTATCTCCAAAGATAGTGTTTGCTTACAATGAACGGTACTATGGAGGTACGGTGCTATGCACCCCCAATATCCCATTAATGGACTCTCCCGTTCCATCATCACCTCGATCGAGGTTTTATGCCCCCTTCGACCTCCTCGTAGTCCTCTTCCTCCCCCCATACCCCTTCTCCCCATGTGCAGCATTCCTCATCGTCCTCCCCAGCCCCGTTGGGCTTCCCATGCCGTGATCTTCATTCTCCCTAACAAACGCATCCAAGTCTCCAATCGACACTGTCGTCTGTTCCTCCGCCGCTCGCTTAGAGACGGCGGCGGGATCAGTAGCTTTATCATCGCCGAGCTTGGAGAGGAGCTTCTGCCTGGCCTTCCGGGAGTCGATGTCTTGGTAATCTACTTGTGTGGGGGGTGGTCCCTCCTTATCGTCTTTCTTGGAGCGGGTTCTGCGCTTTGTTGAAGCGGTGGCGGTTGTGGTGGTGGCAGGCGCGGCTGCTGGGGGAGTGGTCTCTTTGTGCTGTAACTGTTGAGCATGGCGTCCGGAAGTCGAAGTTCGAAGGGATCTAGCTTGGCGCCCTACCAGCTCGGCTCCACGAGGCGGAGGAGAATCGGCTGCCAGACCGTCCTCGCTTGCCGCTGACACGTTGCTCATCGCTCTCCCTAGGATCTCTCGCTTCCGTCGACGGGATTTGCCGGTGACGGATCCGTCATCGGAGCGCACGGAGGCGGCTTCGCTTGGTGCTCTTGTTACCGCGGTCATGGCCCTGGCCTCTATTGTCTCTACAGCCGTGACGGAGGTGCCTCTGGCCCCATGTGTGTATGAGAGAGCGCTGGCGAATGACGTTGCTGCGGCAGTTTCCATGCTGGCCTCGCCGTCACCACCGGCATCCAACAACAAGTCGACCAATCGATCCGTCACCTTTACCTTCTCGGCCCTTTTCTTCTCTTCTGCTTCTTTGAGCAAGCGGCGGCGGAGTTCTTCGCCGGTTTCGCCTGGGTCTTCTATCACCGGCTCTTCCTCCAAGGCTTTAAGCTTGCTCGGCGATTTAGACTGTTGTCGTTTGCCGGACTCTCCCTCGACAACGACTGGCAAGTCGTCTTCGCCAGGGAGGGGAAGATCGTCGTCGTCCGCTGCAGACTCCGCGTCAGAATCTGCTATCTCGCTTCGTATCTTGTGTAGTGGTTTGCGTAGTGGCTGCTCCTTTTGTTTTTGATTTGAAGAGGAGGCGGGCTGGGAGAGGTTGGAAATATCGGTTAGCGGTGCGCCAGCTGATGCTGCCGTCTTCTTTTTAGGTGTGGTATTCGCCGTGCTTGCTTGTCGCTGACTCGGTGCTGTCTCGTAGCTATCGTGGGACTCGTCTAATGCCGGTGCCAGCGCTGGCGTTGCTTTCGTGTTCTTGAACTCTGAAGCTGAAGATCTCATCTTCTCTCGGATAGCAGAGGTAAAGTCGGAGGCGTCCACGCGACTGCGTGATTTGCTTGCGGTGGCGGCGGCAGCCGGTTTGGGGAGTAGATCTTTATCAACGCTCTCTAGCTTGGATTGCTTGGTTTGCTTCTCCTTGGCCTTGTCCTGCCTAGGGACCTGGCTGCCCTTTGACGCCGGTGGTTCCTCGGAACGGATCTTCTGGTTGAGTTCGGGGAAGAGAAAATCCTCAATAGGGCACTTGAACCCCGAATTGATGCACGTCCACAACCATTCTGCCGTAACGATCGGTACCTTCCACCGGAGCGCCATGTCGAGTTTCTGTTTCCTTATAACTGAAACCGACGGTGCTACGAGAACAGACACATCAGCCGTGAACCTCTCTTCGTACCTGGCACCCAATTGCCTAATAGCTTTATCCACATGGTTGAGATCGACGCCCGTAAACCCTGCTGTCGAGATGGAAAGTGTATCGAAGTCTGGAATGGGAAAGGCGCGAAACGGCTGGCCGAGGGCATGCTCGTGGGGGTCGAAGAAGTATTTCTTGTGTAAACACCGTTCAATGTAAAATTCGGTAATGATGTAGACGTTGGGTGGAAGGCGGGGGTGGCTGTCTGGTTGAGAGTTCTGTGGTACGACGAGGAAGCGGTGAGCCATTTGGGCGCCAGAGGCAGACGCGCACTCGTCAAGGGTTTGACAGACGACGCCGCCGAGAGAAGCGACGGTGTTTATGAGGATTTCGGTCTCTTTGAGGGCAAAACCGGCAATGTAGAAGCAGCAGTAGGCAAATATGAACTCGTCATGTGGTATGCCGAACGACGAAAGCCTCGAGCCCTGGGTGTCCACCGATTGTGCTTCTGGGCCCGAAGGCTGTTGTTGGCTCGGATCGCGCGGGGCGGGTGCTGAGGCAGGCGGCTGTGGTTGAGAAGCTCCGGTAAGGGGAGCCGGAGCAGCAGCAGCAGGCGAAGAAGTGGCTGCCGGGGGTACACCCAAAATGCTTCCCCACAGACTATCCCTCTGGCTGTTGAGCTTGATACTAGCAGTCTTTCTCAGCTTTCTCCTCCCGGCTTCTTGTCCCTCGGCGGCGCTTTCTCTCAGTCTTTTGCCCAGGGAGGGAACGCGGCCGCTTTGTCTGTTCCAAGCACCAAGTCCTCGTTCGTCCTGTGGAAGAAGGGGATCGTAGTATTTCTCGTCTAGAATCAGGCCACGCTCGACGCAATCGTTGATCCACTCGACCGAAACAGTTTTAATGCCCCAGTTCTGAGCAGCCTGGTACTTGCGGCCTTCTGGCTTGTAGACGACGAGGTGGGTGACGCGGCGGGTCAAGTCGCCCGTGTATATGCCGCCGCCCTTTTCGACCATGTCGATGATGTGCTGGCGCTCTTCGGGTTCCATAAATCCGGTCGAGCAGACCAAGAGTTTTCGTCGGGGATGGATTGTGCCATCTACCAGGTTTGGCTCGCCGCCGCCGGTCTCGAAGGGTTTCAGCTCCCATTCCTTCTCGAGGGCGATGAAGTCGATGTCGGCGTCTTCGACCCAGAGCTTCCGGAGGGCTTCAATCCAGCCGGCGGCCATGGCCTTGACGTCGGGGCGTTCCTTTGCGACATGGCGGTACTTGGGCGTATCGTGTTCGCCGACGATGAGATGGGTACAATCGGGGGTGAGGTCGTGTTTGTGCTTGCCGCCGAGTTCTTCGGTCTTGTTGGCGATGTCTGTCTGTTGATTTTCACAGAGTCAGTTGGCTGTCAAGGGGAGGAGGGCGAGGCTGAGGGCGGCAGGTGGGTGGTACCCTTAGTTCTGGCGAGATGCTGGTGCAGCACACGACGACGCCTTTGAGAGGATGGGAAGGATCAAAGAGAACATGATCTGACGAGGGCGATCCGGCGCGCGATGAAGACGCGGGATGGTTGGACATGTTTGTCGCATTGCCCGGTTGTCTTTGTGGAACTGAAAATGAAACGAAGCAAAGGAACACCGAAGGCAACCTAGGCGTGAACTGTGAGTATTGGTGGACCGCGAACACCTCTACGGCTTGCGGGTGTCAGCAAGCAGCGCGTCGCGTGGGCACATGACTGCGGGCGGCCACCAGCCCTGCAGGGCACTTGACCATTGTGGGGCTCCATCCAGGTAGAAACCCGGGCAGCCAGGGGACCCAGGGTTTAGGGTTGGGGTTACATACCGTCCAGGCCGTCCTGGTTCGTCCCGTCTTCCGTCCGATTTTCTTCATTGCAAACCACCAAGTCTCAACCCTCAACGACATCATTCTAGGTACCAGTGGAGACCAATTTCTTGCTAGTATCAATGCCCACGAATTTCAAGCCTCGAATCATGTTCCTTTTGCAGCAGCGGCATCTGACCACCAACAGCGCCCCCGCAGGCCCCGCTTAAACGGCAGCAAGACCATGGCTTCCAACAGTCAATACATCACGACTCTGACCAAACCAATTCGTCCGTATCCACTACCTACTACCAGTTGGATCGCTAGCCCGAGACCTCTGGCCAACCTACCTTGTGCATTTTCAATTTGCAGATTGGGCTTGCAATTCATCAGTGTTATCCCAAGCCGAGTGGCTCTGACTCACCACAACGAGATCAGTGGTTTTCACCCTCGGTCCTTTCCGTTTCTAGCTGTCCGCAATACATACAGCGAATCATGATCTGATATCCCTCGTTCGGCTCGAGGAAACATGGTGATTGGCGCACAGGGCGGAGCTATCCTGAGGTTGTATTGCATCCAGATGCACATGAGAGACCGTCAAAGCCTCCCACGCCTACTGTGCCATCAGTGACCTTATCCCGCCTTTCTTCTCAAAGTCCTCGTCACGGCAACATCAGGTTAAATTGCGCGTCCTTGGATCATGAGACGTTCGCTGCCAGGGCATAATAGAGATTCGGGACATCGAACCAGCTTCTATCCGCAACCACACTGCAGAGATTGTGGGACTTTGTGACTGTAATTTTTCAGCAGTTGGACTTCGTTGACCAAGGTTGACAAAGCGCTTCTCAGGAATCAACAACCAACAACGAACGCCCTGTGGGCCGACAAGCCTTGTTGGTCTCTTGATGCTACATACCTTGAGTAGTAGCGTACCTATTGGATGTCTTCCAGGATGCTAGATAGGTACCCACTCGTGCCACTAGTGCACGCTACTTAATTTGGTGTAAGTCGCCCACCTTCCTGTTTGATCCAAATCCCTTCAAGTAATGGGTTCCTGCTTCTGCCAGGCCGTTACATACAATCAACCTGAACTGGTGTGATGTCTTGCCCGGGTCCCTGGATCCAGATCTAATGTACCAACTGTACTGTATCGGTCAGTCTTTTCGAATGGCGATGCCCCCTTAAAAATCAATGTGTTGCCATGTTGACTTACGTACTCCAAAATCAAGACCTTTCTTCATCATACGTCCCAGTCACCAAACCTCAGAGCCACCTGGCTGTTGCAGTCCAGTCCTCATCATGCCCGTCAAGTTTGCCATCAGCTCTGGCGCTCTGTCACTAGCGCTTTTGCTCTTTGGTCATGGCAACCCGTGCCTCGCCGAGACAACACCCGACACTTCCTATATTTACTTTGACAACACTCAATATCTTGCCGCATCCTCCAATGTTGTGCCGATGTCATGGTCCACATTGGAAGCCGCCTTTGCAAGCCCTAACCGCTCGGACATTGCCAGTTTCACCGGCCTGGACTGGACAAAGCCGTACCCCGGAAGTCCTCTACCAGGCTTCACTGCCCATTTGCGGATAGCGGACGAGGTGCGCTTTCCGCCCGCTGTGACGGACGAGAATGTCTCAACCAACGTGGCAGCTCTCAATTTCGGCATTCCATCTTCCATCAGGAAGGAAAATGGCCTCCCTCGGAGCATGCATTCCTCGTGGTATGTCTGTCAACACTATTACATCAGCACGCTACCTGACCCCACATCGGATATTGCGCACGACTGTTCCTTTCTGCCCAGTCAATGTCAGAAAGACCTGATAGCCAGCTTGACTCAGAACTGGGGAGCATTTAAGAGCAATCCCGACAGCAATACCATGTGCAGCGGATGGGCCCTTGACACCATCACGGAAAGCTGCCAAAGCACGCTGGGAAGGGTTAAAGCAGATATACTGGGTAAGTGCAGTCTTCGAATGTGGGCATGAGTGGGGGCTGACCGGTCTTCACAGGTTTCGAGGCGTCTGACCTCGGCGATGAGGATGCAGCCAGAAGTTTCGCAGTGGATGAAGTTGGACGTTTATCGTGGATGGTTGGCACCAACTTCAACGACCCGGGCAATCAGACATCTTATGCTGCTGCATACAACAGGACCTACATTGTTGCTACTGTGTTTGGGTACAACTCTGGATATACTGGTTCAGTCAAGCCGGTGGTAGAGCTTGCCTGTCTTCGAGGCCAATGGGGGACGACCCAGGCCACTTCTTCTTCTTCTTCTTCCTCGACACCGCCGGACTCATCTTCAGTCATTTCAACGACCTCGTCTGCCTCCGCCATCTCTGGGTCTAGTACAGCTGTATCTTCAGCGACTCGGGCATCATCGTCGTCACTGATCACTGACTTCCAGCAAAATTACTACTTCCACTGCATTGCCCTCCTCCATTATGCACTGCACAGGTATGTTATTGCTGACCACTGTCTTTCTGCATACCAGACCTAACAGCGAGAAATCCAATCTAACTTTTTTTCACCTTCTCAAGGTGGTACCACGGCTAAAAGGGTCTCGGGCAAATTTCTTAGGGCTTTGGTCCTACAGCTGTGAATACCTACAGCCACGGCCTCGACTCTGCTTGTATCTGCACCCATGTGCAGTCCGCGGCGGCGGCAGTCGCGGCACCAACCCAATTGGTAGGCAACATAGCACAGGCGCCCGGCAGACAACCAGAGCCCTACTACCAACTCGGGCTATGCGTACCTCTAGGTACACTCCACACACATACACTTAGAAAACACCCCAGGTAAGCCCGTTATTGAGTCACCAGGGAGCTAGATGCCGAAATTCGAGTATATATGTACCTCTAATAAAACCCGAACACCACTCACCAAGGTAGAGGTAGAGATACTCTACAATCCGTCTTGTCTTGTCTCCCTTGAGTTAACATGCTTGTGTTTGACAGTCTGTTGGAACGAAGGACGGATGCAAGAACAATAGAGTCAAAACAGTTAAGATCCATCGTTACCTCTAGTGGAAATGTAGTTCCTCTGTCGTTATCTTGAGTGTCTTCAAGGGGTGGACTTGAAGGGCGTACCCGGGGAGTTTCGAGACGTCGAGTGCGCAGAGGTAGAGTGTAGGCCGTACCGCGGCTGATCCAGTCAAGTACCTAGGTATGCTGATATGTGTGAGTTCATTCCGTTGCAGTCAGGGTTGCTGTCCCAAAGGAGCACCTTTGTAGTATTGCCGAGCTAGTATACGTTTCACTCAGGTTTCTGCGAGCATGTTGCAAAAACACCTAGGCAAGAGAAATAATTTACATGGTAGAGGTAAACAAGGGCAGCCTGCTATGTACCTAAGGTAGACGGCCCGGTGATAGGACAGGGTTGTGCTGCTGGCTCGTTGGGTCTACACTGCACTAGAGGTACCTCTGGAACACCTACGCCGGATCGACGCAGGGATTGGCAAGCGGCTAGCTACATATGCCACCGTGTAAAGTAGGTATATATAACAGACAGGATCGGATGATAGTAAAGATATTAAGGTACTCTATGTAGTACAAGGGCAGAAGTAGGTACTCACACAGGCACTACCTGCCTATACTAGATAAGTTGGAATGGGCGATACCGATGGGCGAGCGAATGAGCATTTGCTTCGTTGTCAACGAAGGTGCACACCTATGGCGGTCGTAACCGACCATGCTTCTGAATCCCGTGTTCAGATGCTTCCTCTTCCTAACAAGATGGCGACAATCCGCCAATCATCTAATCTCATGCTTCGCCTTCTTGGATTTTGGCTCCCCATACCGCATATATAAAAACTCTGCCTGGACTTAACCATGAAGTTCGTCAAGGCCAGTCAGCTCTCCCTGAATCCTTCATTAGAGGTACCCACCTCTACCATTCTCAACTGTGGCGTTCGTTTCCACTTGTCGGTTCTTGCTACCTATCCTTATCCCAATTTTGCGACGGGTCTTCCCAACCACCTGACGACGAACGGCATTCACCTAGTTCATGTTGTCCGTGTTCGGCTTCTCCTATTATCGTTCAGCGAGCCAGGCCCATCTCGATTGAACCTTCCTCGTCGGGCTGCCCATCTCCTTCCTTACACCAACCACGCCAATGTCCATTTTCTCGAGATACATTGTCAAGTCTGTCCCACGAAAGGCCTACAGCAGCTTCTTTTCGCGCCAGATGTCGTCGGCCTCTGACAGCATTGCCTATCGCCCTCCTCGAGGTGTCTTTGACGCCATATTCGAACGGGAAGGGTTCAGACTGCCCCGACAACCTCCCCCGGATGACCTTGAGTTTCGAGTTGCATTACGCGGGGAGCGTCTGCCCAGTTGCTTCACACACATGCTCGACTATTGCACCATCCATGGCATACGACACAACGACGCATTTGCTAGATCTGAAGCAGTTGTGAAGCTTTGCGAGACCTCTGAGGACAAACGCTATGCCAGGGCACGCAATGCCCGGCTTATCATGAGCAATGAGGTCCCGGATATGCCGACGGATGATGTTAAACCCTACTGTTTCTGGCACCCCGACACGGCCAAAGAAGAGACATACCGACTTTTGGCAACGCGCTATCCCGACATGGCGTATTCTGTCGGTCGAGCATGCGCTGTGGCAGGATATGATGGATTGTATCATGAGCTTGACATCCTTCCCGAGATCTCAATCGCTGAAGAGGCTAGAGAAAGCTCGGCGGCAAACGCGGGATCCAAGGCCATCTACGAGCACATCATGAAACAACCAATTTGCTACGCCGTTTTGAACGACTACACCAGGTTTGTCCACCACCAGAACCCGCGGTCACCGGCCTTTATGAACGGAGATACCGCCGTCCGATCAACACTAGATGTGACAGTCACCCCGAGGGATGTTCCAGACTGGTGTGATACCCGCCACTTTTTCGACATCGCCGAGGATTACCACGTTGCCGAGGTTACGACACACAAATATTTCTTCACATCACAGGGAACACTGCCTCCAGAGCACGTCGAACTGCTCTATTCCCCTCTCCCCTCGCATCTGCCCACCATCATCAAAGATCCGTTGATTGTCATGGCCGCTTATGAAGGGAATCTGGACCGCTATGTTCGCTTGCGTCGGCCCTGTATGGTCGAGCAAGAGCATGGGGCCGTCCTTCGTGGCATATACCATAACACTACATTTGCCAAGTGGTGGTCACTCCAAGGGGATAAGTGCGATTTCGATATCCGAGCGGCCACTCTCGCACGCTTCATTATGGTCAATGACTTGTCGCACATCACCGAAACAGATCCACATCCAGAAGATGACTCTGACGAGATTCCCGGAATGATATGGTGGCCCCTTATTCCTGCCGAGAGAACACTGAAAGCCCTCGCCAAACGCCGTCCGGATATGCACCTTCAGGTAGCCATGGCCTGCATTGCCGGCAACTACAAGAAGTTGTGGGACGAGTTGGCACCAGAGCCGTGTTATCAGCTGTATAACCAAGCTTCGTTAAAACGCGATCCTAGCGTTCGCAACCACTTTGTCGACTATCTCGAGCGTCGAGCTTCCGAGCTTGGATCGGACGTCAAAAGATTTCGTGCGGTGTGCGAAAATCTTGCTCACGACTGGTGCTTGAATGCGACAAGACTCGACAAGGAGCCCACTAGCTGCTGGTTGCCCAGCGAAATTAGCATACCGGGTCCAAGCGGCTTTCCTGACACGGACAATGTCTACGGAAGTCCCGACCAGACCAATTTGGCCGGTGAGGACTCCAATTGGGAACTCTATATCTGTTCGTCCGAGGAAGTGCGGGCCAAAATACCGGCGTCGCGGTCTGAAATTAGGTTGTATGACAGTGATGATGAATAGGGATCGTCAAACAGGCCGGGTTCACTCGTCAGACATTTCTGGGGCTAAAGTTGACTTTGCAGTGAGCGGAAAGAGAGTGAATTTGTGCAAGGGGCAGATGATGAGGATGTGGCTATGGCAGAGTTGTGAGCACAAGTTCTTGGTGGTGGTGCGTGTGTTTGGGAGAATTTTACATGCTAGGGGTACATACATGTACCTAGAAGTAGTAATATGAACGTAAAGACACTAAGAAGACCGATTAACCACCGCATAAAGCTATATCCTGAGAACGCGATCCTCAAAGACACGCGCGAGGACAGCAATCAGGCGTGCATCACCGCTGATTCCGACACACTAGGGCTTTTTCATGCTGGAATTCGTGGACATAGCAGGATCAATCCAATGCTGATTTGTTTGTTAGCCTGGTACTCCTGTACGTGGTATTCCTACACACGAGATCCATCCCAAGCTGTCCAAAACCTTATAAGCATGAAACGAATGGCTTGGTACGAGTCGGAAAGGGCATCTTAAGATCTGATACGACATATGAATCTCCGAGATAGCATAGGTATTCAAGGTGCGCTGAGGGTATCTACGCTTTGGTCATAGAGCAAATCGCCTGAGTTAGAGGTAGATGAAAAGCACCTGGGGAACTTGACCTGAGGTCTTGAACGATGGACAAATCACCTCTAGTATGGGATTGTATGGCATCGATATCTGTCTAGGAACAGATGGTGATGATGAGTGATGAATTAGGAACTTGAGAGACGTCCTCAATGCAAATAATGATTGGGACAAACAAACGCCGAGCGAACTGCCCTGGCTCTCCCCGCTTGTCTCCACAGCGGCTAGACCCCATTCGTCTGATGTGCGTGCCTGGGCGCGCCCTTCCGCTGTGGAACGCATGCACACGCTAAGCCACAACAGGACAAGTTTTGAGCATTGTGCGTCGGTCCCGCGCTGACCGTCGCTCCTCTTTCCCGCGATGTTCATCGACGCCGAGAACATAATTCCACAGCACATCAACCCACTGGACTGAATCTGTTTTTTTTTTTATTTCCTTTTGCAATAAGCCGGCCTGGAGTCCTTTGTACTTATAAAAGCTCGCGCGCCATCTATTCACTTATTCAGATACCCACAGACAGCGTCAGCAGACAGGTGAAGTGAATGAACCGCAGCCATGAAGATCACACAGGTATGTCCCTCTCTTCCCTTCCCTCACTCCAGTTCCCCCGCGCTTATGTCTCTCCGTTTCTCTCATGTCCACAACCCTCAAAACACCAGACACTCTTCATCCTCTATTCCATGTCCACAGCCTCTCTATTCACACTCCACGCCATTAATTCAACTCAACTCTCATCACCACATGCACCCGTACTAACGCCTCTCCCTCGGTCCCTCAGCTCTACGTCTACCCCATAAAAGCCCTCCGCCCCATCCCCCTCCAATACGCCCAACTCACCCCCCAAGGCATCAAATATGATCGCACCTTCATGCTGTACCACGTCAAAACCAAAGCGGAAGCCAACGATGGCAGCAGCTCCACCACGTCGACCGAGTTGAAGAAGATGCAACTCTCTTCCTACCCGCAATGCGCATTATTCGAACAGACCATCCTTTCACGCGATAATGGGCAGAAGGAAGTTCTCGTGAAATGGCACGCCCCGTCTCTACCCACCGAGGGTACAGGTAGTGAAAGTGGAGAGGAGCTGGGAAAAGAGCTAGAGCAGGCAGAGAGGGAACGGCTAAAGAGGCTGGAAACGGAGACGATCACCGTTGAGCTTGATCCGCCGCCGAAGATCGACGAGTTGGAGAAGATGGAGGTAAATCTGCATGGGAGCCCGACGACGTGCTACCAGGTTGGGGAGGATTACGACCGGTGGTTTTCGGAGCGGTTTGGGTTTGAGGTTGTTTTTGTTTATCTTGGGGATGGGAAGAGGCAGATCTTGGGGACGAGTTTACTGCCACCAGCGACGTCCCGGCAACAGCAGCAACCGCCCGGAGGAGGAGGGGGATGGCTCTCCACACTAACAAGTCTAACCTCCTGGTTCCCCACCGTTTCGATCTCCATCCAAGCAGAACGCGAAGAAGACCGGAAGCCAAAGCCGTGGATCACATTTACCGATTGCGCCCCCTTGTTGATCACCTCGGAATCTTCCCTCTCTAACGTCTCCGCCCGCCTCGCTCCCGACATGGACTCTACTTCTTCCGAATCAACACCTCTGCAAGTCCCAATGTACAAAATGCGCCCTAACCTCGTCTTGGACGGTGAAGGGGAGGAGGCGTGGGCAGAAGATTACTGGGGTGAACTTGTCGTTACCTCGAGTTCCAATTGCTCGCCGACAAACGGCAACGCCAACGGCAAGACAAAGATAACAAAAACGAAACTTTACCTCACAGGCAATTGCGTCCGCTGCACCAGTCTTAACGTCGATTACGACACGGGCAAGCCGGCCAAAGGGGAGATGGGGACTGTTCTCAAAAAGCTGATGAAGGATCGGAGAGTGGATTCGGGGATCAAGTGGAGTCCTGTGTTTGGGAGGTATGCATTCGTGGGGGATAGTGTTGGCGATGGAGGGGATGAGCAAGAGCAAGAGGAAGAGCGAGAAGAAAGGGAGCCGGAAGTATGGATCAGCGTGGGCGATGAGGTGCAGGTGACGAGGAGGAATGAGGAGAGGACGGTTATGGATTGGCCATTTTGAAATGCTCGCTTCTGTCAAAGACTTGGGGACATGGAGGCGCGGGACGAGATGCGGTGGGTGTTTCTTGAGGTATACACCAAACATGCATTTCGGCCGGGTAGTTTTGAAACCCGACCCAAAATTCCATCCAAACTCGTGCCATCCGAGACATCAACCACAACCACCGCTATAGCCCAAGACGCCTCAACAACAAATCCACCTCCCTCGCCACCATCTCTGGGTCGTCCTTTTGGATAAAATGCCCACAGCCCTTGGCAATCTTGACCGGCACCACATTCTCGTCACCATCACTCTCACTGTCGACCGCCGCCAGACGGGTCAACCCCTGGTTGTACCGCTGCCAGGCCGGGTTCATGTACCCGTTGATGACAGCTTTGGGGATGGACATTGGGCCCTGTAATTGGGGAGAGGTGGAAGTGGTGTGAGAAGAACTGTTTGGCAGGTAGGTAGAGGGTGGTAGTTTCACGTTGGACAATGGGAGGGGAATGGGAATGGGAATGGCGCAGGGAAGGAACAGACCTTTTCGTTATGCTCTGCAAAGACGTCCCAATCATGACCAATGACTATCACCCTTGGTATGGCAATCCGTTTCCTCGCCCCTTCCCTCGTTGTGCCTTGGTCCTGCTCATCCACGGGTAATCTAAGCCTCGGCTTGTCAGAGAACGGAAGTAGACCCCTCAACCCCCTCCGATCTAACCTCTCCGGATTTCCCACACTCGGATGAAACTTCTCTCTAAACTGCTTCCTTGTCCACCTCAACGCCTCCTCATCCACCCCTTCTCTCAAATCCTTTGCAGGATCAAACCCAGGCGCGTCCGGATCGGGAAACACGGAAACAAAGTCCGAATTAGCCATCATCGAATCGAGAAAGAGATACCCGACTACCCGCACGTCAGGGAAGTAGCGACCGTTGTAGAGCCGCACGAGGGGGCAGCCAATGCTATTCGCCACTATCACCACGTCCAGCTCCTTCAGGTCCCGAGCCAGGAACTGGCGAGAGACGAGGAGCAGCATCTGGTGCAAGTCATCCACCACGTCCTCGGGTGTATGTCCATAGGGCGTGTCGTCCACGGCCGGATCGGGATCACTTGGATCGGGATCGGAGGCGCCTTGGCCGAAGCGGTCGTAGGTGAGGATGTTGGGGATTTTCATGATTTCGGGTACATGTATCCCATTTTCATATGCACTCTCTCCTGCCGCCGCCGTCGCAGACATGGATGTGTTGCCATGACTCCCGTTCTTTTCAGGCACAACACCGGTTTTGGATCCAGTATTGGAGGAGGAGGAGGAGGAGGAGGAAGAAGAATAAGATGACGAAGTAGAAGACCGTCGTCGCTGCTTGTCGCGGATGCGCAAGAAGCGGGAGATGGCCTCAAACCACGAAGAGCGAGGGAGGATGAGGCCGTTGAGGAAGACGAGGAGGGTTGATGAGGGTGGTAAAGCTGCTGCGATGTCTGGTAAGGAGTCTGCAAAGTTCGAGGTGGACATGGATGTCCCAGGGAAGAGGGCTGAAATGCGCAGACTGGCTGAGGGTTTGTGGGGGAGGGTGAGGGAAATGTCTTGCAGTTTCATTGGGCAGGTATGACTAGATGTGGGGGTAAATTGAAAGATACGAGTTGGATTGGTGTGTATCGAATATATACTCTAATGGTGTAAGAGATGGATGTAATTGAATCGAACTGGCAAAGTGGTAAGAAATCGGAGTGAACAGACAGTGCACATGTGTTGATGTCGTGTTAAAGGTGGATGACGCTGTTTGGGGAAATGCGGGGCTCGGAGATCACGACTACCCTCACATCGGTGATGTTGGATCCCCGTTCCCTGTTATTGGAAACGAACTGGTGGGACGGCCCGAGAACGGCAGTACGGGTACCTTAAATTTGATAGAAAGTGTTCGTTGTTCGTTACCAACACAACGGTGCTTTCAACCCGTCAAGAATCCGCCAAATGCCTAGGTATATACACCTCCAGCGACCCTTCCCCTACCAAACCAAGATATCCAGGCCTTCGAAGCAAGCAAGATAGACAAAATCCAAATATATCGAAAGTAAAGGGGGTATCCACAAAACCATAACCTCCCCAAAGCCCAGGCTATCTACCTACGTACACAAGCATGAACCATCAATACAATCCCTACTCCCTAGATCCCACCTGCAGAAACATCCAACCCAACCATGCCATCTAAGCATACCACCCACTCTGGGGATCTCCCAAGCACTCGCCCACGGTGCCCGTCCCAAACCCCCTCGCTCTTAGGGTGGCCACCATCTCCCCCACCAACCTCTCCACCGTCCACCGATGCACATCATGACTCAAGACAATCGCCGAGTCCGTCTGCGGATTACTTCCCAGCTCGTTGTTGAACTTGTCCACTGACACCTGAATCCCCGCCTGACTATCATTCTCGTAATCCTTGGTATCCACATCAAAGTTGACAACATGCAACCCCATTCCCTCGAGATCCTCCAAACATCCATTCTCGCAAGTCGCATACGGCGGACGGATGTATCTCGGCTTGACACCCACCACTCTTTGCAGCACATCCTCGAGTTTGGTGACTTGCTCGACGCGCTGCGCTGTCGTGGCCGTGGTCAAGTCCAGGTGGGACCAGGTGTGCGAAGCGATCTGGTGCCCCTCGCTGAGCATGCGACGGAGGATGGACGGGTAAGGCGTGGATTCATCGTCGATGCCTGAGACCCAGTTGGCGCCGTTGACAAAGAAGGTGGCGCGGATGGGGGGCGAGTAGGAGGCTAGCGTGTCGAGGAGCTGGCTGGTGTAGATGTAGGGCCCGTCGTCAAAAGTGAGGGCGATGATGCCGGGGGTTGTGCAGTGGGTGATTACCTGGCCGGTGGGCACTGCTCGGTGGAGGAGGTACGATGAGGATGACGAGGACGAGGTGTCCTGGTTGGGATAATGATGGTCAGGCCCGTTGTTGTTGTTGTTGTTGTTGTTGTTGTTAGGGTACAACTCCCGGGATGGAGGACTTTTATTTCTCATTAATTGTTATCAAACACAATAGTTGCAGTTTCGAGGACGACGGTCTTACACTAGCATTGGGATTGCACGTCCTTGGATCACGAGAACCCCAACAGGCAGAAATGTTGACCAGCGCATCGTAGCTCTCGAAATCAATAATATCTTGTCCAGCCAATAGTCATTGGTGCCGATAGAAATCGGAATCGTAATCAAAGAGAGGAAGACCAAGTCGGTACACTCGAAGATTGTAGCAGAACGTAGCAAAAGACAGATACACAATGAACAAGACCCATACCAGAAAAGGAAGCCGGACTTCATCTTGACCGGACACAGAAACGGACCGGGACTTATATACAATACATCGACTACAGTCTCCTCGCGAGAAGGCAAGCAGGTCTACGACGGTGTTGCTCTGCCACTTCAACTTGCCAGAACAGGTAGTCCGAGCGGCGAGACCAATCTCACAAGCCCACTTGAGATGATCGTCCAAAATGATGCCCAAAGCGCCTGTCAGAGCTGATATCTAGCGCCCTTTTTTCGTATTTCTCGAATGTGCTCGGACGTGTGCTTGGTGGGTGTGATTTGAACGTCAGAGGCTCTCATCCCTTGCGGTCCGTCTCAGACCGGTTGAGCATCCCTCTCAGCCTTGTGGTCTGGGGTACTACCCCTCGATACCACGAGACGCTGTGGAAACAGAGGTTAATGGATTTGCATTGCAGCGCTCATCCTCCTGGGCTTGCATATACGGTCCAACGATATCTGACATGGTGGACCGGGAAGACACGCCAATGGTCGACGTGTACGGGTTATATTGAAGAAGTTTGCAAAACGTGCATGTGTCACCCCGCCGCCTCAGGTCAGACTACCATTAAGCAGTGAATGGGTGGGGGGTTGATAGGCAAATAATGCAGAGCAATGTACGCTTGAAGGGGATATATGAAAATCTTAGCGCCCGAACCTGTTGTGTTGCTTCATTATCGTCCGCCTTTCCTGTGATCATCTACAATCACCGAAAGAAAGCGGACTCTGTCCAACCACTTACAGGACTTTGTGGCGTCTGCCTCGTGGTATAGAATGCTGACTGGTTCACACGTATGAACCGTTTGCGTAACGCGACACTGGCGCCACTAGTCCTCGCATCTCCCTCTGCCGAACCCGTTTGCTTGGCCTCGAGAACACCCTCCCCCCTCGAATCACGCCCGGTTCTTCCGTGCTGACCACCAGGCCACCTCACTTGATGTCATAACCTTTGACTTTGAGGTATGTGCCTGCAACCGCCAGGCTGAGGACAGCCCAAGGAAGCTGGAGTTCAATGACGGACCACACCCACAAGCAACCCACGGGTGGCGCTTGCTTCATGACGGCCAGGTATCCGTACGTGTTTGTGATGTGGATCAGGTAGCATCCCGAGCACACGCTCATGACAAAGAAGATGACCTGTCGGAGGTGGTTTTGGTAGCGGGCAGGTAGGCCAGGAAGGATGGTCGGGTTCGAGGAGTGGGCGTGGAGAGTGTAGACGAGGAAGCCGAAGACTGGGCAGGAAGACGTCAGTAGGTGATATCGTGGGTGGGTGGGCTCGTATTGACATACCCAACAAGGCTTGGATTGCCCTCGTCCAGACCTTGGGCCAGACGATGCGATCGGCGGAATATTGGTTCTGGACAAAGACGTCCAAGGTGAAGTGCAGCATGGCCAAGCTCACGGTGTAGAGGGTGGTGTCGAGGAAGCGCTCGGCTCCGGGAGACAGTGGTTCGTCGTCATCGTCGTCGTCTTTCTTGCTTTTCGTCTTTTCCGGCTTCTTTATGGGCATCTTTTTGATCTTGGGGGGATTCTTTGCCTTGTCGTTTTCCTCCTGCTTCTTGCGCGCCTGCTCAAAGAGTCCCCTTTCCTCGGCGAGCTCCAGCAGGGTCTTTTCCTTGGGTCCACTGCGGTCGGGTTGCTGGAACTTGAGATTGGACGGAGACTCGGCGCGTTTTCTGCCCATCTTGGTGTTTGTGACTGGCAATATGATGAACTTGAGAATGTTTTGTTGTGCGACGACACGGAGGGAAAGCAATGGAAGTGAGATACCGTAGTTGATGGCGGAAGACGCGAGGATGACGGTTAGGTAATGATGCCCCTGGAGCTCCAGTGGGTCGGCCGCTACGTAGCTACCCTCCTTACCTACCTCTAGGTAGCTCCCGCAATTGTCCCACTTGTACGATAAGAAGGAAGCCTCGATAAGACTGAGGTAGGTAGGTTTCAACTACAACAGGAACTGAACAATCATCTTGGTGTACCTCTGTCTACTGTAGTGACTCCAGTTTGAGATTGTCAACTTCTAGGCTATCATCAATTTTCCAAGTATTCTCCGAGTGTCCAGGTCTGTGATTGGTGTGGATTGGAGGAAGACAAGGAAGGCAACCAGAAGTAGGATACTCAGAGGTAGCTTCCATTTCTTGTTTGTTCCCTCTTTCTACAACCTCAACAACCACGCGCCTCCCCGCATCCCCATGAACACACGCAGTCAAGGATAAGGGGGAATTCTTAGGGGTATGATTCCATGTTCTTTCCCTTGCATGCAAGTATGTAGGTCGTGACTCCAGCCAACCGGCCTCGTGTGAGACATTCCATCCCTCCTTAGTCCGTCGTCTTCGTCCCACCTCCCGTCGGCCCTTGCCGTTCCGTACGATGGGTATCGAGCTCCCGCATGTTTCCATTCGACCTCAGATGGCGGGAGAATCCAATCTTCACCTCCCGTCATATTTGTTTCCTGCCTTCCATTCTTGTCCTTTTCAACGAAGTCCGTTAACGTTGTGCTGGAGAACAGTACAGGCACCTGATAGTATCCATTGTACATAACTGACGCTATTCTAGGCCTCCGCTCCCCCACAATCCGCCGGGCCCGGGCCCGCCATCTCCCAAGTGGAAGCGGGCCCGACCTCGATAAAATAAACATATCCCTGCTTGCCTCACATCCACGCCACGATAGCGCCCAAGCTTCAGGGGATCACCCGCTGTCACCACTCACCACCGCGTCATGAGGCTACGACCCCAACTTCTTCCGGCCATCATCCGAGTCCAACCAAGTCCAGGTCGCCAACAACAGCCAGCGCCGCCATGAACTGGCTAACAGCCCTCAGCCTGGCCGCCGTGGTGATCCCCTCGCTCTACATCTACACCGTCTCCATCGTCGCCACACGTTTCCCCGTCCTGCGCAACAAGCGCATATGCCTGCTGATTGCCCACCCGGACGATGAGGCCATGTTCTTTGCGCCGACGGTGCTGGCGCTCACGAGGCCCGAGACAGGCAACCATGTCAAGATTCTGTGTTTGAGTAGCGGTAAGCGCTCCTATTCCGTCCATCCGACCTTTGCCCATCTTTCTCTGCCTTTCCAACAATTGCTAACCAGCCCCGAACAACAGGCGATGCCGAAGGCCTCGGTCCCACGCGCAAGCGCGAACTCGCCAAATCCGGCACTTACCTCGGCCTCCGCTCCCCCTCCGACGTCTTTGTGATCGACTCGCCCTTCTTCCCCGACAGTATGACTACATCCTGGGACCCCGAGCGCATTTCCCACTTGCTAGCCTCGGCTTTTGCTCCCGAACTCAAAGAGACCACGAACATCGCTTCCGCCAGCGCCTCGCGATCATCCAAGAACAAGGGAAGTGCTGGAAAGGCGGAAGTGAAGCCCACAATCGACACCATCATCACTTTCGACAAACACGGAATTTCGGGACATCCGAATCACATTTCCCTCTACCACGGCGCTAGGTTGTTTGTGAGTCAGTTGTTGGCTGCTACGGCCGGGAAGAACAAGGAAAAGGGGCAGGGGCAGGTGGATCTTTACACACTTCCCACGCTCTCGCTGCGGCGCAAATACAGCGGGATCCTGGACGCCCTTCCTACACTGTTGGAATGGGCATGGTCAGCGGGTATCACAAAAAAGGATAAACACGAAAGGCCGGGCGGCTTGGTATTTATGAACAACCTTATCCCTGGCGAGGGGTGGGCGAGTGTGGACAAGGCGTGGGCGGCCATGACCAAGGCACATGTGAGCCAGATGAGGTGGTTTAGGTATGGGTGGATTGGCCTGAGTAGGTATATGTATGTGAATAGTTTGTTTAGGGAGGTTGTTCAGCCAGCTACGGCCGACAACTAAGATTCCTCAATGAGTGATGGGGATAAATGAGGATTGCTTTTTTGTTTTGGTTAGGACGGAAAGATCGGAAACGGCGGTTATAGCCGGAGAGATGAGTATAGTTAACGGGGGAGGGAGCTCCTATGGAAAGAAAACATCATCGCGTCGGCAGTTTAGAAAAACATGCGCTCTTCGGGTATCTATATTGTCAAAACACTTTTCCTCATCAAGTCGTAATCCCCCTCCAAATCCACCACAGCCAAGAGAAAATATCAATACTGCAATCAGTCCACGCGCCCTTGCTGTTCAGCCTCGGACACAGCCCGTCCAACCTCAAAACCACCTACGTCAACAACCTCAACACCATCTCTGCCCTCTTTCTCTCCATCCTCTTCCCTTCTTCTTCGACACTCCTTCCCCTCCGTCTTACCTCACTCATCACACCTTGCTCGATCTGCCTCTGTTCCTCTTCCCTCTCCCTCCGTGCCATCTCATCCATCCCTAGTATCTCCTCCACCAACTGCTCCAAACCTTCCCTCTTCACCGCCCTCGGCCTCAACGTCTCCATCGTCTCGCCCGCCGCCCTCTGCAACTTCTCCCCATTGAGAAGGTCCAAACTCTGTTCTCTCAGTCGATTGAACCCCCTCGCAGTTTCCGGCCTCAAATCCATACTCACCACCGCCGCCTTGCGGACTTCGGTCCACCTCTTTTCCGCTCTGAACCCCTGCGGCGCTCCCACCCCGCGCTTAAAACGCACTACGCCCGTGGGAATCTCGTAGTGGATCGTATCGGGCAAGAGGCCTGGGAAGGCATGGATGAGTTGCGGGATCAGACGGGTGGAGATGTCGTGGGAGGGGAAGATCTTGACCTTGGTCGCGGGTTTGTTAGGGCCGGGGAGGTGGACGGGGGATTTTATGCGCTTGAAGAGGAGGGAGAACCACTTGGCAAAGGTGTGGACGATGTAGTCTTTCCGAAGCAGGGTTTGCTCCCAGAGGAGGGTGTCGTGCGCTGGAGAGTGGCTGAAGGCTGCTTGGTCGAGAGCGTGCAAGGGGTAGAGGGATTGTAGCTCTTCCACTTGCTTGCGGTAGAGAGGTTCGAGGTCGAGCATGATTTGTATGGCGCGCTCGATCTTGTTGTTTTTGATCAGCCATTCGACGTAGATTTTGTATTGCGGGAAGCCGGGTGTGGCGTTGTAAGGAGGGGAGGTCATAGTGTCCCAGATTAGTTGAACTGCGTTGCGGTGTAGTCGGTGGCCGGGGATCGAAACGATCTTCCACTCTTGTGCTGCCCGGGGCGAGGTGTGGATGTAGGCCCATTCTAGCAGTTCAAACCAGACTGATGAGGGGATCGGCAGGCGGTATACGGCAGAAACGTGATCGAGCATCTTGCACGCCATGGCTATCATGCCGTTCGACCCATAACAGGTGGCGATTGTCTGTAAAAGACGGGTGGTAGGAGCCATGGGCGAGCCAGGCAGAAAGTCTCGCCGCCCGCCGGTGATCTTCAAGTCGCCGGTTTCGATGGAGCCAGAGACATCAATCTTGTAGTTAAAGTATAGAACGGACTGTACGTCTTCCAGTACTCCTGTCCTGGCGTAGGCGATGAGAGCAGCGCAGACGAACTCTTCTGACAGTAGATGTAACCGGTTTCGCGCGGTGCCAAAGACGAGATCGACGGGTGAAGTCCGCCGTAACATCCTCATCAGGTAATCCACCTTGTGCTCTGCGCCAGGATTCTGCCCAAACCTGTCCAGCCGCTTGTTGGTCTCGTCAAAGTTCATCTGTCGCAGCTGAGACAAGTTATCAGGCGTGAAGTACGGCAGAAACCTCTTCTCGGGAAACAGGTTTACAGGCTTGACGCGGAAGTCGTGCCGGTTGTGTTGGGTGTACAACGGTTCCGTCAAGAATCGGGCCTTGAGAAATTCGGCATACAGGTCCGTCTGGCGCTCCCACATCTTTTCAGAGACGTTCATGTGGAACCAGATCTTGCGGGCCAAGAGGGGGTCCGAAATCGATCCGGCGTATCGCAGCAGGACCTTGTAGTCGGACAAGAGAAGGGGCGAACCCGAGCGGAATCGACGAAAGGCAGCTTCGTGAACGAGGGGGTAAATCTCGGTGTTTCTTTTTCTGACGCCGTAATTATTGACCAGAGCCCCCAAGGGGGACCAATCGGCCATGGCTGGGTCGACCCATATGTCTCCCAACGGATCTTGGTCTTTGCGAATGGCTTCGACGGGGTCGACGGAGCGGAGAAGTTCGCTGAATGCTGTTGGGGGAAGTTGAAGAATTTCGAGTTTGTTCTCTCTGAAATAAGAGAGCATTTTGTGGGGTTGTCTGAAGGCCCCGGTGAAGCCGTCTATCCAAGGCGACCGTTTTATCGGAGGCGGTTTCTTTGCGACGATGGGTCTTGCGAGAAGGGTTCGAAGGAGGAGGAGCTCGTCTTGCTCGAGGGGCTGTCGAGGTCCATCAAGTTGGTGACCGAGTCCATGGTGGGCAAAGTTGCCTGGGTAGGGAATTGCTGAGATGGGTTTTGCTGTTTGGGTCGTAGAATGGGGGAGCTTCTGGAGCTTGTTGACGGCGGAGGCTGGTCGTCGAGATTTCGGAGAAGGAGCTCGAACCCCACGACAGGAGAGAAGGGCAGCCATTGGTTTGCGAATTGGGGTCGACGGCGCGTTGTACACCACCCCCATTGGCGTCTTTCGTCCGCAATTGAAGCTCAGCCTGCGGTGTTGAAGCTGAGTGCCCCTGGTGGGTGTAAGTCGAGGTGTAAGTCAACCCCGCTAACTCAAAGAGGAGAAGTGCGATGGATCTCGCGATGCCTTTGCAAATCCGGGGAAGGCCTGCTGTCACTTTGGGCGCCTGTTCCTGCCAAGATCTTGCCCAGTCGAAGCTCTGGCATAAGCGTTTAAGAACCGGTCAAGCTTTCACTGAGGAAGCGGTCAGTGCGTCGGGCAGCTTCAGTTGCTCTTGGCATGCGACCAGCTGGCACTGACCTCAATTCGCAACGAAGCGAGCGCTTCCAATCGGGCAGGCATGGAAACCCCCCCCCCGGGCCGTCCGTCACTGGCACTGGACGGACTCATCATTCCTGTTCTAGGGCGCTGCAGCTGAGGTCCCCGCCATCAACAACAGGAACACAACGCCAACTTCATTATTTTCTGTCTCTTCACTCGTTTTTTGTCTTTTTGGCTCTTTTGATATCACACATCACACAAAATGGCCGACGCAGTAGAAGATGCCGGCTCCGTTTCCGAGCCCATGGACCTCGTCCGCCTTTTGCTTGATGAGGTTGTCTGCGTCAAGCTGAGAGGTGATAGGGAGCTCAAGGGCCGTCTGCACGTAAGTCCACTCTTTATGTTTACATGTCCCCTTTTCAGTCGTCACCTCTTTTCCGTTACCCCTCACTCACCACCACCCGAACTCATTGCTAACTCGGATACTGTGACGTAGGCCTACGACTCCCATTGCAACCTTGTCCTCGGGGAAGTCGAAGAGACCATTTACGTCGTGGATGATGAAGATACCGAGGAGGATGACCTGAAGGTATGCCATCTCATCACTTACCCACCGCCACTCTCTCGTCAACCCACCTCTCACCCCTTTCCCGTTATACTCACCCTCCTTTCGCTTTCCTTCTCATACCACTTTGTTCTTTTTATGCTCTTCCCTTCCCGTTACTCTCATATTCTAACAAAAGACAGACCATCTCCCGCAAGTCCGAAATGCTCTTCGTTCGCGGCGACTCCGTCGTGCTCATCTCGCCCTTTACCCGTTCTTGAGAAGAGGCCGTGTATGTGGAGCGACCAGTTGACGAGCACGATTTCCGCCACCGCTACGGCATCAAGCCCTTCTCCGGTGGCCCGCTTGGCCAGGACCGGTTGCCCGTCGGCAGGTGGAACTTATCGCACGTGGCGGATGAGGCGCAGTTTTGGGAGGGGGTAGATAGGGAAGAGGAGGGGCATTCGGAAGGGAAAGGAAAGGGAACGGCAACGACGGAGGGTTCTGGACAGTCAGCAGCCGAAGGTTTGTCTCAGTGGGAGTTGGACATGGGTCGTCGTTAGCCTACCTAGGTGGTGGCTTCCTCCAGGTCAAGAGGGGCGGCGCTTACAAAGGAAACCGGTAACCATGCTTCGGGAGGAGGATAAGAGAGGAAAACGAGGAGAGAGGTTGGCTTTAAATGTGACTATCACCGTCATCACATCATGTTCGTCGTTTGTCGTTGGAGCCGAAAGATAGATCACGGCACAGATATACCATTGTTATTCCCGGCCATGGAGCATTGATAGCCAGGCAATCTGCTTCCTTTTGAGGAGGCTGAAAAGGATCGCTCGTACAAAGAATACAGTACGCTGCTCAAGAATTTTCATATGTTCATTTAAGAATACCCGTAGGTCACTCATCTTCCACCAAGACACATACAAAAGCCACGTGGTCCATACTACTACTACTTAAATATCTGCAGATGGTGAGTCACTACTAGTTCTGTACTGTGCCCTGACTGCGCCGCTCCGTATATGAGCCATCAAAACAATGAGATGAGGCCATGCATCAAAGGAAGTATAACAAAAAAGATAACGCGACCCCCAACTTGGATCACCACAACATCATCTGCCCAACGCCAAGCCAGCACCAGGCGCCAGGTCACTAAGCACCAACCTTCACCTCGTTACCGCCACCCTCATGTTTGACATCTTCAACGCCCGCAGCCACCTTATCACCCCCTTCACCCACATTAACCCCGCCCAACGGCCGTTCGGGATCATACCCTACACTCTTGACGATACCCAACCCCTTGGTTCTGCCTTCTCTGAAGAGGAGTCTGTCTCCCGGGACTAGATATTCGGGTCTTTGGACAAACCGGAACGCGACGGTAGCCCGATCGCCGGTTCTGATAAACGGACGATCAACGTCGATGATGGCGCATGTCTGGGAGACGGGGCCGACATGAAGCATGGCCTGGTATTTGGTTTTGATGGTGGTTGCGTGGGAAAGGATGAGGACTATTGCACGTTAGGATACATACAGAATTTTTTTAATGGCACCAAGGGGCAGAGAAAAGTGAAGGCAAAAGGAAGCGGCGTGTTTACCTTCAGCAATGAACTCCCGATACACCTTCGGCGGTCCACTTTCAGTCTTGGAGAGCACCACCATTCCCTTACGAACGTCCTTTCTCTTGACCCTCTTCAACGCGAAGCTGGCCGACTGGCCCGCGCTCGCCGCCGGGACGCCTATCCTCTTCCGCTCAATCGACCTGATCGCCGTGGTCGTGAACTTGCCCAAGCCATCCGGCCCCAGGTAAACCTCATCACCCGCATGGATGACCCCCGACTTGACGATTCCCGAGACGACCGTGCCGACGTGGGGGACGCTAAAAGTGTCATTGACATGGAACTCGAAAGGCGCGTCGGCGTCGTACCGTCCATGGTGCGGCAAGATGTTCAGGAACGAACGGACCAAGCTCAAGTTCTCGCCTGTTACGTTGCTGACCTGGAAGATGGGGCAGATGCGCTGGGAGACGAACTGAGTGGCCGTGTTGATGCATTCCTCATGGTTCTTGATGAAAATGGGGATCTTCCTCGCACCAGGAGACTTCAAGATGCGGGTGATCTGGGTGATGGTCTGTTCCAGGATGTTAGGCGGGCAGATATCGATCTTGGTAATGACCACCATTATTGGCACGTTCAGCGCCAAAGCAATACCAAGATGCTCTTTGGACATGCCTATTAGCCCGTTGTTGGCCGCTACCATTAGCAGGCAGTAATTTGGCGACGATGACAACAAGCCGAAGACGGTCGTCCTAAGATACCGTTCATGCCCAGCAAGATCGGTAAAAGTGATTACTTTCGCACTGCGCTTGCCTATTTCCTCCCACGAGAGCTTGCGACCGGGCGTGTCGGAAAGAATGGTCTGACCGTGCGAGTCGAAGCCCATGATTTCCATGCCGACGGAAGACGTACGACCGGTCTCAATCTCGTGCTTGTGTCGGAAAAGATTCACGCGTGCGCGACCGCGACCGTCGTCCAAGTCGCCCTTGACCAAAACACCCAGCATCGAGGATTTGCCAGCGTCGACATTGCCCACGACTGCTATTCGCGTTTCGATAACCTCCTCGGCTGCGGACGGCCGTCGACGGATCATCACCTTGCCGCTCACGTCGCCATCGCGGGTCGGGGTACCGTCGAGATCGCCGCCCAAGTTCTTGGTTAATAGCAGCTGGCAGTCGGCATCAATCTGGGCTGCGGCCTGCGATAACCTCTTGTATGCCACCTCCCAATCCTCCTTGGTCAACTTTAAGCTCTCGCCATGGTTCTCGAAGCCGATGTCGAAGACGGATTCGCCGTGTCCTTCGTCCAACCGCTCACCAACGATGTCGGCAAGTTTCTGGAGGGAGGCGTCATCGTCAGGGGCGGACAGCAGAAGGTCGCGAAGTCTTATTCGCGGACCGGGCTCGGAGAGGTTGAGGCTGTCGAGGATGTCGTCGAGCTCAGCATGATGTTCGACTTCGGGGGCGATTTTTGAGGATAACGTTGAATTTGGGCCTGCCGCTGCTGATGTTGTCGCAGTCTGGCTCTGGGCAGCCTTGTTCGGATAACGCAATGCTTGCTGTCTCTCGACGTACTCGGCAAAGTCGCTAAGGGCAGCTTCGCCTTTTCGTCGTTCGTGCGGTGCCTGTTTTGATGCCATGGCTGCGGTCGGGAGGTGAGCGATAAGAGGGGTCAGGAACCAAGTGTTGAAAAGATCACAAGTAAGCTATGGAATATATCCTAAGAATCATTGGGCCAGAAACAGTTGGGATGAAAGGTAGTAGGTATTCAAGCTGATATTAATTTGTAGGGACGTGGGAGACAGAGGTAGTGAACGGTGAGACGGTATTTTCGTCAGACAATGACAAGTAGGTAAGTAAAGAGCTTCAAAGACACAAGTAGATGGAGTATATGTCAGATGCAAAACTAGGTAGTAATGGCAAAGGCTGAAGAGTGTGCCTTCTTGTATGCCTTGAAGTAGAAGCGAAGTTTCGGTGATGTTCTTCTCGCCGTCTGAGTCGAACCCGAATGGAAGCCAAGGTATGTACCTATGGCATATGCGGGCGTCAGGGTACTGTAGCGGTCGAAGAGTCATCCAAATCAATTGATGCCCCTGCAGTGCTGTTGGAAGATGCACACAGCAGTCGCCTTACCCACAATCGATGACGGTGACTAACCGCGGCGGCGAACTTAAGGTTCCCGCCATGCCAGCCGCTTATCGATAAGGTCCCCGCTTGGAGAGCTGGGGGGTGCCGGCTGGCAAAACCCGGCAAGACTGATGCACTGCTAAGAGAAAACGCCTCGGCTGGAGCCGGGCCTGGAGCTGCCTGGCCATTGGTTTCTTGGCAAGGCATCCTTTGAACCTCCAATCGGCCGGCAGTTGCCGTTCAACATCACTGCAAGACCCCCAACTCTTGCTTGGGATCCATGGCTTTATGCACCCCGGATTCGTGCGACGATAGCATCGCAGCGGCTCATTCTTCACTACCTAGGTTTCATTGTTCGTACACATTTCGACTCTTTTTTCAGTTTTCTTCTTGATTGTGGGAGAATGAATAATGAGAAGCAGCGGCACATGGACTTGGCGTGGCCTCCAGAGGGAGTCACAGGCCGTTGAAGCTCTCACGCAGAGTTCCACTTGAAGCCAACAAGGGAAGCAACTGTCAAACTGGCAAGAGCCTCTTCGAGCTGACTACACCTGAGGTTACTACAGTACTATCTGCTCTCTGCTCCTCCCCAGCCCCTCCGCGATGACTCTGGCAATGACCTCACTATAACGTCCATAACATCAGTCTTCCTCTATCCTTCTTTCCGCCCGGAGCTATCCCCACAACGAACCCCGCGAAACCGTGGGAGACCGGTCCGCATTGACACTGGCAACAGCAGACTGTCGAGGTCCAGGTCAGTACTACTGTAGTGGCACTGCCACCGCCGGTCCCGGAACTGGGGGTTCCCGCTTCCAAAATCGTGAGATCGGGAAGCTCTGTGCTCAGTGCTCCAAGCGCACGAACGGAAGACCAGATGCTAATGTAGCAAGGGAAATACCTCTTAACTACCTATTGTACCACCTCCCGACAATAAGTTCCGGTATATTACGGTTTGTGGGGAAAGTTCAGGTCTTGATGACGGAATGGCGGATGCTTGTCTGGTCTTGTTCGCTAAGTAATGTCCTGAGAATGATTCATGCGTGGGTGTACTGTATATGTACGCGTGTCGTCGTCCAACAGTTCATGGAGAACAGGTCAAGTGAGCTCCGATTACGGTGGCATTGTCTTTCGACCTCGGCCCCGGGTTCCACATCCGTCCACTCCAACCACTCCTCCACACTTCTCATCTCTTGGCTTGACATCCGACACAGGAGGCGAAGAGACTGCTGATGTTGACCGTGACATGGATGAAGCATTTGGTTGTCGGGCTGTTGAGTCACACTACCTATTGACATCGTGACATCCTGGCGTCAAGCATGGGCTTGATATGTAGGATGTTGACGGACCTTGTGCGTTGGCACTCACAGCACCGATACCATGTTCAGGTTAGGTCGCTTACAGGCAGAATGGAACAGGCACACTGCTGTAATAGAGTTTACATTTGTTCACTTTATGTTGACACTCTATAGTAGTACATGGTTTCATATGCTTCATGCTTTGTATCAAAGCTACTCCAATGCTCCTCATAGCCACTCGCGGGCAGCCCATTCAATTCATTTTGATCCCCCCTCTAAACGCCAGTAAATATGCCGCTGTGTTGAAGACAGCAATGCTGATAATGAATACTACACACAAAAGTTAAACCCCAAAAGAACTTTTTGACTTCCGATCCAGGCCCCAAATTTTCTTCACATCCTCCCTCGTCTGATACCCAAAAGAAGAAAAAGAAAAGACAAGAAGTAAATAAAACATGCTAAACCAAAACTTCCTGCCAGTTGCCAACCCGGTGAGTGCGTAATGTCACCTCCGCAACCTTCTCTAACCGGTGCCTGTGCAAGGGGGGGGTATAATGTTGAAACCACGTATAAACAAAAGAAAAGGAAAAAAAAATGAAGAAGAACAAGGTCATGCGAGAGAATCGCTCGAGGCCGAAGCGGGCACCCGCCCACAGTTCAGACTCGCAAAAGTCGTGAACCAACAGCCCAAAAACCAATCAAACCCCACCTCAACCCTCACTTCAATCTGCACCCTGAACTTACCCTTGCCCTTTCGGTGATTACCCAACCAGCGGCCAAAAGGCTTTTGCATCAGGGCTCTTCACCTCCTCTGCATCTCAGCCGATCCCCTCCTGCTAGACACGGCGCTCGACCTTCCACTTCCAGCTGCACTGCCCAGCCCGCTAGGCAACATAAGCGTGTCACTCTCCATCACCCCGTCCATCGACTCACCAGCCATCATCAGCTCAGAGTAGGCTGGCGGACTTTCGGGCACGTCCTGGTAAATGGGCGGCGCCTCGTTATCCCACGAGATACCAATGCCTCCGCGCTCCGTAAGGATAGAAGAGAAGTGCATCCTGAGAATCCTACCTACGCCGGTATGCGTAACCAAGTTGGGCTTACCCACCGGCGCCCACTCCTGGCTGACCACCATCTCGACCATTAGCTGGTGTGACACCTCGTGCGACGTGGACGTGCCGGGCGCGGTCCATCGCGTGTCGCAGACTGCGGGGGAGGCATGGGATTTGGAGATGAAGTAGTCGAGTTCGAGCTCAATGTGCGAATCGGTAGCCGAAGAGTAGGATGATTTCCAACCAGAGAAAATGGTCTTCTCGCCGATGATGCGGGTTTCGGTTCTCGGCAGGCCCTTTGGTTGCTGAGGCTGGCCATCACTACCCTCTGCCGGGGTGGGCGGGACAGGAAGCTTGGGGGCGTGCTTCTCGCATGCTGGCGCCAGGGACTTGGAGATCTCCTCGAGCCTCCACGTCAACTTTTTGAGCTTCCAGTACTCCATCGTGCCGACCTTGGGGTTGAGCCTAGCGATCCCGTCCAGGCGGATCTGCAGCGTGTTGGTGCCCGTGGGGTGGATGTGGTGGGGGTAGTGCACGTTGGCCTTGATGTTGGTGGGAGGGAAGACGCGGATGCTGTGGTGAGGCACTTCAGAGGTGGCGAGGGATCGCTTGACGTCGAGGACCTTTTCAAGCTTGATGACTGGCTGCAAAGTGCCGTTAGCCTTGGTCAGGGCCTCGGCCTTGAACTCGTAGGCGATGGAGGTCAGAGGGCCGTCCATGCTGGCTGGTAGGTGACCGTCAAGCAAAACAGAGAAGGGGAAGGAGTGCTGCCCCTTGGCAAGGACGAGAGGGTGGTCGAGGAACTGCCATTTCTTGAGCTCGGTGTACTGGTGGGTGCAATCGTGGCAGTGGTGAGTGAAAGGTCGTTTTTGTGTGACGTGGATCTGCAGTGTGGCATTGATGGACTCGACGTCTAGCAGGTCGTGGTCGTCCTTGATGTTGAGAAAGATTTGGCCGGAGACGAGCGCGCCCGTGGATGATTCTGGGTCATTGTAGAGCACGATTGGAGGTGACTCGAGCTTCCAGTCGAGAGAGGCGGGCGTGTTGGCGTGCACATCTTTGTTGGAACGGCCGAAGTGCATGCCCGGGAAGGATATCCTGTGGTGGTGATGGTCCTTTTCTTTGTGGTGATGGTGGTGGTGGTGGTGGTGGTGGTGGTCCTTGGCGCTAACGACCTCTTTGCTCGTGTTAGTGCTAGACGCTGTGCTGGTGGTGTGTGCGCTATCCGAAGAATCGCTGGACCTTAGCAGAGGAGACATGGATCGTGGTGGCGTCGTGTTGCTGCTGTCTTCTTCTTCGCTCGAGGCGAACGCAACTCGTTCTGTGATTCCGTGACCAACGCGAGCAGCGCCCGTCGGACTCTCGCGCCTTCGGGAAGTCTTGCCGGATTTTGTAAAGGTCGAGACCTGGAACTCAAGCGTGTTGGCCGACGACCTCAGGAAATCGACAACTCGGTGTGGCATGGTTGGTGTTGCTTACCCCTGCCAATGCGGGGGAAGGTGCGCTGTAAGTCGGGGCTTGTGTTGGGCGATGGGATTCGCTGCGAGAAGACACTCGAAGGGTCGGTCGGCTGATGTTGCGTCCCGCGAATGCTACCTTTTCCTTTGTTTCTTTCGATCGTCACAAGATCTGTCAAATCTTTTTAGGTCCAGTTGTGTGTGCCGTGGGTACGCCAGCCTTTCCCGATCCAGCTTGGTTTCGATGCACTTCGAGTCTCCAATGTCCACCAAACTAAAAAAAAAATTGCAGCAACGGTGCCCTGTTTTGTTGGCGTTGAGGGGGGCTCTGGAAAACCTCCAGGAATCTGAATAATGCAATGACGTAGTTTCAATGTGGAAGGACGAAGTGTCTGTTCGTTGTGCTGGCCTTGACTAACTCGAGTAGCTGAGATTCGAGAAGTGTTCGTTGAGGGTCAGATATATGGTGTCTTTAAGAGCTGGAAGGTGAAATTGACGTAACGCTAGAAAGTGTCCAAGTCAGTATGGCGCCACATGGAAATCCAATGACATACTCAGATCGAATGTCGAGGGAATCTCCGGTTGTACCAGATCAGCAATATAAGTAGAGTACGTACCTTGGGCAGAGACAGTTGCAAACACAAGATGAAGAGGGTCGGTGAGTGCCAAATGAGACGATGGTGACTAAGGCAAAGGGGTGTATAAGAGGAGAAGACCAAATGATAACTGATCACAACAAGCAAGGCCAGGAACAAACGACATAGGGATCAAGAGGTTATAAAAGGTATGTGGATCCAGGGCAGTATTGGATGCTCCGTCAAGAGCATTTCCATCGAGTAATTATGTGTCATGTCACAAGGCCCACGAAAAGAACCACAAGGATCTGCCAGGATCTGGGCCCAACCACGGGCATGCTAACGCCCGGGCACAACAAGGCCGCCCTGTATTGTGGCTCCATTTTCTCTTTGTTTCCTTCTTCCTCGGTCGCTTTCAGTGTGTTGTTGCCAAAGTCACTTGTACCTGCGGTACATGCCTCTCAACTGTAGTACGCAGTCTGGGCTCTCCGCGGCATCTGCTACCGGACGTCGGGACCCCACCGGAGCCATGGACCGTGTAGCGTAAGAACATGTATGTTACCATGAACGGTACCTCTACCATGTACTTTTCATCCAAGCTTCACCCGCAATTTGGCATGGCGCGGGGAGCTTCGACGAAAAGGAATTTGGAATGTGTTTCGGCAAAGGGCTGATTCATGCTCCCGCTATTCCCGTCTTCATATTAACCGGGGGATTACAGTAAGCCGGGGCTTTTGTCAGGTGTCAAGGGCAGTTCAAACATCATATAAGCTATGCATAGTACTGTAGAGTTCAAACTGCGTCCAAGGGACCAGTTGCTAAGTTACCATACCGTGACAGCAATGCGCTAACATGAAAAAAATGAAAATTTCACACAATGCCTTGGTTGTGGAGCAGCGACAGAGGTTGTTTATTCCCTTCAACAACTGAACCTCAATCCACAATGTGCGACTGACTCCGGCCCGCCATCCAGGTTTAGAGGTACCTATCACGGCGACTTCCTTCCTCTGATTTCAGTCTGTCTTTCTCGCTACAGTAGAGACTTTGGCAAGTACAAACTCAAGGGAGTCCTGACGAGTGCGACGCGGATCTGACCGGATCTGCTGTGCCCTTGGGTGATCTCCCTTAGAGGTACCTAGCACAAGATGAAGTAAAGGGGTTCTTCCTTGCTGGTTCATGTTCTTCAATTGAGCTGTGACCCTCTTGAACCTTATAAAAAGTACACGTGTAAACCCAACAACGACTGCAAGTCGTTGTTGCCCGACTGTTCAATTCTTCCTCCAGATTCACCCCCACCAACCAAAGCCGCTGAAAGCCCGGGCGCGGATGCCCTGGAAAGTGGCGCTAACAGGTGGGTGGGCCTCTAAGTTCTCGCCTACAAAATTTGGGACTTGTAGGCCTACCCGTACATCCGTTTTCTGTAGAAGGAGTCCTTGACGTTAGCCCCAACTGAATATTCAAGCACCGGGGACAGGCATTACGGTGGCACTCCGCTCAAGAATTTTCAGAACCTTGACGGCTGTACGGGCACGTACTCAGGGATCAGGTATGTAGTAGAGGTATCGCCTGCCTTGTTCGGGCAGCCAACGGCTTTCAATTTTTTGACAAATTCCACAAATTCAGTTTCAATGGAGCTTCCATCAGGTAACATTGAGGTAGATAGAGATACGTACCCCCCATGGAAATTCAGTGCTCTCGAGTTTCGATGAGGTGTTTCGACCGAAAGACGCGACAATGACTTTATGGAGATCCTACCGCCGGCCAAGACCGATTCAGGGCCACCAGGCACCGCACATGGGCCTCACTCAGGTCAATGCAAGAGTGGACGCGGCGGGGGAGATCTGGAACACAAACCAACCAAGATGCTGGACTGTAGCACCCCCTTTTCTTTTCCTTGAGGTTATTCGTTACGTGTTTCCATTCCCGCCCTGCCCGCTTTCCGTCCGGGGCTTCCATTACGTACCTAAGGTTTCAGCAGGCTGAAATCCGGGGAAAAGCAGCTTCTTCCCGGTGCTTCACCCACCGAGGCCAAGACTGCCGGACCTGATGTCCTTGCTCAGTTGCGTACGGTACCTCTAATAAGGCTTGCGAACCATAACACCCAGAAGGTTGTTGTATACCTACAATGACCATACCTTGTCGGTTTTGTTACCAGTGCAATTGTTGTTATGGTTGTTATTTTCTTTTATGCCTCTATTAAGGATATTCTTAGGGATCGCAATATCCACACTGACACCACCACTGCGGTCTACTTGCCCGACACTTCCATACGACTGTCATTTCCCGTCACGAGCACCACGGGCACGGCATGATTGGCAGATGTCCGTCCTTGTCTATTTGGAAGATCGTTGTGCGTTCCGTACGTTTGAGCCGACGACATACACAGTACCTTGGGTATTTCCATCGGTTGACAAAGCCTCAGGTCGCTGTCGCTCGCTTGCATGTGTTAGGAATGCCCCGAGATTCCCGAGACCGAGCTGTCCGGGTATTCCAGCGTCGATTCGCGCTCACCGCAGAAGCCCTACGAACAGGAGATCTGCCACAACAGCCCTACAGGACGAGTAGGATCAGCGGATACAGTAGGAATTCACTTTCCGAGACTCTCGACTCGCGAGACAAAACTCTCCCACGGGGTTTACGTCGAGCCCCTGAAGGCCTGAACGCTGTCGCTGCCCAAAGAAGTTCCCGTGGGCCCTGGCTGCCACCGTAGGCCAAGGAGATCCACGAAATCCCTTTGCATCTGGTTCCTGTTTCGAAAACAGCGGGGATTTCACCGTATACACCGCAAACTCGCTCATCTTCTTACATGTAGGGTGGTGAAGTTCATTTTGGAAGACTTCTAGTACTGTAACATGGAAAGTGACAGAAATAGCAACACCCCGCCGAACCACATCAGATGGGTGGAACTGGAAACGTGCTGTGGTAAAGCATTAGGACGTCTGGCGATACACGTATTTTACAGTTTCATTGCAAAAGCGGTATTTGTGGCCCAAGGCCCCCCCATCGGAAAAGCTAAAAGTTGTTGCGACATGGAAAGTGACAAAGCTGCAATGTTGAGCCTCACAAAACCCAAAACGACATGTCCAGCGCATGCAGTGCATGCAGGCCGCTAATCTATTACCTAATGGCCCGCCGTTTAGCACCCATGGCAGGCCAAACATATTGCGCCTTCAACGACCGTGGTGGTGTCACACGGCAAGTGACTCCTGGAAGCTTACTGAAAGCCAATGGTGATGATGACAAGAATGCCTGGCCTGTTGTGACTCCCACCTGGTCTTGATGACTGGTGGTGACAACGGAAGACACTGCTTGCAAGCTGTCAGTCACAAAAGAGCTCGCAAAATGCGCAAAATGCACAAGAAATTACACAATGATGTTGTGGTCCACATGTTTGTTGTTGTTGCTTTTGATTTGTTTCATGAACTCAGTAACTCCTCTTCACCTTCGAAGATGGGCCCTTGCGGGGTTATCAGATGGTGAAAACGGACACGGTCCGACAAGCCGCTTTGTGTTCAATGCTGCCGCATTCACTCAAGTCTGGGGACACGGAAACACCGCTCGCCAGGCCCGGGGCTACAAAAAGAAGTTTTCCATTTCATCGAACACCGAAATAGTCGGTGAAACCTCACCTTATGCTCACCCATTTGGTTACAAATGGCCCGTTTCAGACACCGGGTCCCATTACTCCTCAGCTACCTACATAGTTGTTACCACCACACGTGTACTGTACCTGCGTCGAATCGGCTGTCCGTGGTCGAACGGTGCCTGAACATCGCCCTCCCTCATTGAAAACCGAAAAGAGGAATTTCGGAGTCGGCCGATGACTGTGCAGGGCCTCAGCGATGGAGCACGCCGAGAAATCCTCCGCAAAAACGTAAGGGAAACATGGGGCCGCCGGGGTTCGTGACTGGGGGTGACGGGGCTAGCGGGTCCAGACAGCCGGATGCAGTCTTGGAGGGCGTCGAGTCTTCCAACGACATGTCTTGGCAGACAACCCGATGCTGTACACTGTAGAGACTTGAGCTGTGAAGTCATTAGGTGCTGAAGATCTTGTCGCGGGAGGGCTTAGTCTTGTGCTGTCCAATGAGAGATATGCATCGAGGCTCTTGCAGCTCTTGCGGCTCAAAAACTTCGAGTTAATGGAAAAGGTGAGACTCTATGCACACGAATTGAGGCCAACATATGTACAACAAACACTTGCAGGAAACTCGGACCAGTCGTTCATCCTGGGACTCGAAGAAAAGATTCCACTTCGAAATGACGAAACGAGCGAACCCACAAAGTCGTCACGAATCGAAACGCACGATCGAGATCGAAAATCGCAAAAGTGGGATTTGAGAACTCTTCAAACCAGATGACCACCGTCTCCCTGCTCGTCTCCCTACTGCCATTGCTACGGTGCTCCAACGACCGGTCTCACCGCGACCCTCACCGTCGACAAAAGTTCAGGAAACGGCACCACACAAAGGTACACAAGTGGAACCCTAAATGTAGGTGGGTCTTTTTTGGTGGATCGAGTTAGGCTTTTCAAACAATTTTTTAGTGCACGTTATTTTCAGGCCCCACGCCGCTTTGATGTGTGGACTGCGCGCTCCCTGCCAGGAACGAGTGCACGGGCTGAGGGGTCCTTGTCCGGTTGGCAGCTTGGTAGGGCGCGGTAGGGCAGAGTCGAACAACCCTTTTTTTTTTTTTTTTTTTTTTTTTTCTCCAAAGGACCTTCACGAATCAGGAAACCAGAGCAGGGAAAAGAACAAATTTCTTTCAGGGGGCTTCCTCGCCGCTCGGCGAGCGAGGTCCTTGTGTTTCTTTTTTTTTTGTTAGTGCAGCAGAAGGGGGAAAAGAATGCGGTTGACAACTCAAGCCGAGGGTAACCGAAGAAATCTCGAAAAAGTCCATGTGATTCGGCTCAAGCAAACACCCGCAATTTTGGAATTTCAACGACATCCGATGTCCCTCGAGTAATGATGATGGATCCCAGCTCAAATGACATGGCAACAGGGCAAGAAAAGGGGCTAACAAAACAAAGGACCCATCCTCCACCAAGCGAAGAGGTCTGGATGCGACGCTAACTGCTCACTTGTTGTCAGATATTTTGTCAAGCTGTCGGCGTCGAGCCGCGCAAGCAAGCTGCTAGTACGTAAACGCAAAAGCCGCAGAGCCGCAGGACCGCGACGACCGTCGAACCAAACACCGCAACTTCATGACGACTGCAAGGTACATACCGTACGCTGTCGACACGCACATGAGAACCACCAGCATGAGACACGTCTGCAGCCGAGCTCGTGTCCTGATTCGTAACTTACGAGGAGGACCTTGACGGCATACTGGAAACTTGTGATAAAGTCTTGTTTCCGTCCTTGGACCGAAGGTCATCACGACCCCAACGTTACACCGCGCGAACAAGTCTTCCAGAACATGTTTCTTTCAGCCACCCGACGGCAACCGACGTCCCCATGTCCGCCAACGGCAACCAACCAGCCACGCACGCGGCTCATGCCACCAACGACGGCCGCCATGCAGGACACCCATATTTTTGCCAACGGCAGCTGACGGGTGATTGACCCGGATATGCCTGATCCGAGTGGCATGCAACTGAAGGCGGCCCGGCGGGTTGTAGCGGAGCAAGCTGGACAGCTGGAATTGCCTCGCCTGTCACGCTGCAGGATTTGGCTCGCCACCGGACGCCAGCTGGAAGATTCTTCGTTAACTGATATGTTTGTTGGTTGCCATTTCGTTGGCTGTAGCGATCTTCTCCAAGGTCATGAGCTGCTGCACACTGACGAACCACTTTCAAGCGAAAGGCAACCTTGACGGCCAGGCTCATTTTCCAGTGGCGCCATGCATGTCGTACCTCGAACCTCTTCTTGATGTGGATTGCATTATCAACTTCCTCGCCCATCTGTGCCCCTTCCACGTTTATGGTCAGCGCTTCGGAACGTCAAGCATACCCGTCGCTAGTCCACATACCGAGTTGCAAGGCTTTAAGCCCACCGAGTATCTTCGAATAGAGTGTGTGGGAGTACCGCTGAAGCCTACTGTCCGGAATGTTCAACATTAACGGAAACACATCGCCTGTCATGTGTGAGACGTGATGTGGGTGATGCACCAACAACACGCTCGAATAGCTATGATGGCTTCTCCTTACGGCCCTTACTCCTCCTTTTATATAAGGTCTGGGGAGGTGACCATGAATGGGGAAAGACCAGCAACTCAACTTCGAGGGGCATGTTTTGGATTTCCAATGCACTAGACTGGTCTCCCTTGGCTACCTATTAAATGGACGACAGCCGACATAGCATCGAGAACTGCACCGCGCATTTATTGGTCATCTCCACATCCGGCTTGTAGTCAACGCGTTGCTTACATACCGCGATATGTGTGCGCCGCGCCTGGCTGTGTCCCGCTCGTGTACATGTTTAGGTAGGTAGGTAGGTACTCAGAAGCAGAGCTCAGCCACTTTCCAGCACGTTCTCAAAGGTCTTGTCCCATTCGACCGCCGGGCATCCATACTACTCTCCGCATTAATCTGAAGACACCACGTTTGTCATTTCGGAGATCGAATACATATATGCCGTACAGCTGGCGTCATTGAAATATATACCTCTAGATACCAGACCTACCTACGTAGTGGTAGGGTTCCCACTCCCCTTCGTCGGTGTACCTCAATCTCAACACCTCATCAAAACAAGGATCAAGCTTAGGGATCAGAATTCAGGCTCCCGGACACATTGTGACCTCACAAGTCATCCGACGCAACCTCCTCTCCCCTCGCTTGGGTAGCCGATACCAGTACCCAACCATTCCACCTCTTTGTCCGCTCCGACGCTCAACTTGAACCCTCCCTAGAATCCCGGCCTCGATCCCCAGACTCTCCCTACCAGCGGTGCGGCATACCACCTAAAACCGTCTACCAGCATTTGTGGGGCCGTCTCTCCCCCCAGTGTCAATGAAAAAGTCGGACTAGTTCCTGGCTCGTGCGTGAAGACCGAGACATTCACGCCTACCCGCGCCTTTGCCAAAGCTGTGATCCGGGGCAGCCAGCCCAATGGGCCGCCGGAACATTGTCGAATACAGGCGTGTGAGCCAGGATGATTGGATGGGAAGTTGTGAGTTGTTACGGGGACGAAGAGGACAACATTGAGGTATCTGGGAAGGGGGAAGGGAGTGAACGGCATTGGTCGGCATGTTGGGGTAGAGAGAGAGAGATAGAGAGTGAGAGAGAGAGGAGGAGGAGGAGGAGGAGGAGGAGGAGGAGGATAAGCGGCAAGAGGCTACCGCCGTCGCAAATACGCGATGAAGGGCGGGGCCATGGAGGGTGCCTACCTACCTCTACTATCAAGTGATGGCGGATCTTGTGGGTGAGAATCAGTCAGAACCTATTCTGCCAACAACACCAGCAACGAAGACTTAGGTCAAGATGATGATGATGATGATGATGATGATGATACGAGCCTGGTTGGATATGGGTCCGAGTCCGAGTCCTCACAATCGTCACACACGCTATATCATTATGCTTCGGTGGACAAGGACGATGAAGACGACAACCATTTCCATTTTGGGGGCTTGGTTTGCTGCATCTGTTTAGGGACGATGGTGTGGGCAATTGTGCCGATTGGTTTGTTGTCCGTGGTTTTGGCTTGCTTGCTGCCTGCTTGCTGCCTGCTTGGCGGCTAGTGTCTTTTGCATTCTAGTCGCTTTCCCAATGGAAGCAGCTCTGTGTTGGCATCAGAGTTTGGGACGTTTCATCAGATGCCCGTTGATGATTCGAGGCGTACTTCTCGAGGTAGTGTGGCTGGCCGTCGTTGTTGTTGCCGCTGAGCTAAGGTACGCTAAGCGACCCACGTCAGTATATCCACTCTAATCGTCCTCCATGAACGTCTCCTCTTTCCTTCACCAAACCAATCATACTTTCAATTTTTCTTACATTTTAGTTGTTTCAACCATGACTAGCGAGGTACATACAAAGCCGCCAGCTTGGGCAACTCGGAGAATGAGAGTTCCTAGGTAAGCATGTACTATGGCACACCACTATTGGCGCGACAGTAATAGTGGGTCCCGTGTCTGGCGCGTTCCCGTCCCGTCGTTGGCCGGAGCCATCTCTTAGGGACAACCAGGATCTTAGACTCCCAACTCCATCATACTCTTATTTGAAGATATAATCAAGACCTCTCCCTCCCTCCCATTGTCGTCATCATGGTTCGCACTCGAGCCCAATCATTGTTGGCGCCAATCAGCCAGACGTCGTCTCATCAGGTGTGCCTTCTCTCGTATGCCTTGTCATGGTTCCCAAGCTAAATTTGGTCTCAGCATCTGCCTCAAAACAGACGACGCAAGCGCAAGCAATCAACCGAGAACGCGCCCGAGCCCGGCCCCGGCCCAGCTCCCAAACAGCCACGTAGGCGCAAGCATCCGACCGAGAACGCGCCCGAGCCCGAGCCCGACCCTAGCCCAGCCTCGGACCAAGAACGCAAACACGTTGACCCCATTGCATTCTGGGCGGAGCGCGGACACTGGCCAGAGGAACAGGACTGGCCCGAAGACACGTCGGAGATGGAGTCCCCCAGAGGCCGTCCACTTGCGCGAAAGAAACCTTCACCTCCTCTATCCCGTAAGAGATCGAACTCTACCATCACCGGCATTACGAACTCGACGCCCGGGCCGAGGGAGGAGAAGTCCGTCCCATATCAAGGCCGGCTCTTTGAGGTCTTGCTCGAGACCAAACGCAGCTATTTGCGCGAAGATCCTCTAGGATTAGCCAGTGCTAACAAGGATCTTCTTCGCTCTCTGCTCGAAACTCCGCAGCCAATTCCAAGCGACACACTCTTTCGAGACGATATCTTCAAAATAACGTGCCTGGACCTTCACGACAAAAATGAGGCGCGGGTGATTCAAGACATTGCTCGGCTTATTGTCCCTTCAGCTGCAACTCTTTCGAAATTCGGTGCAAAGCACCTTGATATCCTAACGGAAACTGTCAACGAAGGGTGGAAACATTCGATTCCGCTTGCTAATCCACGTCCACAACCTGATTACGCTGTAGGTTTCAAGCGTCAAGCGTTCACCGAGGACCAGCTCAACAAATTATCACCATTCATTGGCAATATCTTCGACGGGGATCAGTCACTCTTTCTATCTACGCACTACATGTACTTCCCATTCCTAACTTGTGAAGTGAAGTGTGGTAGCGGCGTATTCGAAGTCGCAGACCGGCAGAATGCCCATAGCATGACCCTTGCGGTGCGGGCTATTGTCGAACTCTTCCGTTATATCAAGCGCGAGGATGAGGTCAATCGGCAAATCCTCGCCTTCTCCGTTTCACATAATGAGAAATGGGTATCTATCTACGGTCACTACCCGGTAATAAACGGGCAGGAGAATGAATACTACCGCTATCCAATCCAAGAATTCAATTTCACTGCCTTGGACGGGAAGGACAAATGGACATCCTATCGAATTATTAGGAATATCTACGATATATGGATGCCCGCTCACTATAAGAAGATTTGTTCTGCTATCGATCAATTGCCGGCGGAATTGGATCTTGCTGTCCCACCGCTCTCTGGGGCAACCGGCCTGTCCCAGGATGCAGGCAGCTTAATGTCGGAGGCCGACCCCGCTTCAAAGTCGGTCGAACAGGACAGCCGATCAAGCAACGCTGGGCAGCAGGGTATCACTCCAGACACTTCGCTTACAAGACCGGAGGCAGCAAAAAGGCGGAAGCGCCAAGTCTAGAAGTGGACGGGTTGGATCGGGTACCAAGAACGTAGTAGTGGCCGCGTGCTCGCAAAAGCCTCAGTTGATTCAGAATCGTCCAGCTGTTTATGTCACACGCCTATACCTAGGTATGTCAGGGACAAGGCACCTTGATTTATCAACTTTGATGGCGACAATCATAACGACCCGACCATCCAGATTTCCAAAACTCAGAAGTTTCCACGCTGTCCCCGTAGTCGTAGAGTCACCCAGGTATCCGGGTCGCTGGACCTGCTTGCTGCCAACGTTGGAATTGGGGCTCTGGTATGCGCGATTTTATTGCTCTACGTAGACCTGAGATGGCCCTATGTATGCGGTAGACAAGTATACGGACGCCCCTGCATGCAAGAAAAGGACCTCGGGACGCCTAACAACGAAAATGGATTGGATTTCAGTTTCCCCTGACATCCGGCATGCATATCGATACGCTTAGTCTGAGCTCAACAGCTCCTTGATATCCTCGATCCTCTGCATCTTCTTTTCCTCGTCTGACATCATCCCCAGTGATGTTGCTCTGCAGTCAAGTCAGGTCAGCCTTTTACCTCCCTCCACTCAATGTCATCAAGTCACTGATCCAGGGACAAACTCACATAAACTTCTTCCTCTCCTGCACCCGCAACATCCTCATTTCCACACTCTGTTTCACTATAAATCGATAAACCCTCACCTCATCCTCTTGCCCCATGCGATGCACACGATCAATCGCCTGCGCCTCCACCGCAAAGGACCACCACGGGTCCATCATGTAGACCCTCTTGGCACTGGTCAGGTTCAACCCGACACCACCGGCTTTGAGACTGAGAAGCAAAACGCAAAACTTGTTGGTGGATTGAAACTCGGTAAGAACAGCGGCGCGGGCCTTCTGGGACATGGACCCATCCAGCCGAAGAAAAGAGATTTTGTGACGTGTGAGGGCGGAGGATATCAGCGAGAGAAAGGACGTGAATTGGGAGATTACTAGGGACTTCATTTTGGGGTGCTCTTGGCGCAAGGTGCGGAGGTGCGAGATTAGAGCGACGATTTTGGCGCTGGAGTCATTGGCACCCACGCGTTGTAGGGAGATGCGCGGCTCGGGACTTGCCCCTGGGGTAGAGGATGTCTCCAGGTCATCATCGTGGCGGATGACTTCGAAGATGTCGCGGATGTTGATGTGCTCGCGACATTGGAAACACCGCGGGACCTCGTTACGGTCGGTTTGGTGTTTGATATAGTCGAGCAGACATTTCTTGCACGCAGAGTGCCAGCATCCTGTCACGGCCTGGTCGATCATTGGTTCTTCGGCGCAGATGGGGCATTCGTTGACTGCTTCGTCACGGATCTGTCTAAGAACGTGAGCGCCGAAGTTGTTGTTGGTTTCGGAGGCGTCGTCTGTGGTGGCGGTGAAGCGCTCGATCAGAGTTTGGAGGTCCATATCGTCTGCCAACCCCGCCGCAACGTCAGCGGCCATATTGGCTTCCTCCTCATCAGCGAGGATTTCCTGGTTGCGAACAAGCACAGGGTGGCAGCAGGACTGCCGGAGCCGCAGGATCTGTGCAAAAATGGAGGTAAACGCCTTCATGACGGTGCCGGCCTGCATATTGTCAAAGAACGTTCGCTTGGCGCGGTTGAAGACGTAGTCGTAGACTGCCCTTTCAGGCTCGGAGAGTTCGATGTCGACGATCTCGATGTGTTTGGGCGGAAGCGGAACAAGGAACTGGCCATCGGGGGTCTTCATGTCTTTGGTGCGGCGCATGACGAGCGGTTCGAGGACGGTTTGGACGACGTCTAAGGCGCGGACAAAGTTCTTGGACTCAAAGGGGACGGTGATGAAGGTCCGCCAGAAGGAAAAATTGTTCCATGGCTCAACGCGTAGGAAACGGACAAGGCTGAAGAGGTCTTCGAGACGATTGACAATGGGGGTTCCGGTGAGGACCCAGCGGTGTTCGGCGGCGATTTCGTAGCATGCGCGGGAGGTCTTGGCTTGGCGGTTCTTGATATTATGTGCTTCGTCCAGAATGACACGGAAGAAGTTGAGGGAGAAAAGCCCGCGGCTGCTGAGTCTGTCTCCATTCTTGGTGGTGAGTTGGGTAAACTCGGAGAGGACGACTCCATAGCTGGTGATGATCACGTCTGGAGCGTTGGCCGCATTGGCTTCGCAGCACATGGTCACCAGATCGACATTCTTTTCCGCCCCGTAGTACATCATGGTCTTGAAAGTGCCCTCCTTGGAAGCATTCTCAGCTTCGCTTTGCCATTGCGCCAGCAAGGACATGGGGGCAACCACAAGGGTTGTGCACGGAGCGTCAACGGTGGTCTTCTGTCCAGAGACTGTTGGTAGACGTGGGAGGTTGTTGACCGAGGTAGGGCCAGCCTCCCGCGCCTTGATGGCTACTTCGGATCGGTGTGAATGAATCAGAGAAAGCATCTGGATGGTTTTGCCTGCAATACACGACTGTGAGCTGGAGATAAGGTCAGAGAAACAAAAAAAAGTAAAAGGCAAACTCACCAAGTCCCATTTCGTCAGCCAAGATTCCACCAAGACAATGCTGCTCTTGCTTGGGGAAGTCCAGTGACAGATCGCCAGAGTATGGGTTGACGTAAAAGCAGGGTTGGTCAGGAACCACAGGTAGGTCCTTATCGTCATGGTCCTTGGTCGGCCACATGTACTCTTCCCATAAGGGATGCATGGATGTTTCGCGGTCTTCTGTGCGCTGGTTCTTCTCCTTGGCCAGCATCCAGTACAGCGACTGCTTCTGGTATGGACGCAAGGTCATGGCGAAGGTGTCAGCTGGTTCAGCTTCGGGGGTGTTAAAGTCGAAGGATTGGGCCTTCTTGTACAGCGCGTCGAGTTGGTCTTGCTCGAGCTCCTGACCCTCTTCAGCCTCTTCGGGAGGAGAAGCTGATCCGTTAGTGCTGTGGTCCCCAGCCTTGGCCTTGTCCATCGCCTTCTTCTCGGCCGAATCTGCTGCTTCAAGAAGGTCTTTCCTGGCGTCCTTGGCGGCAGCGGCGTTGCCTCGAGACGGAACAATGTTGATCTCTTGAAACAGTCTCACAAGCGCCACTTGCCTCAACCGCAGGTCCTTCTCTTCTGTTGTCTCGTCTTTCTCGTGGAACCCGGTAGCCCTATTGTCGGCTAGTTGGAGTGTTCTCCCCAAGAAGGCAGATCGTAGCATATAGCACTTGAGCTGCAAGAAGACGGTCTCGTTCGTTCGTAGTCGCTCGGGCGCGTAAACACAGATGCCTTCGAATCTGCAGATGTTCTGGTCTATTAGTGTCGACACCCAGTTGGCTGTGTCTTTGGCGAGACGGCCGAGTTCCCTGCCACTGGCGTCGTTGAAGCGGACTATGACATCGACACGTTTGGCAGCCGCCCCGCTGACTCGTGGTATGGACTGCGGGGTGCCAGGCTTAGTCTGCCCTTTTCTTGCGACGGTGGGCGGTTGGATCTTTTGGCGCTCAATCTTAACGCTGTCACCGTGTCTGAGGAGACCTGTCCCGCTCCTGGTAGCCCATCCCTCAACACCAAATGCGCCGACATAGCGGGCCTCTGGCATTGATGGGAGAGCCTTTATTGGTGGATTCGATTGCGGTTGTGGTTGGGCTTGAGCGTGCGGCCGCGAGCGTGCTTGTGGTGTTGATGCTTTCTTGGGAGACTGACCTCCTACAACCAAGGGCGAATGCGAGTTGACTTTGACTGGAGGCGCCCGGTGTAGCTTCTTCCATGTTCCGTCCAGGTACATGTTGACGGCTCTTTCGATGTTGTTGCCGCAGTTCTTGCTGATGACGTGGAGGATATCGGACGCAACTTTTTCGCCAACAAAGGCTTCGAATGTGTCTTTGTCGAACGCCAGCTGGGGGGGCTCGACCACTGGGGGTGCCACGTCCCGCGGTGTCGCGATCGGAGTATCGACGTCTTTCAAGAGATATCCTTTCCTGGGGTCTGGTTTGGGCATGTCGTTGAGCCAGGGAGTACATATCTTCGTGGCGTGGGGCGTTAGGGTGCCATCGTCTGTGAAGAATCTTGGGCGTTCTTCGTCGTCGTCGTCGCCGTCATTGTCGTCATTGTCGTCCGCATCTTTGGAAACTCGTGGCTGGACTTCATTGTTTGGGTCTTGGAGGAGTTTCTTCCTGGGTGGTGAGCTCGGGGGAGCACTGAACTGGGGAGACGAGCTGGGGCCGGCAACGACATGGTCCGAATCACCCTGGTCGCCCAGGAACCGGCGCTTCTTGGAGGGAGGCTCGTTGGTGAAGTCCATGGCGTCGTGTCGGTCCATCCAGGTGTTGGTTGTTCAGCCCATTAGGTTCAAGGTACCTAGGTAACGAAGTACTTAGTCGTACCACTGGTGTACGGTATCAGTCAGCTACTGTCACCCAACCGACTCGGAATGCACCAACTGCAATGGTGAACTTCAGTGTTACGCCCGTAAGACGCGACTGTGCCGTGGCAACCGTGAAACTTTGGCGTGCATTCGTTTCCGCCTTCCCGCTGTCAGGTGATTGCGCGCCACCCTAGGTAATTACGCCCTCTGCATTGTACACTACATAGGTATGTAGGTAGGTATGGAAAGCCAGAAGCTTGGGCCACTGAAGCCATTTAATGCCGTCATCGCTACTAACCATAAAGGTTTTAGAGGCGCCGCGCTTGTGATGCTGAGGGGCGCAGCGTAACATGGTCCCAACGAATTGTCAAATCAACATGTCCTGTCGTCGTCGGCTTGTCTTTCCCCCCGCTGCTGCCGAGGTTGTCTTGTCTCTTGTTACAGTGAGAGATGTGAACCAATTTGTGACAGCGGGGAAAACAGTACCGCTTCTTTGATCATGATATCCCCTCGAGCGGCAGGCTGTTGTCATGGCCTGAGGCGGGCACCTCTACGGCCCCGTCTACGTCTCCAGCCTCAGAGGCCTTCGTGGCAGCCTTCCCTCTCCGGACGAGGCCTCGCGACAGTCACAGACGGCGACGTCGAAAAGGCCCGTCAGTACTGTGAGAACCAGCTCAAGTCTGTCTCTGCTTTCCCTCCCCATACCTAGCCATTCTTCCCACTTGCCCTTCTTTCTCTGCTAACTCTTTCTCCCCCCACCCCAGACAAGGTGACTACGAAGCTTTTCTCCTCCGACAATTTGTCCCTCCTTCCTCTCGGGACGCCTACAACGCTCTCCGTACCCTGAACCTCGAACTTGCCCGTCTCCCCGAGACAGTTTCCAACCCGACCATCGCACGCATGCGCGTGTCCTTTTGGCGTGAAACCGTGAATAGCGTCTTCGCCGGCAACCCTCCACGCGAGCCCATTTCCATCCTCCTCCACCAAGCCATCCAAGACCTTCAAGACCGCGCCGGCCCCAGCAGCGCCAGCTCTCTCAAGTTCTGGCTCCTACGCTTGATCAACACGCGCGAGCAACACATGGAAAACAGGCCCTTTGTCAGCTTGAACTCGCTGGAAGACTACGCCGAGAATACGTACGCGACGCTGATGTATATGACCTTGGCTTCCATGCCTTTGCGATCAGTACATATGGACCACCTGGCTAGTCACATCGGCAAGGCGTGCGGCATCGTAGCCACACTACGTGGCATTCCCGTTCTCGCCGCTCCATCGCAGCCCATCCAGGGCCCGGCTGGGAGCGTGGGCAACACCCGGCATCCCGCCCTGCTACTACCCCTCGATGTGATGGCTGAGGTGGGGGTCAGAGAAGAAGATGTCTTTCGCCACGGACCCAACGCTGAGGGACTGCAGGATTCCGTGTTCAAGGTGGCTACAAGGGCCAATGACCATTTGATTACGGCGAGGGAGATGTTGAAGAACTTGAAGGCCGGGGAAGAGGCGGGCCATGATTATGAGCATGAGGGAGAACAAGAGCATGTCTACTCCAGCGGTGGGGTCGACGCAACGCAAGCTGATATCAAGAGGGGGTTTGGGGTGCTGTTGGAAGCAGTCCCGGCTGCCGATTACTTGGAAAGGTTGGAGAAGGCTGATTTCGACCCGTTCAAAGTCAAGGCGAGCTGGAAGCTTCCCTGGAGGTTGTGGCGTGCTCTGAAGACACAGCACATTTGAGTCCTCTGTTTGTGCCGTATCCCAGGCCAACGAGCCACAATCGAGATTCTTCTTTCCATCACGTCTCGTACTCTTGGTGCTGACCGTCTGTGACGACACAGGATCGATCTCGATCAAGACCGCGAGCGTACACTCCGTGACTATCGCTTGGCCCGATTATCATGAATAGGCAAAAGTCTGCAATCGTCGACAGCATCGGCCCAGGTCTTCTTGTCCCTTTGAAACGGCACGAAGCGTCCTCGAGGCAAAGTGTTGACATGGTCTCGGTAGGACCATCGTACGACAGAGAGGCACATGACCCCTTTGCAGAGGGTGGTAGTTGAAAGCACAACATCCAACACCAAGACCGATATTGCTTGCAATCTGGGGCAGAACAACCACTTTTTAAGAGCGTTCCGTGTGGCGTGTTCTCGCCGGGCCTGAGTAGTGGGAACATGGGTAGCGGCTACATTTTAGCCTATAACTAGGTACCTACCTACCTCTACGAACACCCAAGCCATCTTCGTTCAGGCCCAATTACCTCCAAGCTCACCCACCAACTTCTAGCCTATCATCGAGAATCAAGACCGTCGTTCGCGATCGGCTTTCAAAACAGCGAGTGACTCTGCGGCTTGTTCTTCCGTCGAAGGATTTCCAGTGCAGGGCTGGCATCTCGCTAGTAGTTCTAGTCGTCCTCGCCTCGGTCTCATCAAGAATCCTCGACAAGGTAGCAGGGTCGCATTGACAGGTGCCGACGCGTGTCCTCTGTCCATATTCCGTACAAACTTTTGTTTCAACATCATCAGCCCAAGATGCCAAGAGCTTGGAATGACTACTGAACATGTTCATCAATCTTGGCATATGTGAAGGAAGCAATCTGTAGGCTGATATGTTAGCCGGACCAATCACTGGCGAACTTGCACACACTGCCTCCGTCCGAATCTCTAATCCGCAACGGCTCGACGGGATCCCTACAGTCACATAATCCTCCGCATCAAATACTCCACGGTCAAAGACCGCCGAGACGGCTCAGTGACCAACCTTCGGGGAGCTTGATGCCGTGGTTCTTGCGTTATAACCCCCGCACTTCATTATGTCCAGCCGTGGAAGCTGGAAGGGCCTGATGTTCATCCCATTCCTTAACGTCTCTTGTGTGCCAAAACGGGAAAGAACAGAAACAGCTCCGATAGGCCAATATCTTTGTGACCGGCTCGACAAGATGAAGCACTCACCAAGCTATATCATCCCTACTGAGCTGCCTTCCGTACATCGCCAGGCTTCAGACTTGGTCGTCCCATCCCACTAAATAGGTTTTTACTCTGATTCAGTACCTCGTCCATCATGTGGCTTCCACTCACCCTGCTCACTGCCACGGCGGCCCCCATCCTCGCCAACCCCCTAACCTCTCCACTCAACAAGCGTGCCGCCATCGACGACTGCCTCAAATCTGCCGGCGTCCCAGCCGATGCTCAAGGCTCCTCCGACTGGCGTGCCGACGTCAACCCTTTCAACCAGCGCCTGCCCTACACGCCAGTAGCCATCGCGGTCCCTACCACCATTGAACACATCCAAGGTGCCGTCTCCTGTGCCGCCAAGCTGGGGGTCAAAGTTACCCCCAAGTCAGGAGGGCACAGTTATGCTTCGTTTGGTCTGGGCGGAGAGAACGGGCATCTGGTCGTGGAGTTGGATCGCATGTCGAAGGTGACGCTGGATAAGACGACGAATATCGCAGATGTTCAAGCGGGAGCGAGACTGGGGCATGTGGCGACGGAGCTGTATAAACAGGGCCAAAGAGCTTTCTCGCATGGGACTTGTCCTGGGTACGTTTTCGTCTCGTGTACCCCTGCTTCTCGGCCCGGCCGTTGCTAACTACCTAGGAGGGAAACAGAGTCGGGGTAGGAGGCCACTCCCTCCATGGCGGCTTCGGCTTTTCCTCGCACACCTACGGTCTTGCAGCAGACTGGATCGCCGCCGCCACAGTCGTCCTCGCCAACAGTACTGTAGTGACCGCATCGCCAACCGAGAACCCGGACCTCTTCTGGGCTTTGCGTGGCGCTGGGTCCAACTTTGGCATCGTGGCTTCCTTCAAGTTCAACACCTTCGCTGCGCCCTCGCAAGTAACGGCTTTCCAGATTAACTTACCCTGGAACTCAGCGTCGTCGATTGCATCCGGCTGGGGGAAGCTCCAGGACTGGTTGGCGGCTGGCAATATGCCGAAGGAGATGAACATGAGGGTCTTCGGCTCGCCGAGTCAGACGCAACTTCAGGGCTTGTACCACGGGAGTAGCTCGGCGCTGAGGACGGCTGTGCAGCCCCTGTTGAGCACTCTGGGAGCGAGCTTGAGCAATGCGCAGCAGTACGACTGGATGGGAGCGTTTACTTACTATACATATGGCGGCACGGTGGACGTTACGCATCCTTACAACACCGTAGGTTCCCTCTCCTTCCTTTCTTCCTCCTCCAGCAACTAATCTTTTGCCAGGTCGAAACCTTCTACTCCAAATCCCTCGTCACCACCGCCCTCCCCTCTGCGGCTCTGAACTCCGTCGCCAACTACTGGATCAACACCGCTAAGCGCGTCTCGCGCGACTGGTTCATCATCATTGACATGCACGGTGGTCCCAAGTCCGCCATCACCTCCTCCACCACCAATTCCGCCAATTACACGAGCTCTTACGCCTATCGCGCCCCGGAATACCTCTTCCTTTATGAGCTCTATGATCGCGTGATCTTTGGAAGCTATCCCAGCAACGGTTTCAGCTTCCTAGATGGATGGGTGAAGAGCTTCACGGATAACATGAAACAGGAGCAGTGGGGAATGTACATCAACTACGCAGATCCCACGATGAAGAGGGCCGAGGCCGTGGGGAACTATTACCGTAGTAGCCTTAGCAGGCTGCAGAAGGTGAAGGCGCAGTACGATCCGAACGAGGTTTTCTACTACCCGCAAAGTGTTGAGCCGGCCAAGTAGGCTGGGACGGGAAGATGGGAGGGGGATGCATGAGAGCAAGAGTGAATGGAGCATTGGCCCTTTGTTGAGACGTCGAGCTCGTGGGTGTGTACAAGGTAGTAGGCAAGTGCAGCGTCAAAGAATGATTATTCACAACTACCCGTCTTGCCCTTCACGGGTTGTTGCTTCGCTTGCTCATGAAAAATGTTTGTTTACATTCGTTACAACGGCCGATGGCGATAACGGTCGATAGAGGTAACAAGATGCCCGTTTTCCACTATGGAAATTCGGCTTAGAAGGACTGTAGTAGCTCGGTAATTGCCCTACTTAGGTAGGTACAGGTATGGTTGAAGTCCCAGCCTACGCTTTTAAGCACTAAAGCATATTCATTTACACATTACAGGGAAGATTTGTCATCGTCGGGTCGGCCTCATCGCACGTCATCGCTTCCCGCCTCGCGACTGCAGTTCCGCTGTTTATCACAGCGACACTCGATTTTGTCTTTGCAACAACGCCAAGGCAACCAGACAAAATGTCGAAACTCGGCATCAACGACAAGATCAAGCTAAACAGCGGATATGAAATTCCCCAACTGGGTTTCGGAGTGCGTAATACCCGAGTGAACCGCCGCTCGCGTGCATCTCACACTGAGCCCCCTTCTTATCAACGCTTCATTGCGACTAACGCCTTCCTCACTTTGCAGGTCTACCAAACGTAAGACCCTTTGGCCATTCCGCTTACAACTAGAGCTTCCTGTAATTCTAAATATCACTCCAGTCCCGCCGATCAAGTAGACAAAATCGTCCAGGAAGCCTTCAAAGTCGGCTACCGTCATGTTCGTCCCAACTCCCTTCCCTCTTCTGCCCTTTCCCCTTTTGTCTTTCTAACTTGCTTTCCCTTTGCAGGTCGACTCTGCCTCTGCCTACCGCAACGAAGCTGGTTGCGGCGCTGCCGTCCTCCGCTCCACCATCCCCCGCTCCGAAATCTTCTTCACCTCCAAAGTCGGCCCCAAACACATTTCGTACAACGCCGCGAGACGTATCATCTCCGAATCCCTTGTCAAAACGGGCCTAGAGTATATTGACCTCATGCTCCTGCATGCTCCCTACGGCGGGTCTGTCCACAGAAAGGGGGCCTGGCTAGCGCTCGTCGAAGCTGTTGAAGAAGGGAAGATCCGCTCCATTGGTGTCTCCAACTACGGTGTGCACCACCTCGACGAACTCGAGCAGCATATCAAAGAGCTGGAAAAGGAACGGGGCGGGCCTGGCAAGGGAGGAGTGTTAAGTGTAGGGCAGTGGGAGGTTCATCCATGGTGTCCTCGCAAAGATATCGTTGAGTGGTGTCGCAAACGCAACGTTGTCGTTGAAGCGTATGCGCCCATCGTAAGGGGGGAGAGGTTCGGTGAGCCCGGGTTGAAGAGCTTGGCCGAGAAGTATGGAAAGACCGAGGCGCAAGTGCTTGTGAGGTGGAGTCTCCAGAAGGGGTACGTGCCGCTGCCGAAGAGTGTGAAGGCGGAGAGGATTAAGGAGAACGCGAAGGTATATGACTTTGAGCTGAGCGAGGAGGAGGTGAAGGCGCTGGAGACGGAGGAGTACAGTCCGGTGTGTTGGGACCCGACGACGAGTGAGCTGGATAACTATAGTGGACAAGAAGTCTAAGGGGATGGAGAATGGCGTGCAGGCAGGCTGGAAATGGTGAAGGCACCTTTTTTTTGGTTTGGCTGAGCAAGTTAGTCCCTGCGCCTGCACTTTACTCCGTTCTCTTGTTTTCTAACTGCTCGCCAACCGATATTCCAGTTGTTACCTTTAGGTATATTCTCGTCTCTGTCAAAGGCATCCCACACATTGATTGGCATGGTGCAACTGATGTTTCGGCTATCGGCTTTGACCACAACAGGTAGGTACCTACCGAATATGCCCTTGCTTGTGTCTGGTAGAGGAAAACAACATGAGGAAAGAGATAACAAGAAAGGAAAGCTAAAAGCCAAATGGATCACGACAACGAACTGATCGCGAGGCCATTAAACAATCTTGGCGAACTCAGCTGCGTTCTTTGGCCGTTTATGATCAGATTCCGTTGCTATCAAGTGCGCCCGTGAAAATTGATGATGGGGATTATCAAGGGGAACTTTGAGTGCTTAATACGTTGATATTTGTTTACAGGCAATTTACTCCGAGCGAAATCTATCTTGCCTTGAGGTCTATGTTCCGTCCCATCTTGGATCCCAGACCCACATCTGGATATCAGCCTTGTCAACAACAAGGCTGTCGTTCGAAACAAGCGCCATCCACGGCGTTTCTTACACATTTTGTTAGTATCACGATACCAAGAGAGTACAGAAAGCACCCGCAACTGCTGTGGAGAGTACTACTATACAGATGACCAAGTGATTGACATAATGCAAATACGAGCGTCGCACAGTTCATAGCCAAAAGCGCATATTCGTTGCGGCGAATACATTGTCCCCTGGTATTTGTGACGGCGCTATGCTAATGCTTCCCGTGGATACCTCTAACTAGGTACCTATGTATATGAACATGCGGTCAACAAGCCCTCCGTAGGTCTAGGTCTTAGTGATTGCAGTTTCAGGTCCTTCTCAATCGGGTTTTGGTCTACCGGGCGTAATATGACGTGGATGAAGCTCCTAGGGTCCTAGACACTAAGGCGACAGGGATTCGTAAGTACATCCAAAACTGCCACCATTAGATACAGCATATATCTTAACCATGCGAATGGAAACTTAAGTGGGGACCCGGCGCCTAGGACAAGGCTTTGTTGTTAACCACGAGCACGAATGTATTGAAAGCTGGCATTCGTCCTTCTCACTCTATATGTACTCTCTCCGCCTACATCTCCAACCCAAAGTCATACGCCCGTATAGCTCAGTGGTAGAGCGCTTCACTCGTAATATCTATCTGCGTAATGAAGAGGTCCGCGGTTCAATCCCGCGTGGGGGCATACTTTTTTCCAGTCATCTTTTTTGCCTTTGCTATCAGCTTCCTCCTTCTTTTTTCATCCTTCTTTTTCTTCCAATCTTCCTACATTTCCACCTCATTTGCGTTGTGGCAGATTCCAGTACCAAATCCATATCATTTATACTCGAAGGACACGCACTTACTGAAAGACCAGCCAGCCAGCCATACAGGGTCACCTAATCAACGCTCTATTGTAGTTCCTTCCATTCGCAGTCGTGGCTGAGCGGGCAGTCAAGTCTTCAAACCAGACGTTACCCAAATAAGGGGACACCACCAGAGGTTGTGAAGGGGCTTCGACGATCCACTCAGCGTCAACCTAGCCGATGCCAGTCCAGTTAACGAGTGAAGTTTGACAGGAGGTTAGTATGACTTCAATGCTGATCTCTTTGCCAAAACTTAAAGCCGTCGATCATCCAACTTCAAGGGAGAGATGAAGGAGGGCTTGGCACAGCCAACTAAAGGTTTAGGTACTAGCTCATTACCATATCGAGGTCTTGGGAGCCATAACAAATAGGGACAAGGTTGATAGCATCTCTAGAGTAGTATTTGCGGTTGGCCTATGAAATGTGCTGCTAACGTACCTCTACTGAATATCGAGTTCGTGTGTAACATCCAATCGAGTTGCTACTGTAGATTATAGGTTGACCCTCGTGACTGTATTGGTCACGTCATTCTTTGACTTCCTATTTCAGTAGTTGACCGACTGGAATGTAGGTTAACTCGTCGTAGTTCAAGAGGAAGAAGAGATGAAGAGAATGGTGGGCTGACATGGATCAAGTAACCACGGCTCGACTCGTATTTCATACTGGACCAAACCAAGTGGCATCTCCAAGGCACCGCAAACCGGCTCTAGCCACCATCACTGTCTGCTTACATAGAAGTACATTGCAAACAAATTGTATGAAAAATGAACGCCAGACACCCTTCTTTAAGCCTCCGGGGCTTTTCCCTGTGCTAATACTACAAAACTCCGACAACGCCAGTGCATGCCACACCCTCAGCTTGAGTTAGGCCGTACATCCGTAAGAGATATCACGTCAAAAAAACTGATCAACCATCTCCCAAGATCGCCCCCAAATCCTTCATCCTAACCGGCTTCGTCAAAAACAAATCCACCCCGCTCGCCAGCGCATCCTTCTGTATCGTCCCGCTTGTGACTCCTGTGAGCGCTACGACTGTTGCGGGCTCCAGACCACTGATAAGTTCCCCTTCCGTGCTGTTCGCCTCTAGCCCTGTAACACCTTCATCACCCTTCTCTTCGCCGTTGACTTGCTGCGCATTTTCCGCTTTCAGGTCCTGTACCACTTGAGCATCCCCATCTGTAGGCGCACCCCTGTCCTGATCCATGAGCGGAGCTGACGCGAGCCCAATTCCATTAAGAGATGCCCGTCCAGCCTTCTTCTGGATAACTCGCTTCCGATTTCCAGCTCCACTCACGGCACCGGCTTCGACATCCGCCTGCACTTCAACACCACGCATATCTGCAAAATCCAAACTCCCAGCTCGAGCCCTTGCCGCATTCGTCACCTCGGTTGCTACACTCCCCCTTTTAGTGCTCAGACTCCTTCCCAAGCTCCTGCTCCTTTGCACAGGGTACTCCCTCTCAAACTCCCTGATCTTCCTCGTCGCCTCCAACCCGTCCATCACCGGCATGCTGATGTCCATCAACACCCACTTGTACCGTCCCGGGTTCTCCTTGTAGATCTCCACTGCCTCCAGTCCGTTGCGGGCAGTCGCATAGGGGCGATGCGTCTTACGCATTGCCGAGGCGAGGATGTGAAGGTTGATGGGGTTGTCGTCTACTAGGAGGCAGGCCTTTTCTTCCTGGTTTGGTGAGAAATTGGAAGAGATCTTGCGGGGTTGAGAGGGCGAGTTTGACAGGGATTGAGAGGGGGGCGAAGGTTGGAATGGGGAGGAGGTTGTGTTAATAGAGAAATTAGATGCCTTTGAGAGGCGACGTGTATCGAGATGAAGTTCAGGGGGTTGCCCTCCCGTGAGCACAGGGGAGGTCATTAGTATCGATTGCTGGCGCTGGGCTTCGTACGGTTCGAGCAGCTCGGGCGGTTTCGGCGGCAGTGACACATCCGGAACGGCCGCGGTACCTATCATTGTGTTGCTCGTGGCGGGGGCGGCAGCAGCCCCAACGATGGCCCCACCTGTAGGGCCAGCATTGCCGATGATGCTGGTGCTTGCATCAATAGTACCGGAAGGAGGAATCGTGTTGATGGCATGCGACATAGGCGACACCTGTTCATCCTCGGGGGAGGCAGGGACATTTGTCAGGATCGGTGGCGAGATAATCGAGTCGAACGGCGACGACACCTCGGAGATGGATACAGTAGTGAACCCTAAATCCATGCTGTTCGTTTTCTCTTTCCCAGTATGGTACCGTGGTGGCAGCGGGGGCCTGGTCAGCGGCATCTTGATGTTCTTTTGCTGCGATGATAGAGGTAGGGAAGTCTCTTCTTGCTTCACGTTCTGTAGTAGCGTCGGTTCGGGGATTGCCGCTTCCTCCACCTTTTCTCCTTCCTCCATGTCGGACACTGGAGCATACTCCATCTCCCCCCCTTCTCCCTTCCCATCCTTCCCCATGGACGTCCGCTGCACCAAAGGCCTTCCACCAGTGCTTTTGATTCTCTGCACCAGAGGCCTTGTGGCAGCAGCCGCCGTCCCCTGGTTCGTCGAAAACAAGTTATCCCCGAAATCATCCGCCAGATAAGGCAAGAACCGTGACTTCTTGTTGGCGATCTGAAAGACCTCCGGGTCCGACATCTTTCTCTGCAAAACATCCAAATCGATGCTAGACTCGGATGAGGTTCGTTCACCACCTCTTTCCTTCAGCGGGACTGGATGCTGCTGGAGGCACTTCCTCAGTGTCTTAGCCAGCTTCCTTGGCCCAACCCTGTTGTGACGTCTGTCAGTATCTGCTCATGGCCATAGAGGCCGGAAAGAAAACTCACGGCTGCCCGATGAACTCCATGACGCTTGCCTCCCCTTTCCCTCCGGCAGCAGATTCCCCCCTAGCCAGTGACAGATTCTGCGCAACAACTTCATTTCCACACACCACCACCAATGGGCCGGCCAACGTCTTCGATGCGAACCCCCTCCCACCAGTCTTGTCATCAGCGCCATCTCTTGTGCACATATCCAACACAAACCGATCGCTACAGATTGTCATCTGCGCCTCCGCCGGGTTCGTCACCACCTGAGATCCAAGCCAATCCCTACACATCCTCTCCATGATCCTCCCCCTCAGTACTTTTCTCTCCTTTGCACCGACCGGCTCACCCCACTGATTTCCATCGGGATCACCGTCTCCCAGCCCATCGAAACCAAGTAAGCAAATCCTTAACCCACCCAGCGCATCCCTATGCTCCACCATGTCCCTATTTTCACTCGTTGCTTCTGGGCTCGAATGCTGAAGTGGTATAATCACTCTGACTGTCGTCCCTTCGCCAGGTCGAGAGTCAATGACGACGCGCCCATTGAGGGCACAGACGACCTGTTTCACGATAGAAAGGCCAAGGCCAGGGCCAGGGGTGAGACTGTCTTCCTTTTGAAAGGGAGAAAAGGCCTTTTCACGGAGAAAGCGTTGGGTGATTCCCTTGCCTGTGTCCGAAACGGTGAGGACTACGTTTGAGCGGTTTTGGTCATTCCACCCGGTCTTGAATTTGGGGTGGGAAGAGGAGTGCTTGTTGTCCGTTTCGATGCCTGGGTCTTCTGCTTCGTCGTCAAGGTCTGTGGAGGCGAAAGAAGGGCGTGGTTCGGATGGGATAGGTTGAGAGGTCAGAGAGAGATTGATGAATCCTTTGTGAGTGAACTTTAGTGCGTTACCGAATAAGTTCATGAGGATGCGGCGCAATGCTCCGGGTTGGGCGTAGTAAGACCAATTGACGGTAGGGTCGATGTCCAGATGGATAGCGACGTGGTCATCACCTGGATCGGCGCCACGTTGGTTGCACCATCGCTGGAAGGAATAGCCCGCATAGAGGGACTCGACGACTTCTTCCAGCATGACGGCGAGGTCTACGTCGTAGAAGCGGGTCAAGGTCGGTTGCTCCCATGGCCAGGGTTTGGGTGCTAGGCTGCCAGATCGCAATCGCATCCTGGATGTTTCTGGTGGGCCACTGAGATCAGGGCCTTCACTGTGCTCTAGGTCGTCCGACTGGAAGGAACCTCGTCGGGCATTGGAGAGTTTGGTGTTCTCCACTAAACTGTTGATTTTGGAATGGTCTAGGAGATGGTCGACAGTGTCCAGCAGTGTCCTGACCGAAGCCTCTACAAGGCAGATGAGCTCCATCTGGGAAGTGCTGAGGTCGGTATCAAGCAGAAGCTCCGCAGCGCCAAGAATGCCGTGCAATGGCGACAGCATCTCGTGCGAAATGGATCCAAGCATGTCTGACTTGGCCTGGTTGGCAAGCGTCGCGTCGATACGGGCCACCTCGGCCATGACATTCTTGCCAAACGCGTTGAACAGGCCAAGTTCATCCTGCGGCGCGAGGGTGCGCAATGACTCTCTGGTCCATGACAGCCCGGCGGCGAACCAGCGCTGCATCTGGGTTCCCCACAGGGGAAAGAAGGATACTGCTCGAGCCTCGGGGAATGCCGCGTGGATGGTGTCACACTCACTCTTCCGTGGCTTTCGCATTAATGTGCCATTCTTTCTCCGTGCCCGGCCACGTCGTTGTCTTTTGGCGGCGGTGTCGATTTCCGAGTCAGAGTAGGGACATGAGGGGCTTGTCGATGAGGGCGGAGACGGCATTGGTACGGCTTCCGATGCACTGATGAAGTTGCCTGCGGCGTCAAATTCCCAGATAGTCCCACGTGGATAACGTCGCAGGAGCTTGCGAAGGAAGCTCTCTGAGAGAACCCGCCAGCTGCGGTGAGGCCCGGGGTGCCGTAAGGGACCCGTGGGATCTATCGTTATCCCGTCGGGCGTCCCCGTTGGTGTCACAGAGAAACCAAGAATGTCACAGGGCCGTTTGTGCGGTTTAACTTCCATGTCGATTTCAGAATTCGCAACGCCATTGACTTTCTTGGAGGAGATGCTTGCTGCCCCATGATGTACATCGGACGTAGTGTTTGCATCACCGTTCTGCCAGCAATGGAAAGGGCTCGTGTTGGCATCCAGAAAGATTACTCCGGCTGCATCCATAGATTGTCGGATGATGTTTGATGCCTTTGCGAAACTCTTCTGGATCTCAGACAGCCGAACGTCGGCACCTAGCGTTCCCTGGGTTGGCGTGTCTGGTGGCATTGGTTTATCACTGCTGTGAGTGTCACCCGCCTTCAACCGCGAGTCCAATGATCTGTGGTCGGGAAGGGAAAGCTTTCTGAGATGTTCAGCCTCATACTCGCTGCTGCTCAGCGTTCCATCTATGGCATCTTCAGATACTGTGATATGCGTTGGCGGATCTATTGAGGCGTTGCTCTGTGAGAAGTAAGATACGCAATGGCGATCAAATAGATATGTGTCTCGTGTATCCCGCCGGCACGGGTCAACGGTGTCTCTTTCTGCATGATACTCCGATAGGTCGGAAATGTCGTCCCTTCCCTCTGAATAGCTTACCACCCCTCTCAGGATACGCTCGGTCTGGAGTAATACCGCTTGCTTCCTGTAGGACTCCAATTGGCGTGAGATTGTCCGAGAAAGGTCCTTCATAAAGTCGATATCAAACTCGTCGAGCTTTTGCCGCGGGCTTGTGTCAAAAACCGAGAACAAGCCTATGACGACACCAGAAGGCGAGCAGATGGGGACGCCTGCGTAGAACCGAGGATAGATTTCCTGCTCAAGGAGAGATGGGATGTGATGAAACCGCGGGTCAGCCAGAAGGTCGGGTATCACGAAGACGATGAGGTCCTCGGGATGCCGTCTCTGTTCACGGACGACATTGTCACAAATAACCTCGCTTCTGGAGATGTCGCGCCCGCGTAAAAGGAGAGGGGTGATTTCATCACGGGCGTAAGGTCGAAGCGGCAGTGTTGGTGTTGCTTCAGCAGCAATGTGTTGCACATCGTGATCAAAGAGAGACAGGACCCCTCGTCGCGCCGAAAGTTGAACGACACCGAGCTGGGCAAGTGCCGTTAGAACGGTGTCGGATGATGCCCGGCGGCTCTTGTTCGGGGATGTGTGGGCCGGGTCGGGCACGGCACGGCTATCCCGAACTGTCGACAGGAATCTGTAGAGAATGTCAGCAACTGAACATCACAATATCAAGGCCGGGGAGGTTAAGGGCACGCCAGGGAGGCTGGGCAGAATGACTGGTCCGACCGCAATGATGCGTCTGATCCCCTGGGTACGGGTGGTACACAGCTTGGGGGACGCTATGGCGGAGAAAGACTGGAGAGTCTCAGAACTGGTACGTACCTGAAGGTCTGCCACTCCCGAGCTCTTTCAGATACATTCCGCATAGTCTTTGGTTTCGCCAAGTTTGGCGGATTTGCACAGATTGCGAGACTCTTCCGAGACTGTGTGATATGATGTGAGGAGGTGGATGAGGGAGACGGGTGAAAGATATGACCATAGTCTTATGAGATGGAATTGAGGAGACGCGGTACCTAGGCAAGGTAGCTGCAACAACCTGCATCCGTGAACAAGCATTGCACTCCAGTGACACCAGCTGTTTCCTGCGCCGACCTGTTTCCCAACGGCACACACTCCGGGAGGAAGCGTCCAGGTCCTTACACTGGCTACCAGACGGTTCGATAGCTTGAGGCCAAGCTCAAGAGAGGCAAGGATATATCATGTTGAAGCCTGTCTTGTATGTTTCGCCTTGGGTGATTGGATCCACGCTGTCCAGTAAACATGCCGGCGTGCTCGGGCGACTAGGCGGGAGTGCAAGCACAGACTGGTCTGGACTCGCATCTCGCATCCCGCGTTTTTGATGGCACTGGGGCCGGAGACTGCACCGTCCCCTCCGCGCTCTTCATCTGAAATCCAAAGGGACCAGACAGCCCGCTCAAAGGAGTCGATATCAGTCACTTGGACAGTCAGGCATAGCCCATCATCTCCCGTACTAGGCCACAGAACACTCCCATTTTATGTCGTGATCGATAGTGAGTCGAGACATTGAGCGACGAGACGACACTTGGGTTATATTCATTGGATCCCTGCCTCAACTTCACCCGCTTTCCGCAGTGAAACAAACCCCGGCAGTACCTGATGCAAACAGTAAAATGAAGGACCATCTTACCAAGATACCTTCCAGTAGAGATTAGTTTGAGTCATGACCATGGGAGAAAACTCTGACCTAAACATGGGGCGCGGGCATGGCGTACTTGTGAGATGGTGATATCGATTGACCTCCCAGCACACACACACACACGATCTGACCGGAGCGTTTCATCCGTTTGACGTTTTTTTTTTTTTTTTTTTTTTTTTTGTCTTGCTTTCCTCCTTCCCTTGCTGCAAGGATAGTCTTAGCTATAGACAGGACTTGAGATGGCTGTAATCCGTTGTTCCCGTCCAAAGCCCGGATAACGCCTGTAAAAGCTGCCAGGTCTGCAACATACATAACCAAGATCGGTCAGCTAACGGCAATAGCAGAAAGATTGAGAGATTACAGTAACAAGACAGGGCAGCCAAAAACGGCGTAGCGCGCCTCCACTCTCCAGGCCATATTCTTTGATGTATGCAGATGAACATTCGCGCAGAAGACGTGGAGCTGTCGGTAGACGCCCCCCCAATGACGAGTATCTGAGGCAATAGACGTGATGCCCGCGCGGTCGTCACTGTCGCAAACCTCCTCCTAAGCATTCTGTGTCGAGATGGCATGTCCGACAGTTGCTGTACCCGGTCTGTGGTAATGCGTAAGACACACGTCATAGGAGGTGGAGTCGACTGGAGGCTTGCTCATCACCGGAGATTTAGGCCGGTTCCGATATCAACCTAACTTTGGTGTTGATGGCAACCATCGGATACGACGGATAGGGGCGTCAATGGTGGTAAAACTTTGTGGTCGGCTGGTGCAACACAGTAGAGCACGGAAGATGTGTGGAATCCGCGGAGTTGTCAAGTTCCGTGGAGTTGGCAACTTGGTTGCTGGTCAATGGGTATCTCGATAAGCAGATGGACAAGTAACTTTTGATACATTGTTGGTCTAGACCTCCCGCACAAGCCAACCGATTCCGATCCTGAACACCTTTATATTGTTTCCCAAACTTGATATCCTATTCTGCTGTTGTTTATACGCTGATGGTACGGAAGACGCTGAACTGCTCGCCGGTGGCGACAAGGGCGCCGGGTATTTGAGGGTGCCAGTGGAGCTCCTTGACCATGTTCTGGTAGTGGACGAACAGGAGCTGGGGAGGGACGTCCGAGACACCGGCGGTATCTCTGCTCTCCTCATCATCCAGCTCGACAGCCAGATCCCAGAGAGTGACGGTGTTGTCACCAGCAGCAACGGCCACGATACTGTCGTCTGTAGGGTGCCACTCGATGCTGGTGATTTGCTCATGGTGGAAGTTGAAGTTTGCCAGAGGCGCGGGCTTGGCCGAAGAGTTGCTGCTCCATTGACGGAGATCCCAAACAGCCCACTCACCATCGTCGGCACCGGTAGCAAGCAGGTGGCTGGTCTGGCGGCACCATGACATGACGTTGACGTCGTAGTTGCTGATCTTCATGGTGAGAGCGGGCGAGCGGCTCTTGCTGCGGACATCCCAGACACGGACGGTACCATCGCTGGAGGCAGAGGCGAAGACGTTGGCCTCGGAAGGACTCCACTGGATCTCCTCGACACTGCCGGTGTGGCCGCGGAAGGGACGAGTGTCAGTGACGAAACCGCCGCCATCAGTGCGAGTGGTGACATAGATCAGACCGTCGTTGTCACCGGTAAGCAGCTTGCCGGCGGGGTGGAGAGGCGACCAGTCTACACCGTAACCCTCTGTCTTGTGGGCGCGGATGGTGCAGACGGGCTTGTTCTGTTGGGGAGTGACAATCATGCCGGGGGTATCGAAGGAGGCGAGATGGGGGGTGATGTCGTGGATGAGCACCTGGGAGGACTCGGTCATGGTGGCAGTTAGGGTGGTGGGGGGCCTCGAGGGGTCCTGGGCAGGAGACTGGTGGGAGCGTATCCTGTTGGTAGTGGTGTTGAGGGGGATGCTCTTGTGCTCGAGAATGGGGTCGGTGTCCTCATCATCCGAGTCCTCGTCGTCCGAGTCCTCGCCATCCTCGCCCTGCATCTTGCTGAGGCCACTGAACTTCATGACGAGAAGGGAGTTGTCGTTGGCCTGGGCGCCATCGGCCTGGGTACCGGCGACGGTGTACATGGTGGCAGGGTAGACATTGCGGTTCTCGCCGAGGCCGTCGCGGATGATGTCGAAGGAAAGGCAGGGCCAGGGAGTGCTCAAGCTGTGAAGCATCTTGTATGTCGTGGTATCGGGAGTGAGGGTCTGGCCGGCCTCGAGCTGTTGACGGCCAACCATGAAGGTCTCGGGGCCGCCATCGACGTCCATGGCGCCTGTTTGTTGCGACTAGGGTCAGTACAATGTAGTCACGAGAGGATAACCGTTGGTGGTCGTACCCTCCTCAGCCTCTCTCTCGGCATCTGGGCGGCCATCAACACCGGCCTCGATGATCTCGTCTTCACTCTCGAACTCGTCCTCAAAGTCATCCTCGAACTCGCCCATGTCGTGGTCCTTATCAACATCCATGGCCTCGGGGCGGTCGCCGCCCTTGAGGGGAGCAGCGAGGCTCTCGTCTTCGGCGGCTCTCTTGGACATTTTGTGTAGTGTGTGTGATGTCGGTTAAAATGTATGATGAAGGGTTGTTTGCAGAATTGGCTACGGCAAGAGGCAGACAGCACTGTTGCGTAAGTATTCGTTGTTGACAGATGGAACTCGGCAGCCGCTACAGTATCAGACACGACGGGAGGGGGGACTTCCCAATCCAATGTCAACTGAACTGAACCGAACTCGGTCCCTCAAATTCCGCTTCCAAATTTTTGAACTTTTTAGTGGAGCTGTGGGACAAGCCGGTTTGCCAAGCTTCCAAATCTCCACAGCTACCCCGCGTGAGTGGCTAGGTCCTGTCCACTGCTCCAGTCCAGGCCGTTTGTGGCTTACCTGCACCGGGCACGCACTCCTGGCACTGCAGGGGATGTGGCTCAGCAACCGCACTTCGCTTCAGTTGTTACCTCTACTCATTTGAACTGAACGACGGAACTGAAGTCAACTACCAGTACACGTGTGTAAACTGGAAGTCTGCCATCCCACGAAAGATGAAACTTTTTCGTCCAACAAATCGATCCCACTTGATGCCTGACGCTGAATCCTAACCGGAAAGCAAAATCCCGACTTTCTTTTTCGTTCTCAGTCAATCCGAGATGCGATACAGCTTACGAGTAAGGGCATCGCCTGATTACGAGTCCCAACATGATACACAGTACAAGCGGAGCTGCGCCTCCGTCATGTCCGAAAATGATCTTCGGCTTGCCCGAGTCCACTTGCCGGCCACCTGAGGTAGTGTACTCCGGCGTACCGACGCGCACAACGGTCCAGTCGTGATCGACCCCGTTCCAACAACAGCTCGACAGTCCCGTTTTGCCAATGTCAGTCATTCTAGGGCCAGTCGTCGAACCATAGCACCCCAACATGGTCCTCAGCATGGCACGTTCACGCGGCGTCCTCGCCCTCATGGCCATCACTAGTCTCGTCACCGTCTGGCTGTGTCGACTTCCCCAGCTAAACATCAACATAACACGGGGTCCCGTTCTCCAACGCCATCTCGATCTCTCCCTTCCCGATGCCCCCTTCGTTGACTGGCCGCTCGAGAGAGTCTGCAGCGAGACCAGCTGGACCCCCGGCCTGGTCTTCGTTTGCGACAACAACTCCGGCGGCATTGGCAATATCCGTAACTACATGCTGACTTGCCTACGCTATGCGATTGATGCCGGCGCAACCGGTCTCGTTATGCCACGAATCCGCGTCCGATCCGAAAAAGACCTATCCGACACCACAAGCGAGAACTACCAGCCCTTCACCTACTTCTTCGACGAACCGCACTTCCGCCAAAGCCTTCAGGCGTCTTGCCCGCAAATCACCATCTACGATACTGCCTCCGACGTCCCCAATGCCCCCGCCCCGTTCAAGACCGAAGAGACCACACCCAAGAATCTAGGGAGAAGAGGAGGCTGTGATAGGAGGGATCACAATAAACACACTGGCTTGTTCGCTTCCGCCTTTGCGAACCACCTGCGCTCCACTGCCGCCGAGTTCAACCTCGCACACCCTCCCAGCCCTGAACACCCGCGTATCTTCCGGTTGACCTGGGGGGTCCAGTTCGAATGGCCCGTCTTCCGTGACGGCCCCGAGTTCGCTTCCACCTTTGGCGGTCTGTTGCGGTTCCGGCCTGACATTCTTGCGCTGGGGAACAAAGTCGTAGCACACATGCGGCAGCATGCACGCCAGTTTGACGCCGACTCCCACTCGGGTCGATTCGTCGCCTATCACCTCCGCACGGAAAACGATGCGTTAGACTTTTGGCCCGACTATGCGAACCAGAGCAAGGCTTACCTCGCGAGGAGTCAGCAGATGGGATACGACATGAAAGCCGGCTACCTAGCCACAGGCAACGAAACGGAGGCGCATAAGTTCTTCAGGGACGCAACCGTGCTTCATGGGATGCGAGTTACGACCAAAGACCTGCTATTGGGGGACTACAAAGAAGACCTCGCGGCACTGGAGAAGCTGACGTGGGATCAGCAGGCAGTGGTCGACTTTATCGTCCTGTTGCGGAGTGACCTTTTCCTTGGTGTTAGTCCGAGTTCGTTTAGCATGAACGTTGCCCTCAAGAGGCATCTCCAGGCGGAGGGACTATATACAAGGCCATGGAGGATAGGAGGCGAGGGAGATGGGAGGAGTTGGTTGATGGGGAAGTACGAACAGTTCTGGGAAGACTGGATGTTTATGTACGAGGCGATGTGGCCATAGATGGAGTGGTTCTGGGCCGGTCTTTCATCAATTGACATTTCCACCATCATTGCCACAGTATACACCCTTCATATCCATCTTTCTCGCTTCTTTCAACTCCATTCACGACCCAGCGCGGCGTTGCCCACCCCCGCCCCGTCGACTTTCCGTTTAGCCAGGGGATGTCACCATTCCGATGTCAACGCCATCTCTTTTCCTCCTGTCCTAGCCCAGCCTACTTTGCTCCACTCCTTCCATTCCCTACATCACAACACAACAATAACAACAGGCCGCGCACCCCGCCAGACACCCACCAAAGCAGGCCACGCAACATTTTCCCGACCGCTGTTTCCCGTTCTCATGTTGGCATCCTCCACGCCCATGCCCTCTTCTGTCCCTCGGGTCCGTCTGTACCTGACCTGAACTGGTCGTATGGATCCCCGAGCTGCTGGCTACTGTTGGCTGTTGCGCTTCGACGTCGTAGCCGTCCTGCTGGCTGGTGTTAGGGTGCTTTGCATCTGGTTGATAATCATGGTTGGAAGAGGAATACTCTTGGATGGGATAAGGCTGTTGCTGCAGCTGTAGTTGTTGTCGTTGCAGTTCCCGCTGTTGTCGTTGTTGTTCAAGTTGTTGCTCGAGATGTTGTCGTTGCAGTTCTCGCTGTTGTCGTTGTTGCTCAAGTTGTTGCTCGAGCTGTTGTTGTTGCAGTTCCCGCTGTTGTCGCTGTTGTTCAAGTTGCTGTGCGAGCTGTTGTCGTTGCAATTCTCGCTGTTGTCGCTGTTGTTCTGGTTGCTCTCGGAGCCTTTCTTGCTGGTTCAAGAAGTGAACTTCACCCGTGGGCTCATTCACGTTGTGGTTTCTGTCGTCCGTGCCGAGGACTGCTGCCTCGTAGCTGGGCGGAGGGGATTCAAGCTCATGCACTTCCCCTTGAGTCTGAGAGGGGTCGGATTGGGAGTATGACCGAGGATTCGGGCTTTGCATCTTGTTTTGTGCCGTCATTCTGAAGGTTCGCTTCTCGTGCAAGCTTTCAGTCGGACAATCGAAGTCAATCGATGGACATGAGCGTCAATCATCAATGTTGCAAAGTTGCAAAATTGAAGCATGGCAAAAGAAGAAGATAAGCCACCAGCGAAGATCGACGGGATCCGTCAGCTTATGGGCAATTCTTTGTCCCAACCCACATCAAAGCTGACGGGACGACTTGTCTCTGCCTTGCTGTCAGCCAATCTGCCCAAGGCGGCCTCTTTCAACATCACTCTCCCATTGGTCGCTACCAATCGCAACTGTTGTTTCGCTCAGCCCCAAAACCCCAACCCTTCATGTTCACCAACCGGAGACTGGCATCCTATCACAAGCAACTATACATGTTTAGGCCCCGCTCGCGCGCTATTCCTTGATCAAGTCAGGATGCGGATTGGTTCAGCTATCAAAGTGGCTTACCAGGCTCGCCACAGGACATGATGCTCTTATATGCGAGCTCAGAGTTGTTAATACCGAGGTCTGCGCTGCTGCGGGGAGATACCAACATTGGGATACCGTGATGTGTATTGTGGTCAAGGTTTGGCCACATCTTGAATGTCGCCTTTGGGAGTTGAAGTTGGCAAAGTTTCATCGGCACCAAGGCGGCGTGGAAAGGGGAGCCCGATCTGTCAATGCAACACTACTTTATGAAGCAACGCTTCGACGATGATCGCCATCCTGCAAACCCGAACCTACAGATATATTTGTTCTTCCCATTCTACATCCCTCGATTTTCCCAGCTCCGAGTCTTCAAGACAAGCTATGTCCAGCCCGGGACGGAGTGCCGAGGTTGTGGTCCAGATGAGGCAACCCCGGAAGCCCAGTTCCGAACCAACGGTCCTTCATCGCGCGCCATTGCGACGCTACCCGGTTTCACCTTGTGATCTTATTTCGCGAACCGAGTTTCCACCTCCCGCTTGGCCCTACTTGTCTAAGACGGCGTAACATCCCGAACTCGCTACTCCTTCTAGAATGACCAGAACTAAGATGAAGTGTACGCATCGGGCCATCAACCCCCTGGCCTTGCCGTCGGGGAGTTCAAGGCAAGTAGGGTAGAGATATAAACATGCCCGAAGCACCAAGCTTTTAATCACCAGTCTTGTCCCAACGACAATCCTTCTCTCGTCAATACCTCTACCCACAATGCGCGTGCTAGCATTCATCCCCGTTCTCGCGGCTGTCGCCTCCGCTGGTTGCACCCGTCGCAGCACACAAAAGCCAGCCCCTACTGGAACCGCCCAAGGCGAAGGCGGCGCCTGGTCCCAATGCGGCGGCGTAGGCTGGGCCGGTGCGACTAGTTGCGTCTCCGGCTACACTTGCAGCAAGATCAACGATTACTACTCCCAGTGCATCCCAGGATCTACCACGTACGTACCAGCCTGCTGAGGGCTCATCCTCTGGAAGCGCGATCGTCAAGGCCGTCCCACTCACCACTTCCACTTTCTCTTCTAGTGCCGCTCCTGTGACCACTACTCTCAAATCCTCGAGCGCCCCAACCTCCATTCGCTCAACGACCACGTCCTCTTCGAGCTCCGCTCCTGTAGCCACCACTGTCAAAACCTCCGAATCGACCGTCCCGACCTCCGTCAGCTCAACGACCCTTGAATCTTCCACTGGCACCCCCTCCGCCACAACTGTTCCTTCCAATCCAAACCCGACCGTCCCGACCTCCGTCAGCTCAACGACCCTTGAATCTTCCACTGGCACCCCCTCCGCCACAACTGTTCCTTCCAATCCAAACCCGACCGTCCTGGAATCAGGCTGGTATTGGATCCGTGCCGTCGCCGCTCCCAACTTCCACAAGTACCTTCAAGGTGGCGCCTCTTCGGCTGCTTCCTCCAACCAGACCGCCCTCCTTGAAGACCACACCACCGCGGGCCAATTCAACATCATTGACGGCCAACTTGTGTTCAACACCAAGCCTGCTCAGCTTTACCTCAACGTTGAGAACCCTACCGATAAGACACAGAGGAAGCTCAAGACCTGGTTCAGCACAACGAAGAACGCCTACGGCACGTTCAAGTTCCAGGGTGATACCCTGACGTGGTCAGTGGCGGATATCAAGAGGCAGAATGAAGCCGCTTGGTTGGTGTGCACGGGGCAGGAGGTCTTCATCAACACGGGTGCGTACTTGTATCAGACGCCGGCTGGGTGCTCGGATCAGACTGTGAGTACTAGTTCTATTTCTTTGCTTGGGAAACATGGTCTATGTGTTTGGAGGAGCAGGCTTGCTAACACAATGCGTGAAAACAGATCCACTCGTATGGTGGCTCGACTGCTGATGTCTAAGAGGTTGAACATTGGACGCCAATGGTCTGCAAGTGGAATGTCAGTTGGTAGTCTACATCGGATGAGAAGACAAGGTATAGGCAGACCTAGAGGTATTGGCACATGCTGCAAGCCAATTTTCGTTGTACATATTTAGAGTTATACATGCATCAGACTGTAGTATTTTGGATCAACCGCAAGCTTTGCTTGTCCTTCCCAAGAGGCTGACCATAACCATGCCAGTGCAACCCATGTCCCCATCCACCACGGAACCGCCATCATCCCAGCACCACTCTTCTGCTTCCCTTTCCCCTGATTACTCCCGTTGCCTCCCCCGTTCCCCTTATCCTAGCATGTATTCAACATGCTAGTTAAAGCAGATTTCTCGGCGCTGGTGATGGTCAAAGCCCAGGTATACTTGACCTGCACCCAGGCCTTAGCATAAGTGCAGTAGAAGCTGGTAAGAGGGGGCTTCCAAGCGTCGGGGCTCTTGTCAGACTTGGACTGGTTGACGTTGTCGGTGACAGCCCACAGCTGGGGCGAGTTGATGTCGTTGGCAAACTGCTGGCGCTTGCTGGTGGTCCAGGCGTTGGCACCGGACACCCAGGCGTTCTTGAGAGGGACCATGTGGTCGATATCGACGTCAGAGGCGGCGGTCCAGACACTACCGTCGTAGGGAGAGGCCCAGGTACCGCTGGTAGCCGAGCAAGCGGAGTCGGTAACGACGTTGGTGCCGTCACGCTTGAGGACGTACTCGCTGGCAGGTGTGTGTTAGTGGATGTGATACGAAGGGGGTGACACAAAACGTGGAGATGCTCGGAACATACCGAGTGTTGCAAGTACCAGAGATGGTAATCCAGGTGGGGAACAGATCACGCTCGTACTTGCCGTCGTCAACGTAGGGCTTAACGGTCAAGCTGGCGAGCTGGGTCTTGGCGTTGGCGGCAGTGGGAATACCGGGCTGTGATGGTCAGTCATGTCTCAAAGCTCCTCTGGCGGGAATGAGCGGGGAGGATGAACGTACAGGGGTGGGCATAGGAGCCGGAGCCGCAAGAACCGACGAGGCAGCCGCCAACAGGGAAGCAACAATGAAGGACTTCATCTTGTCAAAGATCTCCTTGGTATTCCTGGGTGTCGGATAGAGAGGCGTGAGTAGAAGATGAAGATCACGAAGCATCGACAGCAGATCGCCGAGTCCTTATAACTCCCAGCATGGTTCCCCTGTTCATCAAAGTCAACAAGCAACGTCCTGCAACCCTCCCGGATACGTTGCACTTTGTCCACCTGCACGATATGGACATCTAGGGTAACACGAACCATCAATGCACATCTCTTTCGACCTTCATTTTCGGTATCTAGCGTGAAACGCAAATAGCGAAAACATGGGCGGGACCAAGACCCCTGATTCGCTCCTCAGATAGACTCTCGATATGCAAACCCGCTCCGACCGTCCAATGCCCAGTACGATGCCCATTAACTTGCTATAACAACTCAGCCATTGCTGATGCAGTACAACCCCGAAACATCCACAGAACCCAGCCCCAACCCCTTGCCGATCTTGGCCTTCTGTCGCATTTGGGGGTGATGTATAAGTGCCTATTCGGGATTGGCCAGCTAGTCGACCAGTAGATAACCGCGATAAGGCCACGCATCTCTCCATCTGTTCCATCACATATGCACGCGGCAATCTCGGGGGATCGTGGGATGGAAAGTGTGGAGAGAAACGAACTTCCTTTTTCTGTTTCCCAATGATCTGCATCACTTTATCGGTGTCAAGTATCATCGTGGCATGCGCCCTCGCGGGTTAGATCGTTGACAATCAGTTGCACCCCGCAGCCAGTTTCCCCTTGAGGTCTTCCCCGCCATGAAAGCATCGCCAACTTCCTATTTCGGAATAAGACGCCGAGCGCGAAGGTACACTAAGCAAAATCAACACCAATCACTGCGACACCAATAGGTATGAAGCGTATCTGTGCGACAAAGAAATACCGCAAGTGAGACCCGGAACATCGGGCTTAGTCGAGGACGCCGAGAGGTGAGTCGGGTCTTCCTGCATGGGAAACATGAAGAGCAAAGAAAAAAGAGGGATGCAAAGGAAGGCAAATCGTGTTCGTGAAAACAAATGACAACCGTACCAGCATGCGCCAGCCCAGCAGGACGAAGTCGCAACAGGCAAGCATGGATTATTGACTGGGGCATCATATCATCAGTCCCAAGCGAGATCCCAAACCGGGGCAAGGACATCTGCATACCTACCGTAGAATCCTACCCACCATTGATGGCAATGTCCTAGGTACCATTACCAACATGTTTCTTGATATCTCCCATTAGGCACTCCCAGGAGCATCGGCCGTCTCCGCCTTGGGTGACAAGATCTTATGAGTCGCACTGTCTGGTGTCTCTACCACAGACTTCGCATCCGCGGCATCAGTCTTGTCGGTGCTAGTGTCCAGTTGGACCTCTGTCTCCGACGACTGGGACGTCTCTGACTTCTTGGAACCCCAAAGACTGTACTTTCCGATGCTCGGTATGTTTGGTATGCCAGGCATGCTCGGCATACTAACGCTGGGCATGGAAACTTTGGGCATCTCCCACTCTGGCATCTCGGGCAGCTTGGATGGAAGATAGGAACGGATGTTGGTACCTGTCTGCTGGGCGACACCAAACAAGTGTCGCATGTAGGCCTGCTTCTGCTCGCTGATGGCTTTTTTCTTGTCGGTGTCGGCAGTGCCGTTGTCATCCTCCGCGTCTTCAAGGTCATCAGGCAAGGGCACAAGCGAAGCGGCAGCGGCAATGTCGATAGGTGACTCGTCGGGAACGCCATCGTCGTCAGAGTCGCCCTCGTTGACTTCTTCGCCCATCTTCTTCTCGGCCTCCTTGACCTTCTCCTCCGCAGTCTTCGCTTCTTGGTCTGCTTCATCGATCGCTTTGGCAATCTCCTCTGTCTCGGCAGTCTCAGGCTCGACTGGCTCGGCGAATTTGGGGTCGTCCCAGATGTCAGTCTCGTCCTTGAACCAGTTGATAACCAGTTGGGCAGCTTCGTTAGTCATTCTTTCGTAGCCCCTGTTTTTCTCCGGCTTGAAGAGGTTGACATGTGCTTCAATCTCATCCTTGGCCTCGGGAATGACATGCCTGCTGAAGAGCCCATTGCACGGCTGTCCCTCGCCGGGTATGGCACAGAATGTCCTCTCGGGTACAAAGTAACCACCACTCCAGTACCCATTTTCTCCAAGAGACGCATAAATGTCCTTGATCCCAACTCCCTTCACAGCAGCTAGTCTTTCCAGCCGTCGATTCAGCTCGTTTTGCTTCAGTAAAGCCCCGACAAAGGTAAAGTGATCAGACAGCCATGCGAAGGACTGTCCGACATTGCCACGGTTGATGTATGCCAGCCCCTGACCGAGCGCATCGACGCTTTGCTGATATCCCTGGACCACATCCTCCTTCTTTAGGTTCTTGACCGTGCGCATGCCCTCGAGGATCTGTTTTCTGTGCATAAAGGCCGCCACACCACCGGCGGCAATGACACCCACCGTCCCTGTACGCACAGCAATCAGCTGCCACGCCTTGAGCGCTGGGTGCGATCGCTGGGGAACCGATATGCTGCGGGAAACGGCCTTGGTAGCGGCCACAGCTGTGCGCTTCGAGGCGAGACTCGCAAGTGTAGCTGGGGCGGCAGCAGTGAGCGCCGTCATGACGTTGAAGACATTGGAAACCTTTTGGTAGTTCGAGAAAGCGCCGTAGACGAACATGGACCGTGCTAGACCATTGTAGGGAGTGTCGAAGGTGAGGATGCCTTGTATCATGGGGAAAATGGGACCGGGCGGGTTCTCGGAGTCGGCGTTGCGGCGGCGTTCGTCGAGAATGCGAAAGAGGGTGTCACTTGCAACAAAACCACTGTAGGAGGTTAGTAAGGTACCGCAGAAGTACGGAAAGGGACAAGTCGTGGACATACCCCATCGAATGTGCAACTAGAATCACGCCGACATTTCGGTCGGTGGAAGGCCATGGCGCTTGCAGATGTTCCTTTCGAAGTTCCATCACCCGCTCCTTAAGCCTATTGACCGTCAGTTGCTGATACCACAGCGCCTGTTTTGTGTGCTTGTTTGCGTACCATTCTAGAAAAGCTTCGGTGGTCTGGGCCAGCTCTCCTTTGGTCTCGTACTTGGGATAGACGACGGACGCCACATGGTGGTCGACGAGGTTGCTCGTGACAGTATCTTTGAGGTGCTTTGGGAAATCGCGAAAGGTGTCGTCGTCTCCCTGTTGCGGGATGGGTTAGCGAAACTGTGTGCTGCTACCACGAGGGGATTGGGAACTGTCTTCAGAATGAGAGAAGCAGACCTTGAAGCCATGGATAAAGCACAGCAGCAGGATGCGCTTCGTCATGATGGAAGAGTGTTTGAAGAGACGAGAGCGAGATGTGACGGCAGAAGCAAAGGCTTCAATTGATCGGTAGGTAGGTATCAGGGTATCGCCGATGCCTGGATAACGTGGTGGATGGGCCTAGGATAAATGAGGAAGCGAAAACCGTATAATGGATGTTGAGTAAGAGGATGACGCAGTGACGGAGAGGCGAAGGGTAATGGGCGCGACACACCCAGACGTACGGCGAGATGTGGTGTTCAGCCCATTTCTTCGAGTGCAATCGAGTCCGAGTCGGTGCAACCAGCGATTTCCAGGTTTTGCGCAATGTTTGTGTTTCCGGGACGACCACCTGAACAGTTTGGAAGCTGCGGACTGGTTGCAAATGAATCACATGTCGCGGGGGCTGTTGAAGTTGCCTCTCAATATTGGAAGCGGGAAGAGTTGCGCAGACGTCATCGGTCCAAGAGCATCTGCAACCTCTATAGTTACCCCGCACCGCCGCCGACATAGACAATTGTTAGGGCGTCTCCGACGTATTTGGGTACTGTCATGGCGTGCTCGGACAGATGCCCAGAGCACCGGGCACCATGGGTACATCGGACGGAATGAGGCTCAGGTTCTTATCGATAGCGATCCGGATCGGGAAGGCGGCGACCGCTGGCAGAATCCGGACTTATATGTCCGATTCCGAATGCCTTCGTTCGTACCACTTCCCTTTCCTCCTTTACACTTAATATTACTTTGATTTGTGGCTTCTAGTCTTGCAGTCTATCTCTCGTAGGATCACGCTTTCACAGGTACCCGTTGGAGAGGGGTTTAAGTTTCCTATCATTTCTCCAACTCTGTTTAAGGGAGGGTTAGCAACAAAACTACCGGATATAATAAATTTGACCAGATATAATAAATCTGACCGGATAGTAAAGATAGTTTACTTCTAATAGGAATTTAGTTTAAGGATTAGTTATATAACTACTACTTTATTAAAGCTTATAAAAACTTGAAAATAAGCTAATAAGCAGTAAACCAACCTTTTTATAATTTTCAAAAATTAATAAAATTAATTCTATAGATTTGTTTAAAGAAACTTTATAAAGTAAAAATTAAAAATTTATAGTAAAATCACTTTATAATTTATAAGAGCGTGGATTTATGTAAAGTAAGTATATTTATATTATATATACTTATAGTAATGACTTTTAAAAAGTCCAAAGTTTTTTATTTTCTTATATTTTTATATTTTTGAAAAAGTTTTATAAAGTATATTATATTTGGTTTTTTTTTATTTTCTCTCTTATTGTTATAAGCATTCTAAAGAAATTTTTAAAAAAAGTACATTATATAAAAATAAATAAAAATACTTGTCACGGGGCGCGAGCAAGCACTAAGGTAAGACTTTAATTATTGTATAAGGAATAGGAAGAAAATCCTATATACGTATAAGAACTATGTAGGGCACGCTATGTAGGTCCAGTACACGGACCATAGTACGTGTGTATATAACTACTACTGTACTATACTTAGGCAACTATATGGTTAATTGTATTAATATAGTATAATACCCTTTATTTATATATAAGAATATAGTAATAATGCTTGTAATACTACCCCCCTCTTAGAATAATATTCCCGCTCGAAAATCCGTTATTATATTTATTGTTAATAAAATAGGGGCCGCTCAGTCTTCCCGTGGCTGCGCCCAATTAAGTACTGGTAAAAGTTTTACCAAGGTGGGAAGTTGCTTAGCGCCCGCTAGTATTTTAACTCCCACTTAAGGGCGAAATACTAATTAAAATATTGCTAAATCTAACCCTTCTACTAGAAAAACTATTATTACCTTCAATAATCTATTTATATACTATAAACTAGTTTAACTAATGTATATTAAGAATTTTAACAATTTTTACTATTATTAGCCCCCCCGAGGGTATTTGGGATGCTTATAGTACAGCGGTTTATATAAGACGCTTATAGCCGCTATTGGTATAGATAGTATAGAAACCCTTAATTCGAATTTTGTTAGTAATTACTATTTTTATTGATTTTACTCCCTTTAACTCCCTTAACTATTATTTCTATTAACTCTAATTTATTTGATTTTTATTTATAGTGGGAGTGGGTTTATCGAGGGGGATAGGAGAGTAAGATTGCTATAAGACGTATTATTTTTCGGTGCTATTAATAATTACTTTAAAAAAGGGTATACTAGGAGGTGTTCGACTAGGGTACGTAGAATAAATCGAGTTAAACTCCTTTCTTTTTACTAAATTTCTACTATTTTTTTACTTATTATTCAATTTTGTGCTTCTTTTTATTTACTAGTTGTTTATTACTAATACTACTGTGGTTAGGATTAGAGACTGGTCTTAGGATTTGGCTTTTAAAAATATCCTTATTTTTTATTATATGTTCTATTCTTTTCGAAAACTTAGGTATAGAGGGCTGAATTTTAAATAGTTATTATAAAATTACTACACTAGTTTTTAATAATGGTTAAGGTATTAGGATACTAAAGGACTACCGCCTCGGGCACCGGGAACCGGCCGGCGTAGGCACGGAAGGAGATTCGGGACCGCCGGGGATGGAATATTACAATACTACAACACTAATACTTTCTATCATCTTACCAAACTCTTACCCAAGAGTATTAAGACGACTGACGCCTCCCTTTACCTCACTAACCTCTAACTCAAGAGTATTAGGTTATTTAATAAGATAGGGTTATAAAGAGGACATTCCGGCGCCGCATTATAACAATACGCTAATTTAGAACTTTATGATTATTAATTATATTTAAATAGAATTTATATAAATATGAAAATAGTTCGAATAGATATTTTTTATTATTATTGGTAATTATTAATATATCTTTAAATTAACTCCTAACTTAATATCCTTTATATAGAGCTACGACTGTAGTTATTTCAACCTATCTTTCCCTTACGTCCTAATAAATTAATAGTTCTTCCTCCGGGAATTAATCTAATACTATCAAAATGTATATACATAGTAGTCAGTTTATTTCCCGAACTACCGAAGTAACCCTTTATTCTTCTTATACTACAACCCCTTCGGCTACTACTATTAAAGTCGTATAGCCTCCTCCGCCTTTATTATAATAGTGCTAACCTATTATAAAATCTATTGAAGAAAATAATAATAAAGATTACCCTCCTACGCCGCCCTAGGCTCTCCGTTAGTACCTTTAATTAATTAAAATGAATAAATTTATATATAAATAATAAATATTTAAATCTTACTTTATTACTATTAAACTCCTCTCAGATTACCTTCCATTATATATATTCTAATAAAATTAATTTGCTTTCGTAGGCTTTTCTGAATAAAATTCTATTAGTAATTACCCTCTTATTCCCGCCGGTCTCTATTATTAAAACTATTTCTTTTATAATTAGACCCGTATTTCTATTATACTTCCCCTTATTATTCTATCTCTAACAGTTATTACTATAATTATTCCCCTATCTTTAATTACTTTATTCGCCTATACCGAATATTACTCTAAATATAATATTATTAAGTTTATGGGCAAAAACTTCTTTTAACTCCAGAATTATTTTTATAATATTAATATATACTTCTACAAATACCCTTATACTTTACTCTTATTCACCGTTAATTATATTAAAAATAATCTTAAGAACGTTTAAATTAGCTGGTGGTCCAGGCGTTGGCTCTTTCCCTCCTCCTCTTTTGTCTCCTCTCCTTCCGCTTCGCTGTTCAAACTAGCTGTATACCTTGAATCTCTCTTCTTCTCTTCCCTCTTATTCATCCCCCTATTTATATTCCTACTCCCTTCTATTGTACTATCTCCTTCCATTCCCCTAATTGTATCTTCACTTTCCAATATCCCCTTTAATACTCTATACCTCCCCCTTTTAGAATTTAAAACCAAACACCCCCCTATAATATTATACTCTCTACTTACTATTTTTATTAAACTACTTACTACTATATTATACTTTCTTAAAATTTTTACGTTCGTGCTAGTACCTTCGACAGTATTATCTATTACTAATACGAACCTATACCATTTCGATAGTTTATAAAGACTAGAAATATTAGGTAATTGAATTACTGGGTTTTTAAGGAATTCTATTACTAATAAATCGATCTATAGGTTACCTAATATTAATAATTAAGAAAGGGAGGAAAGAGATATTAAATAGAAGAAGACGTATTGATAGAAACCGAGAAGGGTAGAGAGGAATTTAAGTATATTAATATAGAGGAAGCCAAAAAAAGCTGTAGAGGGGATATAGGTGGAAGTGGATAAGACGAGGGATTTAATAGCGGTAGAGAGGGCGGCTGTAGAGAACATACTTGTAGGGTAAAGAAAGATGTCAGAGGGGGAGATTAGAGTAGAGAGAAGGGAGAAGTAACTTTTTACAAGGCGGGTGTAGAGTAAAGAGAGGGCGGTGGTAGTAGTAGTTTTATTGAAGGTAATTAGGGTTAGAAGATTAGGTAGGTAGTTGGGTTATCCGTTAAAAGTGGAAGTGGAAGTAGAAGTAGTAGTAGGTTATAGGAAAAAAGGGGTGCAACCTATCTAGTAACTAGAGATGCCAAAGCAGGTGTATTACTAGAAGGATTTAGTAGAAGGAAATATATCGATAGGGTAGAGAATAAGAAAGATATCTTCTTAGCTGAGGGGTAGTAGTAATTGAGCTTTTATCATTAGTAAACCTTTATATTCATAAACGGGAGTGATGGTGCTGTCCCAGTGGGTGATAAGGATAGAGAAGGTAACTCTTGAATTAGAAGTAGGGTTAAATTTCTAGCGGAAGAATTAGCGACATATGAGCGTGTAGTGGCTGGTGGAGACGATTAAGGCACGTTTGTCCTTGAGGTTGATATTACTGTCTGAGTGGCTGTGGATTTGGGTGAAATGCTCGAGAAGACGGTCGGCTAGGCGTTCGACTATTCGCGGGATGAAGAAGCGCGGGTAGCCAGTTTTCATAGTGTCCACTACGCGGGGGTCTCGCTTTGCCTAGCCGAGTGTGTCTTCTTATATTAGGAGGTGGACGCTTATTCCCTGTGTAACGATGGTTAGTTCGTTAAACAAATGGAAGCGAGTTGCAACCGGCCTTATATAGGGTTTCCCAGGAGGAAGAGGCTCCCCAAGCTTGAGGAGTTCAGGATGTTCGATAATTCCCTTTTCACCTATCTTTACCATAGTCACTAGTATATACCGCAGTCGCACAAATTGAAGAGGCAAATTTCCGATCTTATATAGCCACTACGAATGTAGCCGTGGGATCTTCCTCGGTACGATTGCGGTAATATCGGAACAGGAAAGCGAACCCCTGAGTGAGTAGGTATTGGCGGTTGGTAGCTTATCTCTTCAAAGCGTAGTACACGTAGGCGAAGCCGATAGAGAAGTTAATCAATGGGTTTTCCGGGTCCAAGGATGCGGCGCGTACAAAGTACGAGAGCGTATACGAGTACGAGGTGGTCCTCAATCAGCTTATCGCTTGATTCCCACAGCTTTTTCGCAATGGAGTCCTTCGGTTATTATTGCGGGCGTCCAGCGCGTTGGTATCACTGTATCCCGCGTACTATACGTCAACCATACATCAGCCCCATATACAGCCACATCTACCATCAAGCTCGAGTAACCAATCAAGAAACCCGGTAAAGCTGTCGGTCACGTGCACAGGCGTTCATTTCGCACACCACACAAAAGTGTGCTTTTCAGGATTCAACAACCTGAAGTGGACGAGCCGTGTCACTGGAGGAATCTTTCCGAATCTCTTCATCAGCCCAATCTTCAAGTGACAACGAAGGGAATAAAAGTCAGAGGTCGCCTTGTCTTCCACCACCCGCAACCCGATACAACGGAAAACAGAGCAAAAAGCGACCAGCCGAGTTGCCTCGTTGCATAGACTCGAGATACCAGACTTGGACCGTTGTTGGTCTGGCTGATCTTGGTGAGAAATGCAGGCCGGCAAATGGTGAGATGGACGGGAGAGAGAGGATGGGGAGAGATTTCCAAGTCGGGCTGTCCGCAGATCCAACGCAACATCCGACCAGTCTCCAGAACCCGAGCCCCGCTTCTTCAGGCAGCTATGCCAGCAAGGAAGGCAGTCTGGCGCCACGTACCCTAGCAGTGTGCGATTCGAGAGGTGCCCGGGCTCCGTTAATAACAGGGTGTGTAGAAGCGTAATAGATTTGGTGAGAGTTGTACTTATTTCTGTTAGTGACCTGCATATCCTTTTCGCGAAGCCATCTGATTGGCTAAGAAAACCCATGTAAAAAGAAAAAGGCGGGGGCAGAGGAAGCGTACATGAACCCGGGCCTCCCCAAGCCAGTGTCTTCTTCTCCCGTTCCCCATCTTTATTCAATTTGTCACACCCACCCGTCATCCTTTCCATCCCGCCTCCTGAACAGGCGGGGCTTATTTTCCACGGGCACGGGGCGGTCCATTTCTGCCTCCACTTTTGACGTCGTCCCCTCTAGGTTGTTTCTTTCCAACCTCCAACCTCCACCACCATGGCCAACTCGGCGCCCCATACACCACAATCGTCGCATCAATTGGGCGACGACGGCAGCAACAACTATGATGCCCAAGTATCATCCACGCAGCCTGTGTTTTCCTCACGGTCAGTACCCTAATGGCCGCCGAGTGATACCACCATAGCCTCTTGCTGGTGCATCCCTCCGTCTGTTGGGGTGTCGCTTCTCGCGCTGACTCGCAGTGCGCCCGACGATCATGGCCGATCCCTAGGTTTTGTTCATATCAACCCCCATTCCCTCCCCCCCCATCCCCCTTTGCCCTCTTGCCCTCCCCGATTCATGCGGTCCTGGGTGCTGTGCATTTCCCCGAATGCATGGCCGATCTAGTCTCTTTCCTGACGACTGTGGCTTGAAACACGCGTTCTATGGGTCGAAAGCCATAAAAACTTGCCAACTCCTACTCGACAGGCACATGCCTGCTGAAAGGACTGGGGCTTCTCGGCAGGGCCGCGGGCAGAGGCCAGTGCTTACCCCTCTGGTGTCTGCTGTCTTGCCTCCCGTTCATAGAATTCCTGCCGATAGCTACAGTCGACACGCGAGAGCGGTGGGGCTGTCCCCTTTCTGCCCACCTCCCCGATTCGCCGTGGTTCTGATGCCATTTCACCCTGCCCTCTCACTACGGCCTGACGCCATAAGCCCCTTTTGGTCTATGAGCGGTCCAGTCTCTTTCCTGCCGTCTGTAATTCGAAACACGCGTTCCATGGGCCTGGAAGCCGTAAAAACATGCCAACTCCTACTTATCAGGCACGCCTGTTGAAAGGACTGGGGCTTCTTTGGCAGGGCCGCGGGTAGAGAGGCTGCTTCCAGGGGCAGTGGCCTCTCTACTGTCTTGCCTCCCGTTCATGGAATTCCTGCCGAGAGTTACAGATTGACACGCGAGAGCGGCAGGTCGCTCGTTTTCAACTTGCAGTGCCCAAGCTTGCCTGATACTTCTGACTGACGGCTTGCTTGATAGTGCCCATGGGTTCTACGGCGACGACATATCGGCTGCGTCTGGTGCAGAAAACCATGACCAAGATTGCATAATAGACCTCGTTGCGCGCCCGGGTCAGGCTAGTTGGGAGGTTGAAGGTCTCGCTCGACACACGCCCGACTTGAAGTTGGATTGTTTCGTTGACACGACCGACCGGACCGCCTTCTTTTCACTTCGCGGCCAATGCACCCTCAAGACCAGCACTCCCGCCCATGTTTCACTGTTTCTATTCATCTACCCGGAGGATATTCAGTCCCTGGAGGTATCATACACTTCAAGCCCGCTTCCACATCCCGAGGAGCAGGAAGCAGTACCTGATATAGACAGGTTCATCCGTCTACGCTTCATCATAACACAGCCGCCCAGTTTGGTGGCGCCCAAGCATCAGCCTCTGCAACCAAAACACCGCTCCGAAGCCCTGTTTGATGCCCTACAATCCCTGGCTACAGTCAAAGATATTTCCTTTTACTTGGATCTGTCCTCCTTGCCAATCGAGATCCAGGCACAGCTGGCCTGTCTCCCATCTATCTTTTCGTCTGCCAACATTCACAGTCGACCAAGAACTCACGTGAATCGTGCATCTCTTGTAAGGCTGTACGGCGGTGCTGGTGGGCAGACTGTCAACCCGAGCACCACGGCACGTGAACCAGGACACCACGAGGTACAAGAGGCACAACCAGGCAGTCCTACCCTTACTACCTCTGGTGTGCTTCAAGATGCTGCGCCAACATCAACCCAGACGCGCAAACGATCAGCAAGCGCAAGCGGATTCTTGCCTCCCTATCACAATCGCCATGATGAACGTGACATCGCAAGTTCAAGCAACCTCCGATTGTTCGAATCGGCACAGGAGAACGCCTCCCCGAGTCAAGAGTTAACGCAATTCTCCCCCACACCGGGTACGTTCCCCCAGCCTAAGCTTGCACCACCTTCATGGCACCAAAGCACCCACTAACAAACTTCCTCCATAGATCGAAACGGAAAGCGCCCACGACTCGCAACGCCCTCTGACCTCGACTTGCCCTCTCTCCCGCCCACACCAACTGCTGCCGACTTTTTGGAAGCGTCGACAGACCCTTCAAAGTTCTACACCATCAGGCAACAGTTACTCACCCGCATCACAGCCCTTGAAACGCGTAACGAACAGCTCCTCACTCGCAACGTGACCCTTGAAGCGCGCGTCGAACATTCTTCAAAGCTGGAAGATTGGTTCAGGCTGGAAGTCCGTCAGCGTGTTGGCGGTGAGGTAACCCGTCAGCTTGACAAGCTGCACCACAAGACGGGTAGGAAGTGGGAGGAAGAAATTAGGCAGGAAGTGCGGGATCAGATCACCCAGGATGTGAAGGAGGAACTCTATGAAGACGCATCGAAACATGTGCTGCAGAGGATCGCGGCGGTATTGGTGGAAGCGGTGGACGGGAGTGGGTGGCTTGTCCCTGGAAGCACTGCTTGTGAAAATCTTTTGTCGCGTTCCGTCGTGCCTGGTGAAAACGCTCTTTACACCGCCGTCGCCGATGTGCAAAAGACCCATGCTGGGGAAATGAGCGAGGAGGAGATGGCTAGGGTGATAGATTACCTGGAGGAAAACCCGCTGAGCGCGGTTAAGTACAACGCTTGTAGGGAGACAATGAGGAGGTATTTTGTTGGGCAGTGGAAAGCTACGCGAAAGAGAACGTGGGGAGTAGCGAGGTGGTAGGCTGGGAATCGGGGTGCCGATTACCAGGCCGACAACAACTAGACGACACTTTACAACACCTAATGATTAATGACGTTTCCCTCTTCTCCTCAAAATTGATGACATGCCTGACCTTGTCGTGTGTTTGTGTGCCGCAGTGTCGTCCCATCACTCTATTTACGTAATCCACGGAGTTCCATGTTCCTACGTGCCTTACCCCTTCATGCAAATAAATAAGGATTCCATCCTCTGGGGTGTGTCTATATGTCTTGGCTCTGAGAAGACAGTAAAGGCCGTGGCTCGTCGAGTATTCATCTTGCCCGCCGTGTTTCATACTTTTGATTTGTAAATGTCTTTCAAACTTAGCTAACGCTACCTCTTTGTGTAGTTCCCACATCCCACATTCCACATCCTTTTCCCTCACGCATCCCCACTCAACCGTTCAACCTCTTCCATCCCTAACCCAAAGGGAAATCCTACCTACCTACCTACCTCTACCTACCTAGGTACACGAATGAAGAATCCCTTCAATTGATATATTAATCATCCAACTCCCAGCCCAAAACCCCTCCCTCCCAATTAAACACCTGTCTCATCAAATGCTGCGGTCCCCATCTCATATTCCGATCCTCATAATCCGCTCCCGTTTTCCAATCGATCGTTCCGTGACTGATCAACCACCCTTGCGCCCGCGACGACGGGCGAAAGTGAAACCCGTTTGCGTCGTGGGCGCATTGGTTTCTGCACAAACGAGGATGCCGGAAGGGTTTTACTTTTTGGTTCTAATTTTGGTTTTGGTCAAAGGGGATATCCAGGAGCGGGGTTTTATGGTGGAAATAGTCGCGGTGGGCGGTGTCGAAGAGGGATTTGACTGGCAGGAGATGCGGTGTGTGAGAAGAGGAGGAGGAGGAGGGGGGTATATAGGACAATGCAAAAGCTGCTTTGACGAATAAATCTGAGAGGGTATTGCATGTGGCAGCATTCAGGCGGAACGTGTGAGCGAGAAAGGCACGCAGGAGGTCCTGTCGGAGGGAGTGGGCGAAGCGGCAGGGTGGGAAGGTGTCGAGGTGGTAGTCTCTGAACTGGGAGTTGATGGAAGCGGAGGTGGAGGGAGTGCCGGTGAGGAGAAGAAAGCCGGGGCGAAGGGAGTCTGGAGGGTGTGAGGGGTCGACAGCGGCGGAACCGGGATCAGAATCGGGATTGGAAGGGTCACCGGGACTTGTACTAACCAAGGAAATACCATAACTGGGAGTATCTCCCGCAGGGTCATCCTCGGCCCCATTTCCTAAGCCCAAAAGTCGTATTTGATCCACAGACCAATCCCAAACTACGTCGGCAAATCGAGGAATATCCACCACGTTGTTCCTTTTGTGCACTTGATCTTCTTGCCAGCTTGTGTCCGCCTGGCAGTCGTAGCCAGGACACAGCGGACGATATGGGGCAGAAGAAGTAAGAAGCTCCTCTTCGTTCAAGGGTTGTGCCCATGCTTGGAGAAGAGCAGGCTCAACCCGCTGTTGAGTAGCGCGCAGAATGACGTTGATCCATTCGTATCCGGTGTGTGCATCGGGGTGTTTACCGTTGAGGACGGAGAAAATGGAGCAGGTGCAGAGGGCGGTGTTGGCTGGCTGATGAGGAGGACGGATCAGAGAGAGGTGGTGAAGAGAGGTAGACATCCGCACCATCGGATAGGAGTTGGCTGAGGTTCCAGAGCCAATGGGACATCAAGTCCACGGACGGCTTATGCTTAATTAGTTCTTGGGTCGTGAATTGCGGGCAAGCCATCCAAAGGATCTTCTTACCCAGCTTGTACTGATCATAGCGATCGTCAGCACGATCTGGTCTGCCCATCCCTCTACAGGCAGTCATTGTAGCGAAGGCCTCGATTACTAGAACCTAATTTGCATTGAGCGTTAAACGGCAGATGGCAGGTTGGAAGATGTTATCGCTTTCTTGTTCGGACAAATCTAAGCCATACCTGTTGGCTGCGGTAATACCCAAGTTGGCTAACTGGGCGTCTAAGAGGGTGTGGGCTGGACGAGGCCGTTCGTCAGGCGATAGCCGGTTCCAGCCAAGATCCGGGGCGGATGCGGTCTTGATGAAGTTGTCGAGATAGCGGACTTTGCACTTGGTGCAGATGTCGGCGCAAGGACGGATGTAACCTTTGAGGAAGAGGAGGTAGGCTTGCGGGTCGTCGGAGAGGTAGAGAAAGACTGGAGAGGCCATGACTGGATATTGGGTGTTTAATCGGTGGTAGGACTAGGGTAGGGTTGGTTAATTGGTGGTCGATGGGGGTGTGCAGGACACATCGAAATACAGGGCTGTTGCTGGCGCCTATTTATGCCGAGAAAGCGGCTCGAGATTGACGGTAGGACTCGTTATTGACTGGTAGGTTGGTTGGGGGTATTCATCGATGTGAATTGTCCGGTATTGCGAGGTGTGCTTGATCACCGCCATGGCTCGTCATCACAAACTCACTAACCCAAATGCCGCAGGTCTTCCCAGCTCAAGCGTCCTCGGCATCCCCTCCTTCCAACGCCCTCCTCTTCCTAATCTCAAATCCCTCCAAGATGGTCTCCCTCTGCTCCTTGTGAGTGAAGTTCAACTTGAGCTCTTCTATCTCTCCCTCCTCATCCTCAACCATCATGACTCCCGCTCTGCACTCCTCCTCGGTCGCCCAAACGAACCTTACATGCTCATTCGGATCCATCATCACCTTAGGCAGTCCCTTCCACTTCATGTTCCCATCCGTTTCCTCTTCCGCCCCAAACGCCTCATCGATTTCCACCTCGACACTAATCTTCATCACCACCTTTCCACTCCTCGTCAAAAACACCTGCGGCTTTTTGTCTTTACCGATGACCTGACAAACCATCCTCTTGGGCAGCAGCCCGGCCTCCTCCCACATTTCGCGGGCAACGCCATGCAAGAAGGACTCGTCTTCGGGATCGCAGGCGCCGCCGGGGATTTCCCAGCGTAGAGGCATCGAGTCGTACGGGGCGCGTTGGAGGAGGAGGATGCGGTCTACAGCGTCGGGTGCGGATCGGGAGAAGACGAGGGCGCCGCCGGCGAGGGCTTGGGGACGGATAGTTGTAGAGGTACTTGCGCTACCTTCGAACGTAAGAGGGGTGGAGAGGAAGTGGGAGATGGGATGGTTGAGGTGGGTGGCGGAGGGGGAGATAGAGAAGGTGAAGCCGCCTTGGGGCAGGGGGCGAGGGAGTGGGGCCATTGTGATTTGGATGAAGGGATTTAAGTGTGAGGATAACAATGGGATATGGAATTGGTTTTTGTGTTTGTAGGAGTTCAAATTAATGTGAGGCTTGGTGTTGGATATTTGTTATTAGGCGTTGTCATCCTATTGGCGAAAACGGAGTGTTCCCGGCAGGCAGCAGTGGCAGCTTCAAAATTGTTAGTGTAACCCATGTGCACCCCGCGACCCACCATCACCTTCAACCAAACTAACTTCTCACTTGTGGAATTCATGATGTATATATTTTCAACCTCATACCATCATCTACATACCTCTAGACAGCAACCGCTAACGATTCCACCCAGGCTCGTCCGAAACAAAATTGATAAGACCAGCCAACAGGTCAAGTAAACCAGTCTGCTATCGCTCGTTAAGATCAAAAAAGGCCCTTGCAAGGCTGTGATAGGGATTACAACAATTCGAAAAGACGTCGACTAGAGTCTTATTCGGATATCGCTATCCAGGAATTGCCTAGAACTCAAAATCAGAGGTGTAACAAAGATGCTTGGATGCGTAGTGGGAGTATACCTGAGGTATAATGTCAAAGCTCTCGACTATTTTGTCCTGAACGAGCCAGGCAAGCCAGGCCCAGCCGAAGGAGTCCATTGAAACAAGGGGGCCATTCTCAGATACTGACCACTACGCCAAACACCCAAACATTGGAGCTCCATCGAGGTGCTGGATTAAGTGGTAGCTCTGAACCCCCTATATTTCACAGCCATCATCGTCACAAGCGGCCTCTGATTCGCTCGCACTGACGCACCCCGTTCATCTCAGGGGACTCCTTGGCTGTCACGGTAGCGTACCACTAGCGGCCCAAACCCTTGGAATTGGAGGCTTATAAGGTCCCTTGTCCATATCGACCCCTGGATTATGGGTTTGATACGGTGGCCCAAGTGTGACTTGGGTCGTTTATCCAAAAGTTCTGAAAACAAGAAGTCTAACCAGCTGCAGACATTAGGCTTGCACTGGTGGGTGGTATCCAAATCCTTGTACTTGGAAGATAACCTTGATAAGCTGTCTCGAGTCCCGCAAAGTCAACTCCCTTCCATTGCCCTGACTCCCATTGACTCCCATTGACTCCCATTGACTCCCATTGCTTCATTACTTCAGTACTTTAGTGCTTTCGCACGAGACGGAGGTACTGGGAGGTTTGCCAAGATTTTAGGTAGTAGTGCAAATGGACCCTAGCTCCCTAGCTGGATCTACCCTGCACTTAGTATTTCTCTAAATTTTTGAGTTGGGGTAAGGTAACAAGGTAACAATGCAAATGGATCCTGCTCTCTCTCTCCCTCTCTCTCTCCCTCTCTCCACCCCCCTCCTCTCCCCGCGCCAAAGAGGAAAGAAAGAGAAAAAAAAGATGACGATGAAAGAAGGAAGAAGAGAAAAGAAAAGGGGTAAAGAAAGGAAGAAAAAAAAAAAAAGTAGAAAAAAGAAAGAAGGGAAGAAAGCGAGAAAGGTTCAAGGTTTGGGTGTGAGTGTTGAATCTTGTAAGTATGGTAAAGGCGTTAATATAAAATAACCGACACTTGGTAGCAGCTGGGAGCTTGGACCAGTTTTATAAACGACCTCAGTCACACTTGGGCCACCGTAGTTTGATCTCCGCTCGACTGCGCTCTTGTGGCGTCGCACCTTTTGGGCGAATGTGACCGTGTCGGGGATTTTTACGGAATTTGAAGACGGCCCAAGATGGAAGTCCGTCAGGTCAGGATGAGTTCGGAGGTTCTTCACTAGGTCGAATTGGGTTGGTTGTTGGTGATGTTGATGTTACTGCTGCTGCTGGGATGGATTCGGGATGGGATGCCTACTAGTCTGGTGGTGTTGACGGAAGAGGAGATATCCGACGAGATTCCGGATATGAACCAGCTACGTCCGCTATTGCAGTCCATTCATCTATTGTCAATTTCATTCGGGTAGCATACCATGGGTCTCCATGTAGTATTGCCGATTCTGGGCTGTCACAGTCAATAGTTCTCGGCATCCGGTAGACGAGAGGCAGTCCTCCACCCACCTCACACAATCCCTTTCATGGTACCACATATATTCTGCCGTGAAGATTCATGATCTCGTATCGTGAACTTCTTCTATTGTTTTCTTCTTTACGTTTGCTACCTTGTTATTCTTTCCTTCTTTTCATTTCATTCCCTTCTTTCTTTACCGGCCACAATACATCTTCCCGTCTGTTACTCTGGGACCGGGCCGACGTGGTGGAGCGGAGTGACTCGGATATTTCAACCTCATCCCGTCCGGACCGCACGCAGTCAACGATCAACATTTTAGGTTGACTTTTTCATTCACTTGATCATCATAATACGCAGGTCGTTACTCACTGTCTTTTCTGGAATTTCCTTGTTTCATGCTTAGGTAACCAAGATTGGCATATCTTTCCTTCTTTTGTAACCCAACTTTTTCAATCTTTGACGTCCTATGCCAACCGCTCTGCGATAACGCTTTGAGTAACCAGCTGCCGATATGGCGGCTTTTCCCTCCCTCTCAGCCTCTTTTGTACTTCTTCAACTAGCACTAACATGTTCGGCCCAACATCTGAATCTTACTACTAGGCCATTACACCTCACCGGCCACACCCCCGGTGATGGCTGCGTCCACCTCCCCATCATCCACTCTACTAACACCGACCACTTTGCCCGTCGCGGCATCCAACTCGCTCTCAACAATCGGTCTGACGTAGCTTACTATGCCCAACGTACGTCCCTTTTTCAATTTTTTTCGTCCCCTTCTCCTCCCTACTAGGTAAACTAACCCCCGATGACAGTCGAGATCGGCACCCCCCCACAAACAGTCTACACCCAACTCGACACGGGCTCTTTCGAACTCTGGGTGAACCCGGACTGCACCACCGTCTCGCCCTCCGATTTATCCTTCTGCGACCACATCGGCTTCTATAACGCCTCCCTCTCTTCTACGTCCAAATCCCTCGGCACCAGCAAAACCCTCCGTTACGGCATCGGCGCCGCCAATATCTCGTACGTGACCGACACCATCTCCCTTTCCGGCTCCTCCACCTCTTTGAAGGATATCCAATTCGGCGTCGCCACCTCCTCCAAAGATGCCTTCTCCGGAATCCTAGGGATCGGCTACGGCCAGGGTCTAGCAACCAAGTATCCCAATTTCATCGACCAGCTGTACGCCCAAAAGATCACCAAAGTCAAAGCATACACTCTCGCACTAGGATCCAAGACTGCTCAACAGGGGAGTATCGTTTTCGGCGGGGTGGACACGTCCAAGTTTGCTGGGCCGCTGGCGAGACTACCGATTATTTCAGCGGGAGACTCACCGGATGGCGTGCCGCGGTTTTGGGTGCAGATGAATGGGATCAGACTTACGCCGCCTTCAGGACAGAGCATGGGCGTTTACGAGGGGAGTAAAATCCCGGCGTTTTTGGATAGTGGGAGTACCATGACGATCTTGCCGCCTGCGTTGGCGAACAAGATTGCCGAGGACTTTGGGAGCCCGGAGAAAGATGCGAACGGGTTTTATAGCGTCGGTTGTGGGTATGTAGAGATGAATGGGACGATGGATTTTGAGTTCGTGGGTTCAGGACAAAAGGTGACGGTTAGGGTGCCGTACAAGGAAATGATCAGGGAGGTGGGACAGGGGGAGAGCAAGATGTGCTTTTTGGGGATCATGGGCAGTGAGAGTTTTACGTTGTTGGGGGATACGTTTTTAAGGAGTGTTTATGGTGAGTTCAGTCCTCTCCTTTTTTTTTCGTAGAGGTATTGTTCGGGTGAATGCTGACAGAGTGAAAAGCTGTCTTTGACTTCCAAACCAACTCCATCTGGTTGACGCAAGCCACTTCATGCGGTAATACGCCCGCTGCGCTCAGGGACGTTACCGATTTGTCTCGCGTGGTAGGGAATTGTCAGATACAAGCGGGCCAGAAGGAGGCGGTGGTGGATGTGGTTTCGGAGACGTCCATTGCGCCGCCTACTGGTTCGACAGGCGGCACTGATGGTGTGACTGGGACGGGAGGAAATGGAAATGGAAATGGGGGAACGCGCACGGCGTGGGGGTTTGTCACCACGACATTGGCGGTACCTATAGCGACAGGTTTAGTCGGTGGTGGTGGAAGTATGAGCGCGACTGCGTTGGATTCCTCTGGGAGAAGTATGGCTGGCGATGTGGTGTTGAGCGTCGCGATGGCTGTTGGTGCTGCGGTGCTGGGAAGTCTGTTGTGATCTGCTGCATTCTGAGTTTGCATAGCAAGTGTGTTTAGTTGATTTCCTTCTTGATTGTGGTCCATCAATGTGCAGTGATGTATGTACCGATGAGATGAATGAAGTGAAGCGATTCACGGTTTGCGAGTGGCGGGTATAACCCTAACCCGTATTCTTGGCATATGGTTTGAATTTGTGCCCGCAACGCACAGAGCCTCGACTGGAGGACTCAAGTTGAAAATATCGGACGGATAATGTTTTATTAGCACCCACCGAGAGGGTTAGGGTTAGGGTTAGGGTTAGGGTTAGGGTTAGGGTTAGGGTTAGGGTTAGGGTTAGGGTTAGGGTTAGGGTTAGGGTTAGGGTTAGGGTTAGGGTTAGGGTTAGGGTTAGGGTTAGGGTTAGGGTTAGGGTTAGGGTTAGGGTTAGGGTTAGGGTTAGGG